CTACATTGAATACAAGCAAACATTAGCACCATATTAAAACCTCCCAAGTGGTCAAATCAGTATACCAAGGTGAAAAATAATTTAGAAATGTTTATTGAAATGTTGTACTGTAGCTAAACTACTTAGGATTTACAGAGTAAAATCTTGTTGAAATTATGACTTATGGCTGACTTAAATCTGTTCGAAACAATTTCAAAATAAAGATAATCCAAAAAGTGCACATTAAGCTCCAACATATAAATCTAGTACCAGTATAGTAATATATGATGCAGGAATACAAAAAACAAGATCAAACGTAATTGGTCTTAAATGAAAGTGAGGGTTGCATTCCAGGGTTGCATCATATTGAAGCATTTCTCAGGGCGGTGTGCTGGACTACATGTACCCTTCTTAAAATCTAAGCATTCCTAATACTCTTTAAATAAGATGAAAATTTCAATGTACGCTCAAACAGATAATGAATTAGTAGTTAAAAAATTAGCACGCTATGTTTTTGTCTATAATTAGATAACATTTATTTCACATATAAACTCACTCAAGATCTTATCTTATAAAAACTGAAAATTATCTGTAATCGTCAGAGGATATTATGGCTAGGTGATTTAGGGTATAACATGGATTAACTCAAACAATATTGAACAGTTGCAAAAAGTTTTGACTCAACCTATTACAATACCCCCTCCCCCTAATGACCCTATATCGCACCTCATCTGTGGAGGTAAAAAAGATAGAAGGGGGAGGGTCAAGAGACTTGATGCGAGACTCAAAGTAACAAATCATACTATTATAACAATTCTTCTCATTTGAATAGAATTAAGGAGTCTTTCAGTACATGGTTCCTGTGGTTTATACCTCAACCTTTGATGTCTTTATGTTCTCTGAAAATGGTCCCAGGATATTACTACCACCCTGCCTTAACAATTTCCCAGGTCACAATAAAAATCTTTTCTTGTTGATCCTCTGTAAATATTGGAAGAATGTTTTTTACAAGTAAACAATTGGTATTTTGCAAAATATACTACCAGGCTCATTCAAAGTAATTCTTACTTAGTTTTCAGATTTTTGAAAGTGATGAGAATTCACATTTTTGCAGGGGTACCAAGCATTTGACCAGGACCCATAGCATTATTGAATTCTGTTCATACTGATCTCATTATATGGTAATAATTGAAAAAAGTGCTTGACTGCTATGGGGTTATATAGGTTGTCTAAACAGAGGTAGAGACCTATGGGGCTTGTCATTGTTCACACCCAGTCAACTGATGAGGCGTACGGCTCCTTAAAAGATTTCTCAAATTTTGGCAGGCATTCTTATCTTTTCATATTAAATCAAATCAAGCCAGAATTAAAATTCCTCATGAAAACATAGATTTTAGTTCTCTAAGCACCTATGCCCTATTAAGCCCTTTAAATACATCATCATCTGGGACTTCAATAGAGAATGAAAAATTGTTTATTGTACTTCTCAAAGATAAATTCAATTTCAAACAATTCTCTGTTCTTCAAACTTACATGCATATTATGAGTTAAATGAAAACATAATTCCTACCAGTTAACTTACCATTTCAAGAAAATCCCTGCTCAACATTAAATAGATTGCATATAGAATGCCAATCTTAATAATTTTGTATCAACAGTTAACAAAGCTTTATTAACATATGTAAGTCACTTTAAGTTCATACATTAACATTTGGATCTAAAAAGTCTGACTAATTTGAAATTAACCAAGAAAGTTGTGAAACAAGACATATGAGTCTAAAATAACACTATTTATTGGTAAATCAGTAATCAGTAAGAAATCAGTAAGAACATTGTACAGAAATTTGTATTGACCCTGCTATATTTGCCCATTCCTATCAAAATTTTAAATTCTTGAGAGTGTACATATACATTCCTCAAAATCTAAAATAAAGATGCCGATGGACTTCTTTTTCTAGTCCACAACTACTAGTCTCTAAAATTATTTCAAAATCTCATTATGAACTTATTTATGATTAGAATATCATACAGAATCATTATTATCATTGCAATACTGAATCAGGGTATTCAACGGTATGTTACTGTACATTTGATAGAAACTCTAAGTAGTGTACTAAATAAAGAAATACCTCTCAACCAACGCACTCAGACTTGACTTACTAAAATGTCAAAACCTTTTAAAAGCACATCACCTATATGTGACAACTACATAGTCTGCCATACAAACACTCCATAAAATCCGTTTCACAGTTTAATCAGTGACAAAAAATGATCAAACAATTTCAGAAATAACGTGTCTATATTGAGTCTAAGCTTGACTATATGTCTCATTTTTTAACCTGGGAATTTTATGAAGGACTCCTTTATTCAAATGCCTAAAAACTTAAACCAGAACAACGGCAACGCCAAAGCGTAGCGAATCCCATCGAACATTTTTCAAAAGGGGCACCTTCTACCAAAAGTGTCATTAGACAGTGTGCCATGCTTATAATATTCACATACCAAATATATTCAAAATCGCTCTACTACTTTTCGAGTTATAGTAAAATACGTTTAAATGGTGGCCATTTTGAAAAATGGCCGCCTTCTACTAAAAGTCTCATTAGACAGTGTGCCATGCTTATAGTATTCACATACCATATATGAACAAAATCGCTCCACTACTTTTCGAGTTATAGTAAAATACGTTAAAATGGCCGCCTTCTACCAAAAGTGTCATTAGACAGTGTGCCATGCTTATGCGTATTCACTATCAAATATGAACAAAATCGCTCCACTACTTTTCGAGTTATAGTAAAATAAGTTAAAATGGCAGCCATTTTTCAAAATGTCCGCCATTTTTCAAAATGGCCGCCTTCTACCAAAAGTGTCATTAGACAGTGTGCCATGCTTACAGTATTCACATACCGAATATGAACAAAATCGCTCCACTACTTTTCAAGTTATAGTAAAATACGTTAAAATGGTGGCCATTTTGAAAAATGACCGCCCTCTACCAAAAGTGTCATTAGACAGTGTGCCATGCTTATACGTATTCACATACCAAATATGAACAAAATCGCTCCACTATTTTTCGAGTTTTAGTAAAATAAGTTAAAATGGCAGCCATTTTTCAAAATGTCCGCCATTTTTCAAAATGGCCACCTTCTACCAAAAGTGTCATTAAACAGTGTGCCATGCTTATAGTATTCACATACCAAATATGAACAAAATCGCTCCACTACTTTTCGAGTTACAGCTAAAATCGTAAAATAACGAGAAAAGGCCGCCATTTTTCAAGATGGCTGCCATGTGCTTTTTTAATATCTACATTTCTAGCTTTATTAATGTCCTATATACTTTTTTTACATTTAAAACATATTGCTATTACAGTTTTACATATTGCACTTAAATTACTGTAAAATCGGCACTAAAATGGCCGCCATTTTTAAATGAGCGGCCATTTTGAAAATCGGCTTTCGAGCAGAACTTCTACCCCCATAGGGTATATGTATACAAAATATGAATAAAATCGGGCCAACGGTATTTGAGTTATTGCCCGGACGGACGGACGGACGTACGTACGGACGGACGGACGGACGTACGTACGGACGGACGGACGGACGGACGGACGGACGGACGGACGGAGGCGTTCCCTATATCCCTCCGAACTTCGTTCGATGGGATAATTATTTCATATTCAATAAAAAATGAAAATTCAGACAGAAGTCTGAAATCTGTTTTCCTAAAGTCTCTCTTATAAACTATTATATATTTTATTAACTTGAAGAAATCAAAGTGAAACCCGTTTCAGTCTACAAAGAATCTTAAAGAAACCACCTGTATTTTCTGTAATGAAGAAGGTCATCACCGTCTAGATTTGTCTATAAGACAAATGCAAAATGTTGAAACCAAACAAACAAAAATATCTTTTAATTGATTTGGTTAGTTGGTACAAGACAAAATGCAATGCCCAGTTAGGAAAGATTATCTTGTAGTGACGTGATTGGTCCTTTTTTGTTTAGACTATATCTGATAACCAAAGGTAAGTTGTCTGTCTAGCAACCAGGTAAAATAACTTTAACACAATGCGTTATTTCAAAGTACTTGTTTGAGTGTGGTGTTGTTAGTATCATGGTATCAGTGAATTGTGATCAGCAGGTCATAGTGTCATCAATGAACTTATAATTACCATAATTAACACAAATCTACATGTACTACAGATACCATACGTACAGGTGGTACATCAGAGGTGTATTAACATACAGTACACTGAGAAACATTTGGTTTAATGTTGGCCATTAGGGACTTCAAAGTGTGGGGTAAAAGTGTGATGGCCTTTTCAAACACTGACATTTAATAATATTAAATTTCTATTATCAATAGGAAGGCCATTGAGGCTACTCTGTAATTTGCGGGTATTTCAATTCCTATAGCTCATAGAGCACCAGTCTAGTCCAGTAAATGGTGGTTTGATTGGCCTAATTACTTTAAATCTGAGCTGTCCATCCATGAACATCCGTATAGTGGTAGTTAAGAGAAGTCATTGAACATATTCTGAGTTAAAGAATTGATAAAATTCAACATTAAAAATGTTCATCAAGTTAAAGAAAAGTTCACATTTCCTCAACTGGAATTTAGTCTGATTCCCATTTATCTCAATCTATGGTTTATAAAAATTTATTTTTTATGCAGCTGAGTCTTTTGTATTCTCGAAAGAACGGGTGAACTTTTTAACTCTGGTATTTTAACCCAGATGTGAACATGTCTGGACGTATATGTACTTTACCATGAGTCATCTGTCACCTGCGAAAAACTAATTAAATCACTATCAGTTACAAAATCATAGATACATAGCACATGTGAAGTGAACATCAGCTGAATGATTATACCTGTTTATCATAAAACATGTCATATCAGGGGCTACTTGCTTGAACTACTGTGATTGTGGCCTAGGACAGTTCAGGTCTTCCCTATGCACCTGCAACAGTTATGAAGCCTATAATGCACTATATTATCTATAAAAGCCAAAATGTACTCACTCATAACTGCTGCCTCGGTCCTCTCAATGTTTGTCAACGTAATTGGGACCAAACTCGAATTCAGTTTCAATTCTCCATTTTGGCCCTTTTGAACTAAGAATATTTTTGTGTCATATTTACGTGGCATATTTTTACAAATAGTTGGGTCTCCAAATCCATCAACCATAACCATGCGGTGGTTATGATGAATTTGCGCTGGAACTTGTCGGATTACATTGAAACCTTTCATGACACGCTTTATCTCAACTTCGCCTTTGTACATGTTTGGGTGGATCTTGTCGGGCATGATATCCCGTACTGTCCCAGTAAACACCACATTGGCTATTTCTTCTCTTTTTTCTAAAGGAAGAGGTTCCTCGCACCTGTAAGCACTTGTACTTGACAGGTGAAATAAAAACACCAAACATGCAAATCTCAGCATTGTCAATTGCTGACAGAAATTAGAAATCCTCAGCTATGCCGTGTCTTCAGTGTTGCTTGTAAACTCCCTCTGCGTTATTTTTGACCATCTAAAGTTCGATTTTGTCTTGAATATCGCAGATTTATGTCTAAAACATTGATAAGTGAGAAACACAACTTTCCCCGACTTGTCTGCTTCTCGGCGAATGAATGAAGTAACACCGAACTCAAAATGTAAAAACTTTTTTGATTGGTCCAAAGTTTCCAAAGATTTATGCGCTACCTATTGAATGTCTGGTGAACCAATTATTTTGTGTAAGTTCATTCAGTCATGGAATTTCAAAGAAAACCCATGGCAGAACAAAAAATCAGTTCATTTGCAAGTTAACTGAACATTTTATTTGTATAAGTTATTATTTGCAATTGACATAAACACTGACACAAAGTTCTTATGTCATGTGTATTACTGTATTACCCTTTGCAAGAGTCTTGATTAGCTTTATTCTTTCCCTCTGAGATAATTCTTTACCTAGGCAAAAAAATCAATCAGAATATCACTGTTCACAAAAGTTAGATATTCCTCGGCTCTAAGCTGTATCTCTAAGAGTGTTTCAAGTTATGTGTTCCTGTTAACATCAAAACTGAAGAATCACATGTCAGAGGGTAATTAAGTAGTAGTGCTCTGCAGAAAGTTTCCTGCAAACTATTTGAAACTGGCAACGCCCATCAATTCAATAACATTTTAGTCAAAAGAGAACAATCAGTGGGCAATAATTCATAAAACATTATACATGTCAACTGGTTCATATGGGCCAGGCCCGTAGCCAGGGGAGGGGGGTTTGCAGGGTTCGGGCATGCCCCTTTCATGCAGTTTTTCACCATTTTGAGCACTTTTCAAGTGATTTTAGCCATATTTGGGGCAAAATTGTCAAATGTAAACCCCCCCTGGAAATCTTTGAAAATTGAACCCCCCCTTGGCAAATCCTGTCTACGGGCCTGTGGGCTAAACAAATCAGTTCCCAACATCCTTCCATGCATCATCCTGGAACTGATTTTTAGGAATATTGTTTGAGTGACTGAGTCCCCCTTGTGAATTTTCAGATCTGCATCTGGTTCCAGTATTGTAAACATCTTTATCATACAGTTTTGATTTGATGTAGTCAACGTCAACAGACAATCGTAGTCTTCTCTTACCCCTCTCCCTCCAGGATGGAAATATAAATTGATTTGAGAATATGTGAATCTAACAATGGCTAGCAATTTTTCCATATTGGCTTATTAGACTTATTACATAATTTGGAGATGTATTTCACCAAAGCCTCCTAATGTTCAAGGTCCAAAATAACTTTTATCAATCATTTTGGCTGAGCTTTCATTTGTGCTGTTGACTTGCTGTATTTTCCCGGGAATTTTCTTTTCATCCAGTGCGATTGGCCTCTTTTTCATTCAAAACACAATGGCCGCCAAAATCTCAGAAAATGTGCTAGCCTCCGTTTTAGAGCCCCCGGAGGTCGATGCACTGTCTGATGAGGTTAAATGTAAGCTAGAATCAAAGATCAATAGCCTCCAAAGCAGCGTTGATGAGTTGAAACAGAAGAACGAAGAACTTCTCATTGATAAAGGTTTGTTTAGAAAACAAAAATAAAAAAGCTGATTTTTTTAAAAATTTTAAAACACCGGCTTATATTTTCCGTAATTTATCATTTTCTATGCAATTAGACGCATGTTACTTTTAAATATGTGATATAAGGCATGTGAAATATTTGATTTAAAAGTTCATTGAACGAATGTTATTCTCCATTAGTCTAGTCATGGGCTTTCAATTAGTTCTTCTTCTTCTTTATCTAATTTACGTGTTAGTGTACTTAACACGATGGCACTTTAATGCTGCCTTTGGTCACTAGATACATTGGTTTCACTTTGTACTAGTGTTGTCGCGATTAATCGATACATCGCGATATACATCGCCAAAGCTGGTTCTGGCGATGCATCGATGTCTGAAACAAAACATCGATGTTTTTAAAAAAATTTAATTTGCTAAAAATCGCCCTTTCTTATCTTATTTTGACGCAAATTGCTTACCTTTTTTCATGTCTTATTTCATTTTCAAATGTTTGCTGATATTCTTTCGCTTTAAAACTTTTTTAGCTAGTCGAAATGAACCATTAATCTAAAAAAAATTACTTTCATTTCACAGTTACTATGTTCCCGGATGTACCAGCGTACTCTTATTAATTTGTTCTGTTCGATATTTTAGTGCATTAGCGTTCGGTATTTCAGTGCACTTTTCTCGAACTTTTTCTCGATGTACATCGCGATGTGCATCGATGTTTACTACTGAAAATTGCCGATGCATCGATGTACGATTATGGCACATCGCGACAACACTACTTTGTACTATGTACAGAGAAAGCCCATGGTCTAGTTTGTTTCAGTTTCATGGGGAGTAAGTAGTTCAACAAGTTAAACCCAATACCACGGCTTTCATTTATAATCTGAGTGTTCTTGTTTCAGTGGTTGGGTTTAACTTCCGTGCTATGCTTTCATTGGTTGCAAATTCTCGCTATCAGTTATTAATAAAACGTGCATGAAATTCTATGCGCTGCCATAGGCCATCATTAAAATTTTTTGCATCAAGGGCCGAATAGGCAGGGATGTTAAACCTAGGGCGGGCCACAAGAAATGTCAGATAAGAAATAAGGCCCAGACTAGGTTTAACTTGTTGAACTAGGGGAGTAAGATGCTTGCTTGACTTTCTCAAAACTGCTTGAAGTTGTAAATTGACCTCGAGAATTAATAAGCCCTTCGTTTCCACACTTGATAATTGGTGATTGCCTGAGTCTCTATTCATACACTTTCTTGATGGAAATTGACTATCCAATGTTTATTTCTGTGACCTTCATTGTATATAACCTTTACATTGTCCCAATCTGTTAAAAAGTTCATCTGAGCGATGCACATGATCAATGACTGCTGATTTCCCAGTTTGTTACACTGCTTCAAAGGCAAGCAGTTGAACCTGAAAAATAAGAAATCTATAGACCATTGTGCCATAATATATAGAAAAACATATTCATATTGCACACGAATGACATTTGTATATTTCAGATTATTAAGTGTTTTGTGCAATAAGCCTGTACCCTCTTGTAATTTGAAGTCTGTCCCCCATGTTATTTTTTTGAGAATTAACAGTTTTAAGCAGTGTAACAGACTGTACTTTCTTAACATTTCTTGTGTATCTTGTCAACTCACAATCAGAGACAACTTTCTTATGTTCTGTCAATCTTACATCTAATATTCTGCCTGTCTCTCCAATATATATTTCTTTACACAAGCTACATGGTATTTCATATTCTACGTTTGACTCGTCTAGAAGCTTGCACTTGTTTTAAGGGTGAACTTATATTGTCTTAATGTTTTAACTGGTTTAACTGTTGATCTTGTGTTTCATTTTACCTTTTCTGTTATAACTTACATATGTTGTAAACCCTATCCTTCTACTTTATCTGTGCTAAAAGAGACATTTGCACATTTGTATTATATATTGCATTCAAAGTAAAAGGCATTATTAAGCCATTTATCAGAATATGAATGTCTTTTATTAAAGATTTATTCATTTTACTTTTCATCAAATGTTTGTCTTGTCAATCAGTTTCTAGGAAGTTAGACAATATAATGTTTAACATGCTTATTCCCTACATTGTATCCTTCACTGATTTCTAGAGCAACGATGTTTCAACTTGGAGAAGCAGCTTATATCGAGCACTACCAAGAGGGAGGAATCGGCCAAAGAAAACACTGAACTCAAGCAACAGTTAAAAGAATTAGGTAGGCTTATTTATTAATCTGTGTTGTCTTGTGCCCTTTATACAAAACAAACAGAAATTTAAAATTAACAATAATCTTTGGTTAGACAGATTTTGGATTTTCTGCACTATGTTCCTTGACATTGGTCTTTATTGAAAGACAATTTGGTTTACTTATTTATTTCAAAAACCTTCCCATTTTTAAAATCATTATATCTCGTCTTAGAAAATAGATTGTACAGTTTAATTCAAAATACAGTGTAGTAATTTTTTTCAATATAATGATTAATTATTATTTCCAAGATGTAATAATGCCCCCCCCCCCCCTCCAGCCCTTCATCAAACAATTTTGATTTTGTGTTGTGTTTTAGAAACAAAATACAATGAGACGACTACCAACCTCAGAGAGGTTAACAAACGTGAGCAAGATTTTGAGAAAATACGGGTAAGTGATAACATTTCTTCAGTTGAACATCTTTAGGTAACTCTTTGTAAAATATATCACTAGTGGATTGTTACTTCCTAAACCAAGACAGAAGGTCAACATTTAAGGCTAACATAACAGTGGGCCAGTTTTATCACTTACTAAAAACCTCTTGGATATATGTTGGTTAACAGAAAACAATTCAAGGTTTCGATATTAACTCGTGTGAATGTCTAAATGACTGTCCACGTCTTTTATGTTAATTTTTACAGCAAGAACTTGAGCGCAGTAATGCACAGCTAAAACTGGAGAAACAAGATGTCTGTGAACTGCTCACCAGGAAAGAAAGGGAAATCACACGCCTCAACGGTAAGTCAACTTTGAGGAAATGATAGGAGCATTTTTGAGACAAACGACTAGCCTGTGACTGATTTTAAAAGGGTTTGAAAGGTCTTTGTCTTGAGATATTTTTACTCAACTATAATGATAACAAAAATTGTCCAGAGTGTTTCAAATTGTATTGATATAAACATATTTTCTAAACATAAAAGCTGCACTATTATTAATGTGATTGGTGACTATTTTCAGAGGAGTGGTCATCGATGTGTGAAAAGGTGGCAGCATCCAACCAAGCAAAATGTGAAGCTCTTGCACAACTGGAGGAGTTCCAAACTCAAGAAGTTACATCTAAGGTAAATCATTACCAATCTATATATAAGCTACTGTAGTCCAAAAGAGAACCTAGCCAGTCCCCGTGAACCGCATGATTGTTCAAATGTGATAAACTTGTACTTTCTTTGTGGAGTGCAGTAACTACTTGGGTAGAGTAGCTACTTATAAGTCTTTTTTCATGTCATTGTGAAGTCTTACATGTCTAAAAGTAATTTGAAATAAAGTGAATTGTAGGGGTCACACGGTTAACCGTGGCTTGCGGTTACCGCGGTTCATACCTCCACGACGGTTAGCTCGCACACAATCTTGAAAACCGCGGTTCTTGAAGAACCGTGACATTTTCAGTTTCACTTCAGAAAAATAAAAATGTAAACTCGGAATTAAACTCCATTTCAAGCTTTCGTGTAATACCAATTAACTAAACATCGTCTGGAATCGTTAATCATCATGCAATAATGCGAACCATACCTGATATTTACGACGATCTTCTGATATAGACGGCAGATAACAAAAACAAAAGGAAAATGTTGATAAATTTCACCGGCATATTGACCCGGAAGTGACCTACGCTAAACATTTCGCGCAATCCTATTGGTTGATAGAACAGTATACTGTAAAAAGCCGAACGCCGAATGCATTGAATTTGCGAACGAGTCACGTTCTGTGTATTACGTTCGCCTTTGATCCATGTTGAGTCCTGACAAAGTGTTGAACTTAAGTTATATTCCTAAAGAAAACATTCATTCAGTTCAGTGAAGTACTGTGCTAATTTTGCCAACAGTTGACAAGTTATTTTATGTGTGGAAAAAACTTGAACATCAAACAAGAAGATCAACACAGTGAACACACAGATATTTTGGGAGGGAGGGAGGGAAAAAAGACTGAACAAACAAACAAACATTGTGTGAAACTTGATACTTACAATACTGAATACAATAAAACACTGTGACACACTTAGTATGTTTTCTGATTTTCGGATCAATTTCATATATTTTTGCTCATTTCACGAGGCCCGTGAGAACCGCAATCAGAACCGAACCGAACTGTGAAATACAATAACCGAACCGAACCGTGAAATCTCAAACCGTGTGACCCCTAGTGAATTGAATTGAATTTATTGACCTATTGTGTGATTAGCTATCAGAATTGTATTCTGAAATTGTAAACTGAAATCGCAGGCTAGGGTTTAAAGTGGAGGAGGAATAACATTTTGACAGTCAACCATATGGCAAGTTCAGTATAATTGTTAAAGGAATTCTAGGCAATAAAAATAACAAAATATTGCTTCTGGGACAAGATCAAGCAACTTTTACATATTCTTTACCCTACCTATTTTGTAATTTAACAATCAACACAAGGAAACATACCATATTTCAGCAGAAATCGAAAAAAATTCATTAAAAAATATATACATATATATTTTAATTATTTCAAATTTTGCTGTCAATTTTGCTGTCAACTTTAAATGCTTCTTAATAATCTTCAAATGCTTACTATGATTTCTATTGGTCATGTTTTGACTTCTATTTTGAATAGACCTGCATGTATACATGTAGTTTGAAAATAAAATCATCAGAGAAGGTTTAAACCATGAAATCGACTCTAAAGCCTGAAAATAAAATTTGAACCATTTTGTCGGCTGTATGTTACAATGTGCCTTTAAGCTAGTCCAAAAATAAAACAGTAATGCTTGCTTTGTCCAACTATTATTTGACCACTCATATTCATCAACTTCTGCAACTATTCCATTTTATGACATCATGTTATGATGTCATCCCTCTGATTCATTATTATGATGTCAAGAAATGATGTCATTCTTGATTGAAACACTTAAGGGGCAATGTATTGTGCAGTCAGGTGCAAAATGATTGACTGCTTATTGACCACCCCGAATCAAAGGGGCATTAACATTATGTATTAGATTATATAAGTGGTTGTTCATGTTGTAGTTCAGAGAGAAGCGCCTGGAGCAGGAGAAAGAACAACTCCAACAGCAAAACACTTGGGTGGATCAACAGCTGCAGGAGAAAACATCAGAGCTGCAAAACTTCAGGAAAGAAAGGGTAGGTATAGGAAATGAATGGCAGAATCATATTTATGGAAAAGAAGAGATTTCAAGGAGTGATATGAGCACAAAATGTTCTTGCTTACAATTGAAACATTTTTTTGTCAAGATGATGACAATGATGAATATGTTACATACAATTCTACTTGCTTGATCTAATAATACTATTTTAACTCACAGATCTATTACAGAGAAATGATTGTACTGGACCTTACCAAGTCTCACCTCATTATTTTATTATTTTCATTTTATTCTAAATTGAGACAAAAATGAAATTACTAGATTATTAATACAACATATGATATATAAAACAGAACTATAGCTAATAGATTTATTTTAAAAAAGTCTTGCAACTGTAAAGTAATAATCTAATAATTGCATTGTTAATATTCCAGTCAGCCAAGATTCTAGAGTTGCAGAGTTTAATACAGGATAAGGATGATGAGGTTAGTTTTACAACTATTTGTTGATGTCAAAAAGAGGAATTTGACACTTTAAATTGAAGTGATAAAAGTTCATAGACTTTTGTGCAAATAAGAATGACATGATTGTGCATGTGCAAGCCTAGATGTAAAACGTTTTCTCCAGATTGTATACCTTACCTTACTTAAAGTAATAGACTGTATTGTGTAGATCAAGCAATTGACTGACAACCTTGAGGCAGGACGAGTCAGCCAAGACACTCAAGCAGAGAAGATACAAGACTACATGGAAAGACTGAAGAAGTCCAGAGATAACCAGAGCAAGATTGAAGAACAATACAGAAATGAGCTACAAGCTCAAACTAAACTTGTCACTCTTTATAAGGTTGGTAAAATGAATTAGTTTCAAAAACTTGGAAGTAACCCGCAGCATTAATGTGTGCTTAAAAATGTTATTGTACCATTTTTCCCTACAAATGATGTCTTCTATAGATTTTTATGTCACCTCCAGAAGTTCTGACATTTAGTTCTGTGGCTGGTTTTGTTGTTCAGCATTTATAACAGTGTGTGGCCTCTGTAAGAGAGGTTGGCATCTCTTACAAATGGCAGGTTGTGACATTTTGCATGTTATTGCCTTGTATTCTATATAAAATACTCGCCTTTTCCAGGAATCTGCCGAAGAGTCAGAGAAAAAGAGTGAGGAGCTGATATCAGCCATGAAGGAATTACAGAGATTGCTCAAGGAAGCCTCCAACAGTAAGATAGACCACTTAATTTGTAAATCTGTAAATTTGTAAAGCCTCCAATAGTAAGAGAGATCACTTGTAAATACTACAACTATTACAACTACAATTTCTATTGCAAAAACATTAAAGAGTTAATTATATCCTTACTTTGCATGGTATACAGTCCAATGTTGTTCATCTACAACTGAACATCCAAGAACTGTTATGAGTTACTATACCATTTGTGAAACTTAACCATCCCTCAAAATTTGCATAAGGAACATCGCATAAGCCAATTAAATATCAAAAACAGAAGATCTTGATAGATAGAAAACATTGTGAATATTTCTGTAGTATATTTTAAGTAAATTGAGAGTTTTGTTTTATTTTCAGCCCACACTGATATAGAACAAGAAAGGTTGGACACAGCTAAGAAATATCAAGACCAAATTGATAAAAGAGGTACATATATTTCAATATAGAAATGTCATTGTGATCTAGAACAACATGGGTGTTTAACAACAATAACTATTTACGAAATCAAACTGTATGAAATGTGTGCATGATTGACCAATACGAGTTACAATAGCAACTAGGGGTGAGACGAGTCGAAAAAATCCGATTCGAGTCGAATCCGATTCGAGTCAGAAAATGACGATTCGAGTTTCGAATCCGTTTCGAGTCAGATAAAGTGCGAACAACATCGCTTTTGACCGTTCGTATTTTTAATGCGTCAATGGTGGAAAGCCGGAAATATAAACAAACACAATTCGTCGTAAGTTTATTCTGATTTTATTACATATATTCTTTCATTTATGTGTACATACAATATAATAATTTAATACAAGCATATCCAAGTCATTGAAACTTATATATTCAACGCAATATCGAGTAAAAACATGCATATTGACAGTATTTTTCTGAATTTTTTTATTTTTTCGAATTTTTTATCAACTCGAAAATGATTCGATTCATCAACTTCGACTCGATTCGACTCGACTCGAAGCCCCAAACCCGCGAGTCCTCGACTCATCGGGTTGTCGTCTCACCCCTAATAGCAACCAAAACTTTTGGCAAATCATTATACAGTAATTTATTTTTTGTGTCTCATTACATAAATATTTTGCATTCATTTGTACTTGTGAAACTTTCAACCAAAAGTATTGAAAATCAAAAAGTGAAAGCATTTTTGCATGATCGCATTGAATGACCTGATATAAACTTATTTTGTAGATGTGGATATCACAAAGCTAAAGAATGAACTGGAAGTAGCAAATGAGTTACTGGAGTCTCGGAAAAAAGGTAAGTAAAAATCAAATACTATACTACATTTATACAAAAATTTAGATCATCTTAGATCTTAGTTTTATCTTCTCCCGAGTAACTTTAGTCATACAAATATTTTGTATTCAGGAATGTTGGCTCTGACAGAAGATGATATCGAAGCTTTGGCCCCAACAGCTGCTGCAACAAGCAAACTGCTCAAATCAGGAAAAACGCTGAGCCAAGTCTACTATGAGCATGTGGAGCTGTCTAGGTCTTTGGATAAAGAAAAACAAGAAAACAAACGACTTAACAATTACATGGATATGATATTAGAGGTAAGGAAATAAAGGAATCAATAATCATATTATATATAACATCTTAATCTAAATACTCAAATTTGAATGCCTCAAAAGCAGTTTAGGCCATCAGAAGGAGATTCTTTGTTTTGTGTCCCCTTGCTTGCACGATTTTGAGTAAATCAGAAAAAACAAACACATCCAAATAGCAGTCTCAAGGGTCTGAAAGTACCATCGCATTTTGTTCAATCAGATGAAATGCCGGATACTTTGATGTGCATCAAAATTGACAGTGTTATTGATTACTTTGGCATACATTGTGTATTTTCTTAGTTTCAACCCTTGAATAGTAGCTAGTTTAATTAAATTGTATAAAATGTATAGATATATGTTTGTAATCCCTGCAAATTGGTATGTCATCCCTTTTTATCCCCATAAAATGTATACATTTCTCAGCAAACAAGCTTGTGTTTTTTTTCTTGAGTTTGTGTTTGCTTTCCTTGTACCCTTGCATGATTTGGATTTTGCCAGGACGCAAAACATAGAATCTACTTCTTATGGCCTTAGTCTGTTTTACATGTAATAGTAAATTGTACTGTATCACATACTACATTGTACAGTAACATATACTACATCATAAAGTATCATATACTACAAATTGGTGGACAGCCTATCATACCCTATATTCCATACTGCAGGAGATAGAACAGAAAGCACCTATGTTGGTGAAACAGCGCGAGAATTACGAGACATCACTCACTACAATCGAGAACTTGACCAGACAGATGGAGACTGGAATGCTGGTAAGACATCATGTAATACAAAAGATTACAAATTAGTGAACAAGCAGGGTTGGCACAAGCTGCACTTGTGATGTTTTATTGAAATTATGTTGAATTGTAACATGATTTCACAATAAAACAAATGTTTGAATTGGCATGTCTATTAATTGAGTATGAATGATTCCTAAATATTATAGATAGTAGATTTCAAGAAAGGAATTTCTATAGAATTCTTTCTGATTTCTGATTTAACAATCTTTTGATAATAACAATGATCAGAAAAATTCAACGGTCTAATAACATATGAGAGAATCAATTTCTTGCTCCATATCCCTTAATCTTATGTTCTGTATATGTATTGCATTAAGTCTATTTACCATATTCTTTTATTGCACTGTTTATTGTCCACTAGGAATGTGAGAAGCTGCGTGTGAAGGCAGATGATGAATTCAGACGTAGTAACCATCTTGGTAGAGAGAATGAACGGTTACAACAAGAGACTAGGGATCTAGGTCAACAGGTAGGTCCATGAAAATAGAGGATAAACAATTAAATTCTGTTAATGTTAGAGATCTCATGGTTTCCCGATATTGTCCCGTCCCGAGACCAAAGTCCCGAGGGACAACCCCCATGTACCAAAGATTTCGGTCCATGTTCAGGATATACTATTTCTCCTGTGTGTGACCCTAAAACTTCCAAAATGCATGATAAATATGATCTAGACTTGAATTTTCTTTCGTATTTATAATTTCTCTGCCGGATTATGTCCATGCTTAAATTCCATCTCGAGGCAATACTATGTGTGATTATATTAAACGAAAATTCAGGACAGAATATGTAGTTTTATTGATAACAGTGTCTCCCTTTGAAATATGCTTTAATTTAAACAATAACAAAGAACTTTATTGGTGAGAAAAGTAGCAACTTAAAATTAATCTCCGATAACAAGTTTTGCGCAACATGCGCAGCTCTCTTGTGACGCTCAGAAGATCCTGCATGAGCAAAACCGGAAGTAGAAAGAAAATGTAAGTTTTTGACTGTGATTAACTATTTTATTGGTTATGTCCTGTCCCATCCCGAAATGGATAATTCTCATCCCGTCCCAAAATATTTTCGTCCCGTGACATCCCTAGTTATTAATCTTATTGTGCCCATGTTAACTTTTTATGTCGTCACCATAAGTGGTGACATATTGTTATAGTCTCCAACTTTTTTGTGGATGAATTTTGTAGATAAATGCATTCAAAATTAAATATGTTGGTGTTCTCTGATTTCAAGGTTGAAATTTAGATTGAAGATTTTTGATTGAAGTAACATTCTATTTTTAACACCTAACGTGGTTTAATCTTAATCGTGTCAACATTTGTTGTTTAGGTGCGTATGTTACTGAAGGAACTTGAAGAGGCCAGAGGTACAGTGGTTAGTAAGACAGATGAGGATATGAATGTATCTCACAATGAAGTCAGCAGTTCATCAAATCTCATTAGTGAGAAGCTTGTCACATTCAGGTGAGAACAGGGGAACAGTTGTATATCATTTTGACAGTCAGTATAGAGTATCAGGTTATATGATGGTTGATTCTGTATTGTATCGTGTTTATACTCACAAGTATAACAGTATACAGCATCAACCATTATATGATCTTATTTTCCCACCCTAAATTGAGCTGTTGTATGATCAAGTCGGAGAGCTGTATACGCAGCCCAGGGGTTGTATATGCTATCCAAGAGTTGTATATCGTTCTTAAGACTTGTACATGATGAATGTTGGTTTTTATATTGCAGTTATACAATGCTGTTATACAATAATATAAAGCACTTAGGGTGGGATAGTAAGTAAATATATAGTTATAATATATACATATATAATATTAAGTTGCACCATAATCCCACTATAACAGCTAAATGTACAAATGTAAATAAACTTAAAATCGCAAATGTGCCTATTGTAGGAGTATAGAGGAGCTTCAGGAACAGAATCAGAGACTTATAGGAGTAGTGCGGGAGCTGAGTGAAAAGAAAGAGAAAGAGGAAATACAAGCCTCCTCTGACCAGTATGTTATACCTTTAACTGTTCAGCTCTATAAGGTGGGGAGGGGGGGGGGGGGGGTGGGATAAATGTGCTTGCCATAAAAATCTTTTCTCACTCTAGAAATTACAAAACTTGGGATTGTATTATATAATTTTTTTGGAGTTGTGCATGGTTTGAAGTTAACCCAATAAGTTATGAACAATTATTAGTTTGACTTGTTTTCTAGATAACTCTTATTGAATGATATATATCCAACCCAACTTAATAATAAATTCCTGACAGAAATGGTTTCTTTTGCCTGCGAAAAGTGGTAGGAAATGTAGTAAGTAACAACTGTAGTAAGTTAGTAACTTACCAATATCGTACTTTGACCTATTAATTGGAGCAGGGGTAGCTGGAGCAGTCTCCATCATTACACTGTCAGACTGACTTCCTGTCAGTTATCGTGTAACTCTTTTACTGCATATAGTCACATGACATCTGGCCATCAACTTACCAACATATTTGCATATCTAACATCTTTTATGTTGTAAAATAACATATAATTTTGCTCATTAGTTGAAATTGGATTCCAGGACTAAAGCATTGCAGCATGACTTGGAGGCAGCCATGTCTCAGATTGAGGAGATGAAGTCAGCCAGAGGAAGACAAGAGGAGATGGTGAAGTCAATAGTGATGCAGAGAGACATGTACAGAGTGCTCCTCAGTCAGTCAGGGGGATCTCCAGTGAGTTGTTTTGTATTTTAATTTTTATTGTCTATCTTATCACCCATTGAAATCAAGTGGGTGATAGGAAGTACAGTATAGAGTTCTATAATTAACTATAGTTAATTATTGCATGTATAACTATGCTAGAGAGAGGCAGTATAAATAGATAAATGCCTATTTGATGTACATTTCAGCTTCCACCTATCCCAATGCAATCATCTACTCCTGGACCAATACAAACCCCACAAACACCAGTGACCACACCCTCACAAGTTCCCACCCCCTCAAGTGCAGACAAACGAAAGCTAGAAGAGACTACCACAGCATTAAATCAACTCAAACGAGAATTTGACACATACAAAAAGGATAAGGGAGAGAATTATAAGATGATTAATGAACAGCTTGAGAAGGTCACCAAAGAGGTGAATGAATTCCGTGTCCAAAATGCAAAATTAGCATCCCAAGTAAGTTTGTTGATTTATATCTATTAATGTGTAATTATTTCAACCATATATAGTATATGTTTTTATTATGCATTATCTTGACAGTAAACAAATATTAACCCCTGCTGGTAAACTTGCTATTTTAAGCTGATTTAATAACTACACCCAAGTTGATTACACTCTCATAAATCCTAATATTTTCAGCTTGACTTTGCCACTGAGAGGTACAAGATTGTCCAAACCAACAATGAAGGTTTTAAACGAGAGATTGATGGTCTTAGAGAGAAGAACCAGAAATTCCATACAGCGATTGGCAAACATGAACAGACGATTAATACACTAAGACAAGTAAGTCAATGGAATGGGGTGAAAACATAATTTCATCAGAAGCCATTCAGAACATTCAACAACAGGTCAATGTTTTTTTGTGGTTACAGATACATATTAAAATATTACTTATCTTTGTCGAGATCTAGTTGATTACAGATGTTCAACATCAAAAGATACATTGCAATGATACAATGATATTTTTTATTAGGAGGTTATGTCCAGCCAGGAGAATCTAGCCAGGGCCCAGGTGCAGTGTGATAACCTACGTGCAGAAAAGCAATTGCTCAAGACAGCCGAGGAACGACTCATTCTGGAGAAGGAATCGCTTTACAGGGAGCAGAGATCTCAGAATGTTGTATTGGCCAATTTACAGACACTACAGGTAGGTTATCTCTCCTGAGAATTTTGCTATTAAACATCTTAAATGGTTCTTTATTCTTGTGTACTTCAATCTTGCTACCTTATGTTATCTTACATTGCACAAAGTTATTGAATGAAGACTTGTAACAAAATATGTTTTCTAGCTCTGTAGGCATTACAAAAAGGCTCAATGGTTAATAATTTAATTGTTAAATAGACAAAAACTGATGCAAACTGATACTTACCCCCAGCTAACCCCCAGCGATGTAAACAATGTACACTATAGTACCACTGTTGTAAGCAATGTACACTATACTATACAGGGTGTTCCAAAAGTAACAGGACTGGTCCTGGCATTTTGTCAATTTTGCACCGAATGTCTTCAAATTTTCACAAATTGTACTTTGAAGTATTGCAACTAAAATTGTATAGTTTCAGAAGTGGTTACTATAGTAACATGACATCACAATACCCGGGGCAACTTTTTTCTGAAAATGTGATATCTAACATTTTTGTATTACTGAAGGGAGTATCTAATTCACCTATTATAATACAATATTTCTTGTTTGTTTTATTAGTTGTTTTTTTGTAAAGGTGTAGCTATAAAACTCAGATTCAAGTGTAATTTCATTATAATAATATTTATTCAATTTCCTGGAATATCACTATGAATTACAGTCTGAACAATTCATGGTTGAGTTTTTGAAAATACCCAATTTGAAGCCAGTCATCCACCTCGATAGGGCGCCTGCCCTTAGGTCAACATTTAAGACCATGCAGCTATAGAGGAGCTAGGTCCTGAGTTCTAAAACCATGCACCATACTCTTCTGATCATGCAACATCCAATTTTTACTTACATGGAGAATGGAATGCTAATCAGTGCTGTAAGATCTTTAAAGATGAGAATGACCTTCTCCAAGTTGTTCAATCGACCATGCATGACATGTCCTCATGTTCACTCATGTGTTTGAGTCATGGATACAGAGTGCTACCCTTCTACTGACCAAAGAGGAGCCTATTTTTCAAAGTACATAGGATACATAGGAATATCAAAATATGTAAAACAAATGTAATTCCCATCAGTTGTTGCATTTTAACTTTGATATGGGATATACAAAAGGCTTAATGTCTCTTTCTGTCTTAATGTAACTTTCTGCGTGGAATGTTGCCCCGGGTATTGTGATGCCATGGTACCATAGCAACCATAACTCTACCCGAGTTACATAATTTTTGTCAAAACTTTGCAGTTTTAGTAACGATACATGAAAGTACATTGTGTAAAATTTTGAAGACGATTGGTGCATATTTAACAAAATGCCAGCACCAGTCCTGTTACTTTTGGAACACCCTGTAGTACCACTGTTGTAAACAATGAACACTATAGTACCACTTTTGTAAACAATGTACACTATAGTACCACTGTTGTAAACAATGTATATTATAGTACCACTGCTGTAAACAATGTACACAATAGAACCACTGTTGTAAGCAATGTATACTATAGTTCCACTGTTGTTAACAATGTACACTATAGTACCACTGTTGCAAACAATGTACACTATAGTACCACTGTTGTAAACAATGTATATTATAGTACCACTGCTGTAAACAATGTACACAATAGAACCACTGTTGTAACCAATGTATACTATAGTTCCACTGTTGTAAACAATGTACACTATAGTACCACTGTTTGAAACAATGTACACTATAGTACCACTGTTGTAAACAATGTATATTATAGTACCACTGATGTAAACAATTTACACTATAGTACCACAGTTGTAAATAATATACACAATAGTACCACTGTTGTAAACATTGTATACTATAGTACCACTGTTGTAAACAATGTACATTATAGTACCAGTGTTGTAAACAATGTACGCTATAGTACCACTGTTGTAAACAATGTACACTATAGTACCACTGTTGTTGTAGAATAACCAAGAGAGGGCAGAGTTTGAGATGAAGACAAAGTTGAACCAGCAGCTGGAGACCTATGAGAAGGAAGTGAATGTCCTCAGGAGGAAATTGGAGACCACAGAGGACCACGGCAGGGACATGACAAGAGGTCTACAGGTAACAACAGGATTGCAACTCTAGCACACTTTCCCATTGTTTCTTAAAACAAGAACATTCACTAGCACACTTCCTCATTTTTTCTCAAAACAAGAACATTCTCTAGTTTGTTTGACACAACAATTTCAGCCATTTTACCTTTCATATCACATTTAAACCCCAACAAAACACCATGATTGAGATTTTTCCGAGCAGCATCAAATCTGTAATACTCAGGGTGTATTGGGCTACTCTGTTGTGCCTCTGTTATATATTTTATTCTCGGATTTCCTAGAGAGAACTGCGTGATATGTCAGAGAAGCTACAGCAGGAGAGAGATAAGCACTGTAAGACTAGGGAGGAGCTCATTGATGCCTTTGCCGATGTACATGCCCTAAAACAAAAGGTAAAGATTTATACATTATAACATTGATGTAATTGCTATCTATACTCCATTATATGGGATATGGCACAAAACACAGATTTTGAAAAGGGATCATTTATGCGACCATATTTTAAAGATGGCACAAAACACAGATTTTGAAAAGGGATCATTTATACGACCATATTTTAAAGAGGTAATATTTAAGGTACCATAATTTATATTAATGGTTTCAGTTGTCTGAAAGTGATGCGAAACTTGCATCTGCTGAAACTCACTTGAAGAATGTGACCGCTACCCGAAAGATTGCCCCTGACCTAGAGCTCCCTACTCCCCCAGCAGCAGGCTCACAGGCTGCTCTACACTTAGAAGAGATCAGTGACCTTAAAGTACAGCTGAGACAAGCTAATGAAGAGATATCAAGTAAGATTTCATAATTGATTAGTAGTTTATTCAGAAAATGTGATTACATACTCATATTTTATGAGATGTGTTGGTGCATGGCTACAGAATTAATAATCACATATTTATGAAATCATTTAAAAATGATTATTGGATATTGTTTTGTTAATCTTCAACAAACATGCTTGTAAAATCACAAAATATTAAACATTTGAAGTCGAGCGTTGAAATGCATTTAAAGTAGTATCCTTAAAGAATGTATATATTCATATATTTGTTTATATCCGGACCCATAAATGACACATTTTTGTCACATTTACAATGATTTCAGTGATACCTGGTACATGACTGTTTATTCTTTCATTAGTATGAAGTGTGTGCATGTATATTTCAGACCTGAAGGGAGAGGTGTCCAAGAGTGAGGGTCTTGTCGCCCAGTATAAGTCCATTGCACAGGACATTGAGGATAATCTGAAGGAACAGAACCAAACCAGCAAGCAGTTCAGTTCTTCCTTGGAGAACAAACTCCAAGAGGCACAAGAAGGTAAGAACGTAATTTTTTTATGTTCTCATCATTTTAATATCATCATTAATAAGATAGGGCTAACTCTTGGAGAGCTTGTAGATATATTTTAGGAACATTTAGATTAGCTTACATATGGTAATATTTTTGCTCTTTGTATTGAACTTATTTCAAATTGCCAAAAATATCATGGAATATATATAACTTAAGGTGTGACTAGACTAGAGAAACAACTAGATGTAGTGGAGAAGGAGAGACAGAATCTACTCAACCAGAATATCAAGCTCAATGAGGACAGCCATGCATTGGTAAGATATCATTCAACATATCTCAAGAAAACTTGACCTATTATAGGAATATCCTATGGTTTTGAAGAAATATCATTTATATACATGAGTGGATATTGATATCTTCATGAGTGAGCACAGCGAATGAGTGAAGATATTTGTATCCATGAGTGGATATAATTGATATTTTTGAAAAACCATCATCAGCAAAAAAGTTGAAAAATATAATCTGAGAAAAAATTTGAAAAAATGATTGAAAAAATGTTGAAATTTTTTTTGAAATTTTTAAAAAATATTTTTGAAAGTAATTAAAAAATGTCAAAAGATTTTTTTTGAAAAAATTCGAAACCATCGAATATCACTTTTCAAACCATCGAATATCATTTTTTAAGACGTGATATTCGAAAGTTTAAAAGTGATATTCGATGGTTTGTGAATTTTTTGCTAAACTATGATATCTTGATCCACATATCAAATATATCTTCGTGTGATATTCGATCTATATCCATGCAACCATGGGATAATCTGATTTATTCTTTTTGAATCGTTTTTATTTTTTATTCAATAAATTTTTTTAAGGACCATGATTCTTGGGATTTCAAGATTTGTTTCACCTTCACTGTAGTTGTTAAATACTGTACGCATTTGGTCTAACTGCAGAATGCTGATCTAAGGAAGCAGTGTACCTCCCTACAAAATGAACTGGAGGAGACTGCAAGTAGGAGGGAGGAAGCAATTAGGAATGAACAGCTAGCAAGGGATGAATGTAATGCTCAACTCCAATTGGCCACTGAGGCCCAGTCCAAATATGAGAGAGAAATGATGCTGCATGCAGAGAATATTAAGGCCACTGCTGAAGTAAAACAAAAGGTGCTATATCTTTAATACAACATATTTATTTAGGAAAAATAACAAATGCTAAATGCCACTGTTTTTTAACCTAAAGGCTAAATCTGTTCACAGACTTAAATGTAATCCTGGTCAAAGAACACCATATGGCGATCAATAATGTAACTTGCGATATAAATAATATGAACTACCGGTATGTATACACTTTTGAATTTAGTCATTCCAACCATTATTCATTTAATAAAGCTTGAGAAATTAAACATTGCACTCCCTAATAATTGGGGGAATAAATAAATTGTATTTAAAATTTCAGCTCGAAGGGTTCAACAGATCATTAGCTGAGTCGGAAGACAAGAGAACCAAGGCAGAACAAGCTCTGGCTGAGTCTAAGGTAAGAAACATGATGGAAAATAGAGGACTCTGTAACTCGTTGGTTGAGCTGGAAAAACTTCAACTTGGAAAAAATTTATCAGTCTCATCCAACAACGAGTGAGGGAGTTTCTCACTGGAAGCGTTTTTGTAATTTAATTAGTAAACCCTGCTCCATCTGGGATTGCCTCGTTCTTGACTGTCACATGACTTGACAAGCTGGCCAATCATATGCATGGATGTGCAATGAACTGTTGTGGTGAAACAATTACATATACAGTGTATTCAAGGGAATAACACCACCAGTTACACTGGAACACTATGTACGATCTAATGATTTTCACAAGTATATTTGCTTTGGTGGATTTATAGTTTAATCTGGTCTTTAAATAGGCTAATATGCAAAGATAGAATTTCGTAATATTTTGCTTTTTGAAGTTTATGAACAAAATCAGTAGACAACTGAAAGATGTATCTTGTAGACCCTCCCCTTACCCCTACCCCTTCTCAGTCCCTCTTTGTCACAGCCCTGAGAGTAAGTGGGAGACAGGGTCTTGATACAAGGCTATATAATAACATAATGTGTGCTATTCCAGCAATCCTGGGAAGAGCAAGAGAAGATCTTGAAATCTGAGTGTGAAGCAAGCAAACAGAGGTGTGAGACATTGGAGCAACAGAGCTTACTCTTACATGAGCAATTGGAAGCTGTAAGTCAGACATCTCATTTCATTACTTCCATATTGTTATAGCCATCATTTTTGTGATATGTTCAGTGTTGTCAGACAGCATCTTTGACAAATTGTTTCACTTTTGTAGCCATCTGTAATAATTTGTTTACCAATTAGTAACATTTTTTCATGCTAGCCTCATTTTTATGTCACCACCAAAAGTGGTGACATATTTTTATGGTCTCAAACTTTTTTGCAATGATGGTTGGTGTCTGGCGTTAAGTGTCTGTAACAAATGGCAGGTGGTGACATTTTGCATATTAATGCCTTGTTGATGTTTGCTATCATTAACGTACCAGGCATCATATCTATCTATATTGGCAATGTTCATTTGGTTAGATGAGTATGATGATAATTCTAATGTCTTCTGATGTAGTTGAGTAAACAGCTGAGTGCAGTGAGAGAGACCACAGACAAGCATGACACATCCTATGGTTCTTTGGACCTCTCCATCAGTGAGGAAAATACAAAATCATCAGAGCAGCTTCTTCAAGTTATCAGGTCTGTAAAACTCTTCACTCATGTCTCACTTCTCTGCACATTTAAGGCAAATCACAGATTGCTTGTATTGATTTGAGATTTAAAGGAATATATCAAACAGTTTTTGGCTTGCATAAAATTTAATGTGACCATATTTTGGTAGTTTAGCCTCGTTCATTAAAATTTAAGCTGTTTTCAAAAGTGGACCAAAACGTTGTTTCCCATTAGACTACTCATATTAACAAGACAAAATAAATATTTTGACAATAAGAATATCTAAAATCTGATTGGCTCAGATATGTGCAGATTAATAATTCACATATTGCGATAATTCACCTCCCGATTCTGATGCCATCTAATGAAGATGAAACAGGAAAATGAGATTTTTATTATTATTATATACAATATTACACTTTAGATTCTTGCGTCGTGAGAAGGAGATAGCACAGACCACAGTGGAGGCTGTTGAGGCAGAGAGAACAAGGCTGACGCAACAGGTGGAACAACTCAATGCTAATCTACAGCAAGCTACAAACTCACTCAATGAAGAAAGAAAGAGGTAAAGTATCTATCATTAATACATACCATAAATGACTTAATATTTCTACTTGTTTACCTAGTATCTTTCAATTTGTTGAGTTAAAAAATCGTTTGGCTCTTAGTTACGAGAATTTTCAGACAAGTTTGGCTTTGTTACAAGAATTTTGATTGGTATTCAGATTAAATGTACATACAACCATGTACAGTACATATAAAAATGTATCTTTACTTTGTATGCTTACTTTGTGTCGTTACTCGTTAGGTCGGTGGTGAATATGCAGTCTTCAGCGCAACATGCTGAGCTAATGCGAAAGGTGGAAAATTTGAATATTTTAACAGACAGTAATCAGTTGCTGAGAGAAGAGAGAGACCAACTTAGTACACATGTTAAGGAAATAGAATCTAAGGTAATTATACTTTGACCTGTTATTTTCCCAATGAATTTCTTTACATTGTCAATGCATATTACATGTAGAGTAGTGTTACAATAAAGTATGGTTACTCAGTGAAGTTTTTATTCTATTAAGAATTGGCACAAAATATTGGGAAATCACTTCAGACGACTTGATGACTTTACTACAGAATGCCCCTATCTTTATCATTAGTTTATTTGCAGTGTGACATCAACAATATGTTGTTTTACTGAATTATGTAATGTATTGACATTTAGATACAAACCCTGGAGTCCAAACTAAGCCCTCTAGAAGAGACCAACCGACACCTTACAGGCCAGAATGAAGCTATACAGGTAATAAATCTCAGATACTTTTAACCCTTTAACGGGTAGGCTATAGATAATTACACCAGCGGTTAGGGCGGCGGATCTGCACCCCCCTATGAACTCAGAAACAAACGATCATAGGAGGTTGTATTAGGTATCATTAGAAAGGTTATTTAATTCTGAGTATTTTGAGCTTACTTTAGGAGCCATTATTAATGAAAAGATTCATATTCTAAGAACATATGGATTTATCGTTTCAAGTCAAAACTTTAATGTTATGTTGAATGTAACTTCAAAATCAATAATCTTCATAAACTTCCAAATCTGTTGCTGATAGCACACAATCACTTGGGTAATGATGACTTCTTTTCTAAAACACTATACAGACAAGTAGCTTATATAAGCAGATATTCTGTATTGTGATATGTTACCGTTTAGATTGAAAATGAGAACCTGCGTGGCGAGGTTGAGCGCTGGAAGGCCAGGACCAATACACTGGTAGAACAAAGTATGAAGAGTGACCCGGAGGAACACAAGAAACTAGTGTATGTAGATCAGTTTAATTAAATAAGTTTGTGATATTGTTACATTTTATATCGATGGATATTTTATGTCATGTGATACATGATCAACCAATCACTGAATGAGAAACATGACAATGACATAATAATGTATATTATCTATACAAGAGGTTGTGTTACTATGACAATCATGAAATATGTGTTCTCCTAATATAGGCTAAACTAAGGGCGGGGGCAAGAACAATTGTATATGTCATTGTTGCATGAGTGATGTAGTTCACATTTATATTATTCTCATTGTTACTAACTATAACTTCACACACATATGTAGGCCCTACATGCAATTAGAATTTGGTAGAAATGAAACATGAAGTCATAATGTTGCCATGACGATAATAAATTAAAATTTGCTACACAGGCCAATGAAACTGGCTACTTTTCCATTAACTCCAGTTCAGTACTTTACAATTACTAGTTATTATGTAATGCTGGTGTATGTTGCAGGGCTGAGAAAGAAGACATGCGAAAGAAGTTGGCAATGTCCACAGAGGAGATGCATAAGAATAAAGCAGCCTTGTCTCGTGTCACTGCAAACATGAATAAATTACAGTAAATACATTCTATATATTTTATAATACCAGGGGTTTCATCAGAATGATGAATGAAAAAATATGAAAAAATTATTTTAAATTATAATTTTAACATATAAAACAGTTGCAAAATTCTTCAAAACAAATGAGATATTAAAACAACATTAGAAGATGCTTGCTACTAATGAAACCCCCGAAAATTCAAAAATTACAGTGTGTGGTGCGCATGTTATATAGCTGAATAGGCTCCCTCTATAATTTGAACATTTGTGATTTGTGATTTCTAACAAAGATTTGGTCTCCAACATTATATTGTTTGATATGAATTTTCCAATAAAAGCTAGCTAATAAACCTTAAGAATGGAAATATGAGTGATGTAAATTTGAATCCATCCTTTTTACTCTTCCAGGTCAGAATTGCAATCATCCAGACAGGAGTTAACTAGAATTAAAACTCAACATGGCAGTGAAACAATCGCACTCAAGAACCAGCACAACAATCAAGTAGCAGCACTAAGAACTCAGCACAACAATGTGCTGACCTCCCTAAGGAATCAACATACAAGTGCAATAAACACTATTAAGGCCCAACATAATACAGAACTTAACACAGCTAAGAATGAACAGTCTGGTGAGTTAACTACGACCAAGAATGAACTGACGACATTAAGAAATGAATCAAACTCATATAAACAGCAAATTGAGAAACTCGTGAAGGAGCTGAACACAATGAAGAGTGAGAGGGAAACAGTTAAGGCTGAGAAGGAGAAAGAAAATGAAGAAAAAACAAAGACAATAAATCAGGTATTTGAACAATTTTCTCTCAGAAGGGAACAGGATTTCCTGTTTCCTTTTTCTATTCAAATTGATCAAAATATATCAAATTACAATATCTTATATCACCCCCATGCAGTTCAGCATCTGTAACAATTGTTACACTTTTGTAATTACAACCACCAAGTGCTATTTTGTAATGTTAATGCCCAGTTACAAATTGTATTCATTTTTCTAAAAGGGATAACCACAAGGGCAAAAGTATTTTCAGATTCCTGAATGAGTGCAGTGCTTCATTGCCTCAATTCTTTGGAGACTACATTTCCATGTTTATAGACCTTGCTGGAGAACATCTTGATTTTAATGAACACATATTAGCTGCATCTATACCTATGTGCTAACACTGTATGTCTTATTCTTTTTTAGTTATTAGTTATCTGGCTTAATAGTGTCCAGTTGCATGATCCAACATAGTGCCCTCTTTATTCTTGCATGACAAATACTCCGAATGTGATAGATGCCACATTTAAATCACCACAAAATATATATATTTCCTGTTATAATGTTGCAGTTAAAGAAAATAGGCAGAAAGTACCGCATGCAGGCGGAGGATATCCAGAAAGAGATGGACAAACTGAAGGCTGCCCAGCAAACCCAACCTCCCTCCACAACTGATGCAAACTCAGAGGCTCTGCAAGAACAGACGAAGGAACTGGAGCAGAAACTAAAGGATGCAGAAGCAAAGAATGAGGAGCTGACTAAGAAGCTGACTGAGATGAGCGAGAGTGAGAAAGATGCAGAAAACAAAGCTAAAGAGTTCGAGGCAATGGTGGAAGAGAGAACTCAGAAGCTTAAGGGTGAGATGGAGGAACTGCAGACAAGGTTAAAGACTGAGAACCAGAATCTCACACAGGTAGTGTATATTGGCTTTTTAGAATACTTGATAGATATCAACCAATCAGCGCTATCTTTATAAGGAAAGATCTGCTATTCACTAACTGCATCACTAACACAATTCATGTAAAAAGTGCAGAATACAGTTTGTACAATGGACTTAACCAACTTGTCAGTATTATAACCTGTTGTTGGTCAACATTGTCACAAGACTGACAAAGTAATTAAAGGTGTTCAACATATTCAAATTCTCATGTTAAAACACTTGATTTGGTTATATATCCTATCATTAATTATAGTATTTACTTGTAGACCATAGATCAGTTGAACAAAGACATAAAGGCCCGTGAAGAGGCAGAAAGTAAACTTCTTGCACAGAAGACAGAATTAGAAAAGAAACAAGAAAGTTCCAGTCGTGTCATGCAGACTGTCAAAGTAAAATTGACAACTATGAAGGATGCAACTGACCGTCTTTCTGCTGAGAAACGTAAACTGGAAATAGAGAATAAAGAGTTAAAATCAAAATCTGGAGCAACGTCAGGTAACAATTAATTAAATTCTTCAATTTTAATATATATAATGACTTCACTTAACTCCCTGCTGATCAGATATATGTTCTCATGATGAGTGAATAACATGAACAATGGAAAATGTTATGTAACATCAGTGTGTATGTGATGTTGAATAGAATAAGTTCTTGGTCTTTTACCAGAAGATATTGTTACAGTATCCAATTTTTTATGGATGTTGTTTGCCATCTGTAACAGCATTTGGCAGTCAGTGTCTGTGACAAATGGTTGGTGGTGACATTTTACATGTTAATGCCAGGTTATTACCAAGAAATATTAGTCTTGGTATAACATTTTCTATATTCTTCCTCACAGCAGGTGTGCCAGACTCGAAGATCTCAGAGTTTGAGGCTCAGCTTGCTGCCAAATCAGCAGAAGTAACAGCAGCAAAGTCAGTAGAGACTGACTTAAGGAGACAATTAGAAACCCTACAGAGACAGATAGAGTCTCTCCAGAGGCAACTAGAGAATGTGAAACGTCAGCCTCCTAGCTCTAGTTCAAGTGGACAAGTGGAGCGAATTGGGTAAGTCAAGTTGGCTAAAGATGAAACCTGCTTTAACATCAGATAAGTGTGCTCAAATGAAAAATCAGTTAGGTGTGCTTAGATGTCCCCCCTATAGTCTTGTGAAACAGCAAGCAAGCATTATTCGAGATTAAGTTGACTAATCAATAATTAAAGCGATTGGAAAAATATAACAGGCAGCTTTATCAGTTCAGCCTGGTCTTCCTATGGCCCAGTTTAATTGTTGATGTAATTCTGAACATTCTACCATGTTATTGTTCAGCACTGTGGCATCAGAACCTCCACCTACTGCTAATATACGGCCCACCATTGCCCCCTCCAGCCAGACCAGGCACCCCAATCCAAGCAGTTTGCAAACAGCCTCTAGCAGGGCAACGGCCAGTATACGACCCATGGCTGTTGCTGCAGTTGCGCAGACCCCCACTGCAACAGTAATGCCAACTACAGTTAATACGCAGGAGGCTGTTCATGAGACAGCACAGCGCCCTACCCAGCAGGTTCAAGCTGTCCAACCACACGTAGATGTAGTAGAACAAGACAACATTGTGCAAGGTGAGCCACACTATAAAGAAATTTCGATTTTTATTGTTGAAACTTATGAAAATTGTTATAAATACTTGAAAATAACATGGCACAGATGTCACACAAGGCCATTCTCAAATCTAGACTGTAAGCATATTGTCTTCAATATTATATTTTGAAGAAAAAATTTCAAAAAAGACTAATTGTCTAAAACATGATTCTAGTCCAAGGTGTTGCAAGCTTCCATGAGGAGGCTACTACAATTACAGTAGAGGTACCTGATCAGGCAGACAACATACCAACCATCCCAATCCAGCCTCGTAGACAGGAACCTGCTAAACGACAAAGAGATGACAGTGAGAGGTAAGTTGGTCACAACTAGTGTTAAACAGATAAAAAGTTGTATGAAATCTTGTACTTCTTTTCTATTATCAAATCCTTGTAACATTTGTCAGTTGCAATATGGTTTTGTAGTATAGCAAGGTGCATAAGCTCAGGGAACATGTGAGCTTTGCCTTGATTAGATTCTTCTTGGGGACATCTTGGTGGGCACTGTTTGGCAGTTGGTGTTTTGTGTCCAGCGGTTGGTGTTTATTTGGCATCCATAACAAATGGCAGGCCATGACATTTTGCATGTTAATGCCTTGTGTGAGTTTTGTCTGTGACCTGACTTATCTCACCAGGTATCTGAATTCCTTTAATTTCTGATGTCCCAAATTTTATGAAATTGATTTATCATAACTCCAATATTGTGGTGTTGGTGAATAAAATGGTAAAGATTAAAATAAAAGAAGCAGCTCATAAGTTATTGATTCTATTCAAATCTACATTCATATTTCCCTGTTAGTGCAGTACCCATGATCCTAGTCAGTTTGTGTTGAGTAATAAAGGATTCTAAACACAGTAGTCAGAACTTCAGTTCAGAAAAATTTAATTTATCAAAAGCAGAGGTTGAATGAATAAATAAGTTAATCAACTTTGACCTTGAACAACCAGGACCCAATTTAATCATATATTGTTTGTTTGTTTTCTCTAGCCAAGAACCTGCCACTAAAGAAGAATCATCTCCTCAGATCAAGAGGCCACGATCTTCACAGGTCAGTAAAAAATATATCATATGTAAAGTTATTACAGAAACACCAATTTCGTTCTTATCTGGTATGAAGTATGGGTTCATCGAGTAAATTTTTGAATCTCCTCAACACTGGGTGATAAAAGTCAATTTTTGCACCATACAGTGTATGTCACTCAGTATCCCGTCCCTCAGGGGATATTTATGCCCTGTAAACCCCCGTTGTTATTACAAAATTTGCAATTATTTTCATGTTTACATTATACTTTCAAATAACAGAAGAATGTTGCCTCTTCGTCCATTTTGTTTGTCATAAAACTTTAACCAAATAAAACCCCTATATGTCAACAGCATAATGATGCCATTTTTCATACATTTTGTCTTTGTCAAAAATGTCAGTGAAACCCCTATGTTATCTAGGCTGGTGAGGAGGAAACACTACAACTGCAGGTGATAGTGGGCAGTCCTGAGGCTGCTGAGGAGATCAAAGAGAGTGAAGCAGAAACACAACAGGTTTGTACATACCCAAAGTATAGTCAAACTATCACGATTCTGTGAAATGAAAATGTTTTGCGATTAATATTATTTACAGACATGGATAACAAATATGTCTACTCACAATTGTTTGTTCATCTGACTTTGTACTATCTCACTTAGGATATCAAATATCTTATATTTCCTTACAGATTGATGATAGTGAGTTTCCAACCATTACTGTAACTGAACCATCTCCTGACAACTACAGTCAGGATATTGATGCAGATATAGAGGAAGGAAAAGAAGATGATGCTGCACCAGCTGTTGAGGCTGAGCCAACGACAGAGGAAGCTGCAGAAAAGGAGGAAGAGGAAACATTGGCGGAACAGGGGCAAGAGCCAGGTGAGGGATTGACAAAATATGGAGGTTATCATGCTTGTACAATGTACTAAGCAAAGAACAATGAATCATAACGTTCGAAAACCATTCATAATGGAAATTAAACTATAGTATTAAAAGAAATACTCTTTGATGTAGTTGCAGCAAGAGATGAGGAGAAGGATGAATCGGATGATGACATTATAGAAGTAGCAAGTGACTCCGAGGAAGAGGAGGAAGACTTCGAAGTAGAAGTTGAAGGGGAGTATGAAGAAGAAGAGGAAGAACTTGAAGGAGAGGGGGAGTTCGAAGAGGAACAGGAGGATGGAGACAATGAGGAAGAAAACATTGAAGATTTTGAGGTAAAATATGATTTTAAACAAAATTTACATGCCCTACATCCTGCATGTATAGGGGAAGGTTCCTTTTAAAATAGCATTTTCAAAAAAGATCAAGCATTTCCACCATATTGGAAAATTTTGGGAACGTTGTGGATAAATACCAATAATGTAAAATATTGCTATTGTTGTACAGGAGGAAGAGAGTGAAGGCATGGAAGAGGAATATGATCAGTCTGGTGAGGAGGAGGATGATGACAACATGCAGGAAGAAGCTGGAGCTGGTGATGCTGATGAAAGTAGTGATGACTGTATAGAAATACTCAGTGATGACGATGATGATGGTGCCATGGAATCTCAGCCAACTGGTGGTGAACAGCAATCAGCCCCCACACCTTCAGGTATCTTTGTATTTTAAAGATATCATTATAAAATAATATAACCTGATTATCAGGCTAAAATCAGTGATAGTAGGTTATAAGAATCGTTAGTTTAATCATAACAAAAATTGACTCCAAAGTAGAATCCTAAAATGTCTAGAATCGAATATTACCAGAATTGATCACATTTTTACTTTTTGCAGCACCCCCAAGTACCACTGAGAGTGCGCAGGCTCCTTCACAACAACCTCAACCTGTACCCCCCAGACAGCTTCCAGCGGCACTTATGCGTGTCCCCGTACGCACAGAGCGTCTTCCATCTGTGGGACGGACTCAAGGCAACACATTTGCTCAGGCACCATTTGAAGAAGGGGATGATGGAATTGTACCAAGTACTCCAACATTGTTTGTGCCAAAGAGAAATGATGGGTTCGCAGAAGCAGTGAGTTCTCCACTGATGCCCCTGGGGAGTAGTAGCTTCACATTTGGCCGTGAGTCATTGAACCTGGCTGCCCAAACAGACATGGCTCAGCTGGTATCTCAAGGAGGTAAATATATCTATATTTTATAGTGACAACTTTTTATGTCATACATTGCACAGTTTATGACATATGTCATACATTTTATATGACATGTCATACATTTTATATGACATGTCATACATTTTATATGACATGTCATACATTTTATATGACATGTCATACATTTTATATGCCATGTTATAGTCAATTTCTTTTATACAATTTTATGACTGGTGTGCAGGATTCATAGTACCTAGATCAATCTGCTCCAATCATTAATGTTAGCACATGTAAAACAGGATGTGAAAAGTAAAGGTGATAGTTATCAAAATATCCATTACTAAAAAAATAGTAAGAAAAAATGAAAGAATAGTATGCTGCATTTTTAGAACAAATTCCAAGCCAAGAGACTACCCTATAGTAATTATAGTAATTTCTCGTGTTCTAAGTTCAACAACTTTGTCTTCCAGGTATGGATGATACACGAATAGACTTGACTCAGTTGGAAGATGGCACTGGTCGCAGTGTCCCTAGTACCCCACTCAATGTCTCAGCCCCTATCACCCCTGAACCATCTGCAGAGGGGGGCAACCAGCAGGTGGAGCAGCCCAGTGGATCAGCCTCTACAGAACAGGTTGAACAAAGTGGAGATGTTGTACCTGACACTGAACAACAAGCAAGAGATGATCAGCTCAGAGAGGATGATTTATTACAGGAAGATCAAAGTCAAGATGGAACTAGAGAAACAGGTAAATGCTTTTTGCTTATCAGAGGATTGTTCCTTACATTGTACAGTGAGCATCATTGAAATGTGATATTTGATGCAGTGTTTGCTCTTGTGGTATTCCTTTGAGTGATCTAACCCAACCATACAAACCATTTTCCACCATCAGATCATCTACTATTGATAATCCACCTTTGTGTGAATGGAAAATAATTTATGAAGAGGTATTAAAGAACACAACCTACTGGACAACAGGATATACAAAAACAAAACCTACTCAATGACATATACTGTAACTGTTAAGTGGAATATACTTATATAACTAATGCATTTATTGTAGGTGAGGCATCAGCAACTGGAGATAATGATCAATCCCCACCTGATGGTGATGATGACAACACTGATTCACAAGGTGAGGACTTTGTATTTGTTGTGGAAACAATTATATAATTGTAGGCAAACATTGAACTATTATAACTATTCACATTATATAAATTATATATTGATAATTTACCCCTGATTGTTCAACAAGATAAATTGCATTGATGCATGTGAACTTTTTTCTCTTTCAGGCTCCAGGAAGAAGATTGAGCCAATAGTCTGGGATAGTCCACCTGCCCCAACCACACAGGCTATCCCCTCCCTTCTGACAATGCAGCCTCAGCAACCCAGACGAGGTATCCCCACTCGAGCCACTCCTCCCCAGAGAGGTGGCCCACCCAGGGGAGGCATGATGCACAGAGGGCGTGGAGGGGCTACCCCGGGTGGCCCCCCTCAGGCACGTAGAGGTAACTTCCGAGGCACTCCCACCAGGGGAGGCCCTAACAGAGGAGGACGAGGTGGTGGCATGCGAGGAGGACGTGGAATTATTCGCCAGCCTCCCCAGTACTGATTGCAATAGCTCACATTCCTAGCAGGTGGCTCATTTGTCCTGACAATGGAGAATAATGTACATGTATATTGAAAGCCTAAATTGACATTGGATACTGCACTAGAGGGAGATATTTGCCATTGAAGTGAAGCCAATATATGAATATTGGAACTGTCAATAGAGAAATCATGTGAGCAAAAATATTAACTTGTAAAACAAGAAATATGGAAAGACGATAGTCTTCCTGAGATTGACATCATAAAGTTAACGCTTTTACCCTGATCTAAATAGTGACTGCTACAAAATCATGATGTTTACCGGAATTATGAATCCGTTGAAATAAGTTGTATACAAAATGACAACTTCAGTGTTCCTGGTTCAGAAAACATGAATGTAACTGGTTCCCATGTCAGTTATTGTATTATTTTTATATTGTGAAGATCTATTTAAATGAAGAATAAAGTATATGTGCTGTATCGTACAATGAATAGAAACCAATTGATCTGTTGTTAGATAATGTTGGCTGGCAATGACTCAATTCAAGTGTTGAGATGTATAAGATTCACAACTATTATGAGAACTCATGTATACATAAAAAAGTGAACACTGCAATTTTTAAACCAGTGTTAAATGTTATCAATATTCAGGATTAGAGTTTTGAGCTATAATCTCTATCTGTCTATTAAAAATATTAAGCCCATCAGGATTCTTGGGGGATTTAAGATGAGGATTTTAAGAATTAAATGGGCAAAACAGATTCAAGATAACTCATGATAATTCCTGCAACTTTAATGTGATTTATCTAACTTCAATATTTCATGAGCTATCTCAAAGAACTTTCCCAACAATTAATTTTATGTGACAGATATTCACTCTCTTTTGCCACTGTACAAAATCTCTTTTGAATACTGTTGAAATATCTAGATCAAAGCTGGTGTTGATTTTTTCCTCTCGTGTTTGTCTTCATACTTAATGAGTGGAAATTCAAGTGCTTGATGGGTTGACAGTTTTAACTAGGAGATGAACATACACATTCAGTATGTTTATTTTTTGATTTGAAAAGCTTTGTGAAATTGATCCACAATCTATCTGTGTTTCAAAATGCAAAAGGAAATTGTTTGAATTGCACTCTGTCTTTGACACTTTAAGGTTGTGAATTATGATACAAGTAGTAAAAATCAATAACTCAGATGTGAGTAGGTAGTTACCAGTTTCACCACCAGGTGGCTCATTCGGGTCAGATAGCATGGTGATATAGAAGAAAATTCCCTTTAACTTCAATATTCATCAGTTTTAGTGGTTCAATTTTCATATCACTCTTATCACAACTAAAATCGTCCAGTAAAAGTATTATCAAGAAAAGATATTTCACTTTTTGTGATTTTATACCATGGGGTCTATGGGGAGAATCCCCGAATCATATTTTGAGATGTACTTTTACATGTAGATTCCAAATATGACATCACTTTGACTGAATTTTGAATATTTAATAACATGAATCAAGATTATTTCTACTCGCATCCAGTCTATTGTCAATTGCAATATAGTTGAATTGTCGATCCTAAGTGATATATAGGGCATATGTAAAGCTGGAACTCATGACTCATTATCTAAAATCATTTAGTTGGGTTGATTTATCATTTCAGTTGTATGTTCATAAAGTAAAAGTACATGTAACTTGAAAACATTTCTCATCTTTCATTTAAAACCTTATAACCAAGACAAAAAACAAAAATGCAAATGTAATTTTTGTGATCATGATAAAGTATATATTTTGCAAGTTTTCTCTTGCATACATGTATGAATAATGACTGTACAGATTGCATTTTATATCTATTTACAACAATAACATTTTCAATTTTTCCATTAGAAATAATCATAAAAAAAGAAATTGGCAAAAAAATATGAATAAAATGAGTCACTTCTTGATAGCGACTAGATAAGTTCGCTCATTCAGCAGTTTGTATGTTATAAATAGTTTAAATGTCTCTTGAACATACATTGATTCTGCATTTTTCACTTGATTGAAAAAATTGTAAAAAATGAATACTGAAAAACTGCACAATGGCACAAGATGCTAATATTATGTTGGTTCTCCCCAGGTTTCTAAACTCCTTATTCTAATTAGGCTAAGATCTTTGATCTTGACCTTTGAAGTCCAGTTAAAGTAAGATTACGCTCCATTCCAGTCTGGGGTCGGGTTTCCAATTTTTGACGAGTGTCCATACATCTTTTGTCCAACATAAGAGAGTTAATTTTAAGGCCTAAATCTTCATTAATTCTATGTAGATTTTGTTCTAAACCATCAAGTGCATGCCTGAAAATAGATTAAAATAACATTAAGGGTTTATTCAGATAACATTGGTACTATCACAGGAACCGCTCATTAGATCAAAGTTAATGAAAATTATGATATTGTATTTAGCTAGTGTGGTTCTCCCTGGTTTGAATTTCAGTAAATGGTTGTTGTATGTTTACTTTTGAGTCTAGAAACGGATGTAGAGAATCAATAAATAATTGATCACAAAGACACAATAGCACCACATGATGTGCGCTGCATTATTAATGATTAACTTTAACGGCTGTCTAGATAAAATATTATTTCATGTAGCTTTATCTGAATTCCACTTCAACTATTGTTGAAAATGATATTGTAAATTAGATATGTGAATTTCAAGTAATGTGAACTTACTGTGATTGTTTAAGTTTTTCCTCTAATGCTCTTTTGGTTGCTTCTAGCTGCTTAACCTCATCAGTAAGACCGTATTGGGGTTCATCTCTGCACAGCTCAACATTGGGTCTGTATGTTCTGTTCTCAAGACGAGTTTGGGCAAGTTTCATTGGATTAATCTTAGCTTTAATAGAATCTTCTAGACGACGAATATCTTCCTCCATTTCAGCGATTTCCTCCTCTGTGTTCTTTTTCTGCCATTCAAGCTCATCCTTGGCACGCTCAAATTCGTGAATACGTTTACGGAGGTCATATTCAGTTGCTTGTTTTTGTGCTTCTTGGTCATTGTCTGTCTGATGAAGAGTGTGGTGGGTTGCTTCACGAAGTCTCTGAGAGGCCTTCATCTCAGCATCGGCACGCTCCTTGTTGTAACGACTGAAGTCTTCCCATTGCTGTGGGGTGGTGCTTCCCTTGGGAACTCTAGTTGGGTTGGGTTTGTAGCTAATGCCAGGGGATTCCTCTGTAAGATTATACTGATCTACATCAATACCTAGAGCAATGTTTTTGTCCTGAAGATCAGCAAGAATTTGCTGACGAGCCTCTTGAAGGAGACATAGCTGCTCAAACTGCTCATTAATTTTGGTTTGTAGCTGTTTTTGAATGCCTCCAATCACCTCAACTTCCTGGAACAAATAATCAAGATATTTTTAAGAAAATGCATTATTGTTAATTTATTTAAACACTACATGTTTAACACAAGGACTATCTCCAGGAAAGATCACTCTATATTACATGTTATCAATCTTAATATTCTCCATTATGTTAATAAAGCCCAATTTACAGAGTACATGTATTATTCAATAAACATATGTGAACCACTCTTACCTTCTTTAGTTGATGTTCTACTCCATCTTCAACTACATCTATCTGTTGTCGGCCTTCACGGATGGTCAGGTTTTCAATTGCAACATCTAGAGGTAGATTTCTTGCTTCGAGGGCATTCTCTGTGTTATCTTTGGCTTCTGACAAATCAGATATTTCTTTATCGAGATCAGCCAAGGTCTTTTCTAGAATGTCTTTCCATTTGCGAATTTGGTCAACTCTGTCTGCCAATCTGGTATTGTTATCATGTTGATCCCATTTTGTTTTGTTGTCTGTTTCATTACGAAGAAATCTGGCATCTTGGCGTACTTGATGTGATGCGTCCATCTGTCTCTCGGCATTTGTCGATATTGTGTAGTTTGAGGTAAACCAGTCGGACGGCTGGTACCGTGTTGCAGGCTTTACGTATGTTGCCATTATTGCGATTTTTATTATTTGTTGTATGGGTGTGACTCTAAAAACAGAAAATGTAGAAAATGAACTGAAATAAAAATCCTGAACAGCAAATTGTTGGTGAAATTGATTGCTTCTAACTGTGTTTATACAGTGTTTATCCTAAACAAAAAATGTATTATGTTGTTTCTTTACAAAATTACAGAACGTACCTTTACTTCTGCTATTCTTTCGGTATCTGATCAGTAAAGTGGTGTTGCTCTGATTATATTTGTGATTGAATGGTAACTAAGTGTTGTCAGGTAAACATTGACAAAGTCTGTGTTATGTTCTTTTCTATTGGTTGATTCGATATCTTTCATTATTATGAGCCAATGAAAAGAGGGTTTATAAAATGACACTAAACAAGATTTCCTTAGCAACAGACATGAACACGACTAAATCCGGAAACTTCCGAAAGTAGCCGATTCAAGAAGACGGAAGTGAAATCAAAACGAGGCAAATAAAGCGCGAAAATGGGTAAGTCAAAAACGAAATAATATTGTTTTATTTTATCGTTAAAGATGATTGTATTGATCAGTTCCTTTTGATGGTGTTGATGTAGCACAAAAGCTAATAGGGTGCACTTTATGAGATACCACAGAACCAATTCTTTCACACCTTTTACGGTCTATTCATTTTTAAAAAATTATCTGAATTTATTTCCACCACTCTGAGTCTTGAGTCTGACTCTCAGTCTCCAGTCCAGTTTTCAATTCAATTGAATTTTTATAATCTTTAGCCAAACTTAGAACATGATAATCAAACCAGTCTGCCCTGTCAATCCTCATGCATTAGGTGTGATCGTCACACATTTGCTGGAAAAATTGAAATCACGCATCAATTTTGCGTGTACGATAAAATGTCACGTTATCACGCATTATGTTGATGTTTAAAAAATCAGATTTTTATTAATCGCTGATACTGTACAAACTGAACGCCCAGACTTTTCATGTGAATTCGAAATTCCATTTATATGCCACGCATTTGGTTCGAAATATGTGATACAGTACGTGGTGAACATAAATAATGACTAGAGTCCATTTCACTGCTTCATTTCGTCAGTAGAATGGCAAAAATAAGAAATTGGGAGATTATTGTGCAATAATATATGGAAAAGTATATTCATTATGTACATGGATGACATTTGTATATCTTGGATTGCTTCTAGTTTGGCTTATAAAGTGTGTGGCCTCTTATATTTGGATGTTTCTCTGCCATGTTATTTTCAATAATATTAACATGGCTGAAATTCTTCAAATTGTGCTTATTGCACAAAAAACTAAAAAATCTGAAATATACAAATGTCATTCGTGTACATTATGAATATACTTTTCCATATATTATTGCACAATGGTCTCCCAATTTCTTATTTTTGCCGTTCTACTGACGAAATGAAGCAGTGAAATGGACTCTAACTCTATATATAAGACATTCTGTCACATATGTCATAAAATCTTACCTCAGTGAATTGAGTGCTCTATTTGCTGGAAAAACAGAAATCACACATCAATTTAGCGTGTATGATCAAATATCACGCATTTTGTTGATATTTTTAAAAATCGTTTTTTTGTGAAATGCCGATATGGTAAAATACCAAACGGCGAAAAAAAGCGAACGCATTCCGTTCGGTCTTTGCACGCGATTGCCGTTTATGTCACGTATTTTGTACAAAATATGTGTATATATCACGCATTTGTTTCGAAAAAATTTACATCTACCCCCCGATATATAGCGATATTCACATGTTAATGCCGACTCTTCAAATGTTGAGGTAATTTTGTAGCCTGATTACACTGCAAGGAGGATTTTTCGCCCAGAATGCAACAAGACACGTGCCAGCTTTCAAAATCCCGTTCCGCCATTTTGAAACTTGTCACATGTAAACTGATGTTGCATTCTGGGAGTCGATCCACTTTGGATCACAAACATGGCGATCCATGAAAACATTCGTTCAATTTGGTAGGAATTTATCCATATTTGCAGGTATGAAGCTTTGGGTTCATTTATTGTGCTACTTAAAGTGAACGGGAATTATTTCTCTACCGCTTGGGAGAGTTTTGAGACATGAAACTTAGAATTGAATTGTTATTTACTTTATACCATGGGCTTTCAATAGATATTGAATGCCCATGCTAACACGTTGCCATTGATCTTTAATCTTTCTTCTTTTGATGCCAAGGGGTATCATAGATCTTTTCTTTCTCTTCCTGAAAAGGAAAGTCAAGCTAATTCCTAAACATATCTAGACTAGTACCGCATCGATTCCAGTTCACTGTGTTAAACAGATCGCAGCGTTTCTTGTATATGAGAAATCATTTTTAAGATTTTCGGTCATCAGATCACAATTACGATAATGTATGTTGTGTTAAAGCTTTGGAATTCGACCAAAATATACTCTCCTAATTGCTTCAAACATCAACACCTAGCCAAGTACAACTTAGATATCCGACCCATCGAATGGTATACTCGAAATAAGTAACACATACCTCTTATTCCCATTATTGGGGAAATCATCAGACAACTCATCATTCCTGCCCACCATTTTCCTACTCCGGAGCATTTCTTTGTTTAGTTTCAGTAATGAAACGCTCCGTCATGCATGTAAGAGCGTTTGGGTTGGACACCGTGGGTTAGCTAATATTCAGATTTGAAAGGAAAGGACAAATTTCCTCAGTGAAAAGGGCATGTACAGGGTGATCCAGAAGTAACGTCAAAGACATTGTAATTTCAAAAGTATTCATCAGATCTTCATGAAATTTGGTATACATGTACCCACAACATTTCTGAGTTACCATCTCAAAGATTGGAATTCAATCATTTCATTGGTTGAAATTATGGTTGCTATAGTAACCCGATATCGCGTAACCCGGGGCAAATTGAAGAGAAACCATAACGTTTTTGTGAATTTCTCTAATTTAAAAAGTCAGTAACATTTGAAAATGTTCATTGTTTGTTTTCTATGATTTTTATATTTGTTGCCATGGTAACAAATATGTAATAGTTGTGATGTCACAATAGGCATTCATAAAAAGCTTTCAATTTCTTTGAATTGCTTCCATCATCCATGACAAATACTAACATGACCAAGGACACTAACCCACCCAATTCAAGATGGCGCCAAGTCAGAGTAAAATAGAGCAAAGAACAAACATTAAGTTCTGTGTAAAGTTGGGGAAAGGTGTAAAAGAGACTATAAGACAGATAAAGAAGGCATATGGTAAAGCTGCCATTGCTGAGAGAAACATTTACAGGTGGTTTAACAAGTATTCCAGTGGATATGATGAAGTGGTAGACAAGCAGCGAGGAGGCAGGCCAGTGTCGTCATTCGATGATCAAACCATCAAAGCAATTGAAGCTGATGTTATGGACAATAGGCAAATTTCTATCAGAGAATTGGCTGAAAAACACGATCTGAGCTATGGGACTGTGCAACGGATACTGACAAAGAACTGTCTGTTAAAGAAGGTGTCTGCTAAATGGGTGCCGCATGACTTGACACAGGAGCAGAAAGACCGGCGTGTTAAGGCTTCAAGGGACTTTCTTGCAAAATATCGGAGAGATGGAGATGACTTTCTTAACAAGATCATTACGAGTGACGAATCATTGCTATCATTCTACATCCCAGAGACCACGCAACAAAGTTCATAGTGGAAACATGACAACTCCCCAACACCAACCAAGCCTAAAATAGTACCAGGAATTCCACAAAAGAAACAAATGGTTGTGACATTCTTTGACATTAGAGGAATGGTGTTAACCCATTTTGTTCCCATTGGCCAGAGAATTAATGCCGTTTACATTGCAAAGGTAAGATATCATTTGTTCTAATAATACATCATACTGTGAATTTTATTTTTAAATTAAAGTATTTAAATGTTGTTCACTGTCAATATAATTATAACTCCATGGCCATGATTCAAATCCAAATCCAATCAATGAAACAACTGGTTTAACAACCATTAAACATTTGTTTTTCAGGTTCTGAAGCGTGATCTTCAACGTTCCCTGAGGAAAAAGCGTCCCGGACATCTGCAGCAGTTTATCTTGCATTGGGACAATGCCCCTACGCACACTGCAATCCTGACCAGCAACACAGTCCAAACACTTGGATTTCAACAACTTGAACATGCCCCTTATTCACCTGATCTTGCCCCCAGTGACTTTTATTTGTATGGGGAACTAAAAAGAAACCTTAGTGGAAATAATTTTCAATCCTGTGAGGAATTGAAAAATGCCGTAGTACTAGCCCTACAAGGAATGAGTTCTAATGGATTTAATTCTGTGTTCAAGGAATGGGTATCCAGACATGAGAAATGTGTTGCAAATGGTGGCAATTATGTAGAATGAACTATTATTAGTAACTGTGCAATAGTATGATTTATATTGTTGTGAAATAAAATGTTGAGGATATAACAATTTCAGATCTTGTTGATATTTTGAGATTACGCATTACACGTTAAGTAATTTGCCCCGGGTTACGCGATATCGGGTTACTATAGCAACCATAATTTCAACCAATGAAATGATTGAATTCCAATCTTTGAGATGGTAACTCAGAAATGTTGTGGGTACATGTATACCAAATTTCATGAAGATCTGATGAATACTTTTGAAATTACAACATCTTTGACGTTACTTCTGGATCACCCTGTAGGTTAGAATGTGAATCATTGTTAAGAATCAAGATTAAAAAAAACCAAATTTTTAAACACTGAATAGTGATAGCACCATATGAAAAATTGTCATTCATGTTTTTTTCATTCCAGATCCATCTTTCATGGAAGAGAAACTTTCTCCTTACAAGTGTGATGGAAATGAAGCCATCCACTTCAAGTTAGGTACATGTAGGATTCAATATTACGTAATATATACAGGGCTGGTTAGATGTATATTTGCAATACCTATGATCATTTTCATATTTCTATGTGTCATTTTACATAGACCAATCCCCATTTTTATAATTCTCATTTTAACGTGTAGCAAGGTTACTTTCGTGAGGCAATGCACTATTGGCCCTGTTGACTGCAGAAATGTCAATCCAATCCAAACCAAACTGTTTAGGGGAAAGTGAGGGGTTTCGACTATTGCGTATCAAATTTCCCCATTTTGCAATAAAATTATCATTTGTTTCACTTCATCTTATTAACCAAATCAGGAGAACCAAAAATACTCTTAAAAACAACGATGAATTTTTAATCATTATCAATTCTGCAACAAACAAAACAAAAGTTAATTATATATTAAATGAATATTTTTACAATGACAGACTAAATTTAAAAAAAGTAAAGGAAGAATTTGCAGTTTTCACCCAAAACAAAACATTGTATTGTATAAAACATTGAATGATTTCACACTAATTCTAGCATATTGTATTATTATCTGCAGTGAGAACAGCTTCTGACGTTACCAATGACAACACAACCTTCCATCCTGAGATGACACACCAAATATTTGGCGACAGGTGAGGTGACACACCAATTAAATGTAAAGAAACAGCAAAAAAGTTCACAGTTTAGTGAAATATAAGTTACCTAAAAAAATTCAACATTCAGAAGGTCCTGAAAAAGCAGTCTTGGAAAATACTTTGTTATATGATACAACACACTGGCAGATGTAGGGGGGGGGGGGGCATTTGGGCCCAAAAATTTTGTAGGTCCTCAATTAGTGGCCTGGGGGTTCATTGTATACAAATTTTGGTGGGGGTCCTAGGCTGAACCCTCATATGTTCCCATACCAATCTGTCAAATTTCAATGTGTTCCCATACCAACCAAAATAAAGCCCAATAGCCATACCAAATGTCTATACCAAACTGAAGAAGGTCTTGAGAAGAATGCAAATCTATGAAGAAAACGATCCAAAACAACCTCAAATTAAGGATATGTGAAACTACTAGACCAATACCATACCACAAGTGTGAGGTAACATATTTTCCATGACCATTCTCATACCAGAAAGTAGAAAAATAAGACCATTGTCATACCCCAAAAGTCATAATTTGGGGGGCATTCTCATACCAGATCCTAAAAGGGTCCATTGCCATACCAAATGTCAAAAATGGTACCCCATGTGCGCCGAGGATCCCCCCCCTCCCTTGTTAGCTTCTGGATCCGCAAGTGCAACATATATTTGTTGATAAAAGATAATATGGAGATAATAATTGAAGAAACAACTTTGTTCCAGTGAGGCTATATTTGGCTACAAAGACTTGAAGGTTGAGGTATACTACAGTGCAGCGAGGCTCAACACATATGTTAACATGCACTTCTCAGATAAAGTCTCCCCACAGAAGTTTGACGGTGTTCTGGTAAGTAGCACCAAGCCTTCATTTTATCCCTTGCCACCTGACTTATCTAAATGTAGCTGAATTATTGCTGGAAAGATGTCTATCAGTAGAGAAAAACAATGGATAACTTTAATAGTAGGGCATGTCATAATGTACAGTAGTTTTTAAAAAAGTCCTCTATTGCAAAAAATTAAATTAAAGAACATTCAAAGGCCATGTTTATAATTCCTCCTCTATTGCAAAAAATTAATTATATAACATCAAAGAACATTTAAAGGCAATGTTTATAATTAGGCTCCTTCTTGTATAATCTTCAGGCAGATGATGTCATCAAGCAGGTAGCAGATCACATGCCTCCTGGGTTTCACTCCAATTTGGATGAGTTTATAGCCCTACTGCATAAAGATGCCAGCTTCAAACCTTTTGGAGAATTAAAACACTCATACACTGTAACTAAAGGTAAGTAGTCAGTCACTTTAAGGTAGGCCTGGTGTAACAACTTTTGGACCTGCTTGTGCATTGTTGCATTGGTATGTCACCATCAAAATCCAACTTTTTTGTGGGCGGTGTTTACTGTTCAGTGGTTCGGTAGTTGGCATCTCTAACAAATGGAAGGTGGTGACATTTTGCAGGTTGTTCATGCCTTCTGTTTTAGTCTGCATGCCTATTAAAGGTCAACTTCGATTTGTCAAATTACTCATCCTATGTTTACTCAATGTATGAAGTTTGAGTCTAGTTTCATAATAGACCCATTGTCTATAGTTAAGGATTTGGATTTGGGACATTCTTCAGTGTGGGTGTTAAGTTTGGAGTTTCATCCTAATTAACCCAGTAGTTCCATTCTAACTATTGTTAATCTTTTCAAAATTCACTCCAGATGGTAATGTTCGACAGTTTGAGATCTACCAGACTGGGATAGATACCCCAGGATTCAGGGAGTACCACGAGAGGCTACAGACATTCTTGTTGTATTATGTCGATGCTGCATCTTTCATTGATGTTGATGATGATAGGTGGCAGTTCTTTCTATGGTAAGTAAACGTCTTTCATTATTCCACCAAACTAAGTTCGAGAGGGAATTAGAGAAGCCATCTGTTTGTAGGTCTGTCCATCCAGTTGTGTGTCTGTACTGGGCGATAACTCAAATACTGGATTTGGTTGTTGAAATTGCTGTGCCATACACCACCATATATTAGGCTTCAGTGTATTAAAATTCAATTTTCAAAAACTGATTCAGACCACTGTACATTAGGCTTTTTGTATATGTTCTCTTGAGTTGAACATTTGAGACTTTTGACAGAATCATCCTTTTCCATGTGCATTTACTTATATTATAGTTGCCATATAAAATATCATGCACAATGCACAAGCAATATAAATCTGCAGATTGAAGCATTGTTTTCCACAGGTAGAAGATATGATAAACACATATCACTTTATAGATATTTGTAAATGGTAGCTTTAATAATCTCCAGAGAAATGTTGTGTTTATGTCATTTTGGTCCAATGAGGTTTGGATAGATGTTTCATTTCATTCCGAACATATGATACCAAGAACAAAAGAAGTGTCTCACGTGTTTTCTAAAACACTATAGAGAAAACTATATGAATATATTTCAAATTATAATGTTACCACCCAAAAGATGACCATTAAATTGACGATGTGTAAAATTTTCAAAATGTTCTGATGACTGGTTTAAGAGAAACGCATGTTCAAAAAGTTCACCATATCGATACCACTCCTTTTATAGGCTTATGCCTTATAAGTGTAGGACCTCTTGTCAAGACGTTATTTTGAGTATGGCTGCTCAGTTCAAAGTGGCTGACATTTTTCGTAAAAAATATAACCTTCGAAAATATAACCTCGAATACGAGTTGCCAGATTTGGTTGGTTGGTTGGTTGCAAGAAAGCCGTTGAATTTCAAAATTTCAAGGAGACAATACTGCTCTTATTCCTATCATGCTGTTCAAAAAGATGAGGTATTCTTTGGATTTTAATTAATAAAAATAAATATTGCAGCCCTGTCATCAATTTAGTATGATATATGATTAAGTATAATTGATAACCAGTAGAGCATTTCCATTTAGTGTCCATCAACTGTGTTTCAATTTTGCTTAATGTAGCTGCTAATAACATAAAAAACAAACTTGGTGATTGACTTTTCCATAAAACCAAATGACTGACATATTGCCAATATACGGTTGTATCATAAAGAAAATCCATTAATATTTTCTCTTTATTCCAATAAGCACAAACTATAATAACCGCACATTTATTGCATGATATGATATTACCAACTGCTACAAATTTATTGGAGTAATTTTACATTTTATTGAAAACAATAATGGAACATGAAATAAAACACCTATACGTTAATGTCTCGAAAGGGTAAACGACCTAACTTTTTGAAATCCATTTGACCTGTTAAATTATTAATGTGAAGAGATGCACATTTTTGCACGTCCTAGCAGTGTTTAAGAGTGTTAACTTGCTAGACTTTACTGTATGCAGAGATTTCATTAGCAGTTAGCAACATGCGATTTTCAGCAGTTGATTTCACAAAATCGTCTATTGTTTTAGGTTATTTCAGCTTTTCCATGTTTCCATTTATTTAGCCTGTTAGCCTGAGAAATTCTTTTTTGTAACATATTTATTTGCAATAATTTTGTTTTTACATCATATATTGTATCATTGTTTACATAATAATAAAGATAAATTATGGATAACATAAAAGAGAGAAATTCTAATGAAACCCCTGTGTCTGAGAGAAGATGATATGAAAATATGCACATAAAGCACTTTTATGAAGATGGTAATCATGTGATATGAGACATAAGTATGTTTTTATGTTCTAGCTTTGAAAAGTACAAGAGCAATGGTAACCCTATGTATGCTGTAGCTGGATATATGACTGTGTATAACTACTATGCCTACCCTGACAGCATACGTCCCAGAGTTAGGTATGTACCATGTAATCTTGTACAATTCGTAGGATGCTGAATTCATGATCTTGATCATTAATTAGATTTACATTGATTTAAATGAGTTCATACTGTTGAAAACCACTTATTTGTTTCAAAGAATTTAGACATTCCCATGTCTTAAACTCCATATTTTGAAGAAATCATAGGTTTTTGAGATATTCTGTTTTGCATTGTAGGAAACATATAAATCTCTAGATTTTAAACATTTTTCTCAAAAGTGACAGTACTTATTGAACAACCCTTGAATATGTGCTAATTGATGCTAAAATTTTGTAGTCAGATGTTGGTGCTGCCACCTTTCCAGAGGCAAGGCCATGGCTCACAAATGCTACAAACATTCTATAATGGTTGCTATAACAGAAATGACATCAGGGATATCACAGGTGTGTATGACATCAGATGATACCTGTAATTTTTGAAGGAAGGGCTTATATCTGAATTCAGGATCATGTAATTATGAAAAATCTGGAGAAAATATTTTCCCTGATCTGGAAATGTCAGGAAATTTCAAATTAGCTCCAAAAATTGCTGAAGTGGTCCAGGAACTTTTAGAATGTGACCAAAATAATTTTAGGCAAAGAAGTGAAATATGTTTGGTCAAATGAAAAGAGGTTTGACAGTTATTTCTGCAAGAATTTTTAGAATGTGACCAAAAAATTGAGGAAAAGAAGTGAAATATTGCCGGCCTTTATGGTTGGTGAAATGGAAAAAAGTTAGACAAGTTAAATCTGTATAGTCTTTAATACTGCGATTGCAAGCTTTTCATCACTGGTTTCCAATTCTTGCCAATGTTTCATGATTTCAATAGGAAATGTAAAATAGGTCCCCTTCCTCCGATGTTTTACTTCAAATATGCATTTGCAGTTGAAGACCCATCAGAAAATTTCCAGAAGATGCGTGACTTTGTTGATGCTGGGAATTGTATGAAGCTGAAAGAGTTCCAGCCTGAAAGGTTACTAGAGGGCTTCTCAGATGACATGGAGTGGGCCGCTAGACATAAACTCAAAATAAATAAGGCATGTTTGTTCATTTAGACAATTCATATGATTCATTTGAGAATATAAACAATTCATTAACAAGACAAAATGGCAAGTTATTGCAAATGATTATAAAGTTATAACAAAGATGCATATTGCTAATCATTAAACACTTAATGCCTTAGAATATATAAAACATCAAATATGTGAACACATCTTAGTGGTGTCATTAAAATGCACATGAGCTGAGCTGCCACAGGCCATCTAGTTCAGTTTGGAATGTGCTAAGTGAGTTGGTACCACAATAATACTTTTTGTTTAAACAATGTTGTGTTGCTATGGTTACAGAGACAGGCAAGGCAGGTGTATGAAATACTCCGACTTAAGGCCACAGACATGAACAACCCAGAACAGGCTAAAGCCTATAGAATAGATATAAAGAAAAGGCTCAATATTCCATTTCAGGTAAAATAAAAACACCTTTTTCTTTGTTTTTATAAATATCTGTTGTATTCTCGGTATCATTGATAGCTGATGCTTCTCGTATTAACATGAAAAAAATGTTGTTTGTTGAAAAAACAGCTCTTACTTGTGCAGACATGTTACTTGCTGTAAAAGTTTTCTCAATTTTTACAAGGATGTATTTTCACTGCCTCAGCTGAACATTTAACTACTTTTATTTGCAGAAAAATGGAAAAGACTTCAATAAAATCTCTAAGACGCTATCAGATGATGAACTAAGTGCAACTTTACAAATACCCAAGGAACAGAGACTTGCTTACCTAGAAAACACTTACAAAGAAATCACAGACAGTTACTTAAAAATCATTGAGAAATTAGCAATATCTTGAGACATAAAGCCAAGACAACCCAACAAAATGCCTCAAAACCAGATCTAAATTTATATTATTTTAGGAAACATTTTTTGAATAAATGAAAATGCTGTTTTTAAAAAAGCAAATAAACATATTTTGTTAAATACTTACATGGAAAAACAAAAATAAAATAAAAATACTTACATGGAGAGGGCTATATTTAAAATAAGTACTAATCACTCTGAATTTGATCTGGCCTTTCCCAACGAGTCCCATTCAGGGGGTGATTAGGAAGTCTTAGGAGATAAGATAAACATTTTTCTCTTTGATGGCATATTTGAATTCTGTGTATAATTTTTTCACAATTTTAGTGTAAAATCAGAATCTACATGTCAACTAGATCATAGTTGTAATCTAATGATGTTATGTATTAATCCAAATGGAAATTAAGCTACTGCCAGTTGATTACATATCTGGTATTCTGGTACTACCAACAGCTGCCATCTATTTATCTAATGTCCTAATGCAATGCATCCACTTTGGCCTGTTGTCACGTCATACCGGATGTATTGGTCTCTTAATTATTCGAAATTCAGATTCCGTTGTCATTGACAATATGAACCAGAACAATGGCAACGCCAAAGCGTAGCGATTCCCATCGAACAGAAATGGCTGGCATTTTTACAAACGAAATATATAGCAAATTTCATAAAATAACACACATAAGAAAGGCCACCATTTTCAAAATGGTTGCTCACTAGCCAAGTTGTCAGCAGAAGAAGGAATATGCTTTAAAGTAGCCACATCTAAAATTTTATAAATCGCACATACGTACATGTAAATGATGGCCATTTTTTTAAATGGCCGCCTGCTACCCAAAATATTATTAGACATTGTGCAATGCTTAAAGTATTCACATACCGAATATGAACAAAATCGCTCCACTACTTTTGAAGTTACAGCAAAAATCGTAAAATGACGTGCAAAGGCAGCCATTTTTCAAGATGGCTGCCATGTATTTTTCTATATTTACATTTCTAGCTTAATCAATGTCCTATATAACTGTTTTACATTTAAAACATATAGCTATTACAGTTTTATATGCAGAACCTAAATTACAGTAAAATCGGCACTAAAATGGCCGCCATTTTTAAACAAGCGGCCATTTTGAAAATTGATTTTTGAGCAGAACTTCTACCCCCATTGGGTATATTTGTACAAAATATGAACGAAATCGAGCCAACAGTATTTGAGTTATTGCCCGGATGGACGGACGGAGGCGTTCCCTATATCCCTCCGAACTTCGTTCAATGGGATAACTATTGTGATTTACAACCACATTTGATCGAAATAAGGATTTCATATAATACTTGGTCACAAGAGCTTAATAAATGCACAGAATTAGTGATGATAAGGTCCCAAATGATTAGAGTTGAAGCAACAGTTAAGTCCACCCCTTTTTTGACATTTGACTTCGGTTGTCGGGGTGTTCCGGTGTGAGATTGAAGTAGAGTCCAATATTGTATTAATACTATGTAGGACTGGAGTATGGTCAATGAATAAAATATACCATATGCTAGGGAAATGAATTGAAGTGGGAAATACTAGGGCAACCATTAACATGGAAACAGAAGAAATGTATTTAGTTTTGATATTTGTACCTCAAACATTTATTTGTCAATTGCACTATGTGCCAAGTACAGTAGTGTTGTAAGAAGATTCAACCCATGAACACATTCACTACAGATAGACATGAACGATCAAGTTTCGTATTTTCATCATGCTTTAAAACTCAACAGGAAAAGGTCACCATTTAAACCATTTAACACAATATGAATACATTCTTGTTTATAGCCTGCTCATATAACCTTTTATCTTTGATTTTATATGTGGGAGTATATGAGATAAACTAAACCAAGTACAGTGTATATCAATTATTCCCATAAATATTTGCTAACAGAAATTTCAGAGTTAAATTGACACCTACTGATATATTTTAAGCATTTATATTGAAGTGATATATTTTATATCATATGAAGTGGTACATGTCACTGTAGTATATTATTCATACTTGAAATTTTTCACAGCATTTTTATTAGAGATGGGTAGGGTTTGGGCCAGGTCAGTTCACTATGGTTATTTCCCAACGTATCACCATGACCCGAGCCATGAACAGGTCGGATTAGCCCCAAAGAAACGCAACTCTAACCAATAATTCAGTACATTTATAAAAGATGCCGGCCCCTCTCACATTGCAATCTGAAATTTAGAAAACATTTGGACTCTCAGATAATAATAGCTCATTGATATGTCATATTTGTAGGAAAAATTCAAATATTCATCAGGTTCATTTGGCAATTTTGAAATTCAATTTCAGTCCAAGACCAATTTGAGTAGTTGATCTACGCAATCTACAAATACAGTTTGTTAATATTTTTCCCAATGTACATTTCTTATTTTACAACTGATATATTTTCCCCTTTCATTGCTAAGTTAAAGGTAAAAGAACTTGCTATATTGAGGACAATCTATGAGACCAACAAGATCTCTTTTTAGTATATGACACGTGACCCATCTCAACCCAAGAGGTCAAACCTGATCAGACCCTTACCCGACCCAACTCTAATTTATATGCATCTTATTTATACTGAAATGTGCTTCCTAGTAGCTAGTTCTCAAGGCACTAAGCCTTCTATACAAACCCCTAAAGATCATAGCAGAAACTATTTACATTATATACAAGTCTTGATCTGTGTTGAAGAATTTATAGTTAGAAACATAGAGAAAATGAGACACTTGACAATCAATAATTCAAAATGAGGTCAGACTGGCCAAACTTGAGTTTATAACACTTCTATTATATATGAGAAAAACATTTTGGAGATGCAGCTTGTCAAGATTGTGTTATTTTCTCTAGATTACTAACTTAGTATGAAATGCATGTATGTGAGATGAGATTTAGCTATTTGATAACCTGGTTCTTTACAATGAAGTATTAATACGCCTTAACTGTACTTTCCCTCAATAAAAAGCCAGAGTCTACAGCTAGATTTGGATTTGATACAGAGTATCATCGTGATGGAATAATGGATACATTATATATACAGATGACGCTTTGTACAGTTTTCTATATTACACAATTTTACACAAAATAGTTCTGGATACCTAATGACAAATTGAAAATATATAACACCAACAAAAATGTTGCTTATATTTTACCATGTGCTTTAACATCTACTCACTATACATTATATACAATGTTTTGTATATTTTCTCATTTTTTACTTTTTATGTATTTTTCATGTAAACGAATACAACCACTGATCATTAAAATAAAACATGTAACAAAATAAATCTTCATACAACAATGTTTTCACACCAATGTACAGTTTCCGTCAAAAGAGGAACATTGTACCCAGTGTTGTTTGGCTTTAATACGAAACAAAAGGGAACTACATTTTTGATCTGCAATCAACTCCAAAAATTATATAATTTTAATGTTAACTTTAACTCAGCCTGGACTTGTATCTTATTCAGTGTGCTATCTAAAAATGTTGGTATTTGAATTTTTCCAGATCAATGTTTGAGCGTGCTTGAGAAAAAATGACTTCAATGATCTGTGGTAGTATCACCATTTATGACATATATGGGCATTGTGATATATGAAGATCATAGACAAACTATAAGCAACTGATTCACAAGACATTAAGATACATGCATTGGGAGAAATTTCATAGTATCCATTGCCTGAATAAATGTGACACTTCATGGAATAACAGGGCTTGACCTACAATTTAAAGACAGGAGCAAGATTTTACATTGCCTGATAGCAAACTTGCCCCTTGCTAATTTCTAGCCCTATTTAAACCATTTATCTATTTGAAAAAAACCGATGAGTAATGCACTCATTTAGCTCTCCTCAATGATAATCCATTCAACTTTTCATCCTAAACGTCCATATTTGGTTGTATTCCATATTTGGTGTCCAGCCACCATTCCAGTACTAGTGACATATTTGTACATATGGAACTTTGTAGAAGCTTAACAGCAAACATTGGCTTGCTACTAGCCTTTTGAATTTTCGAGTATATCTTGCTACATATCTGATATCATTCTTAGTGGATATGCACAACATCATTCCACATCTCTCATAGCAGATATCTATTTCAACATATACCTATGTAGCTATTCTCTGTATCTCTCTGAATATTCAGGCCTCAACGCTTTGCTAGTTTAAGCACAAGGCCTGTAGATTTTGCAGGTTGACGTACCCCACTCACTACAGTCCACTCAGGATCATATTCTGGATCATTTGGGTCATCATCAAAGAATTCATCAGACTCAGGGGATGTTATGAAATTAGGGGAGCAAGCCCTACTACTGACAGGGGTGGTGTCATAGGTCTGATGGTGGTAATGTGTATGGTGTCTGATTGGCAGTACAGAGGTTGTGATAACTGGCTGAGCACGGGGAGGTGGTGGAGTTTCTAGATAGGTCACTAGGTCATTCTCGCTCAATGGGAATTTAGCTGTCTCCCATGGGGTCACTTGTACATCAACATCTGGCGTCGCTGATGTAGAGCGTACCATATTATCATCACTCATACAGGATATAGTGCGCTCACGTTTCTGTGACAGAGATCCACTACGTTTTCGCCCCAAAATGCTGTGCTCTTCTAGAGAAGCTAACTTAGAGGAGGATGAGTTTGGAGTCACTGGAGATGCCAAAGGGGAACTGACTGATTGCAAACTTGAGGTACTGTTCATTGAGGCAAATATACTACTGTCATTAAGACTAGCCTCTGGAGATAATGGATCAGGGGTTGTTGCCCCACTGTCTGTTCTCGTACGACTATCAGTTCTGTGTTCAGACCTGCTATTGGCTGAACGGCCTCGACTTGTGGGTGTAACCAGATACGAGATAAAACGTTTTTTCTCCTGGACCTCACAAGGCAGATGTTTCATACTGTAGAACTCATCACTCGTGTCCTCAATCTGCAAGATAAACAGGACAATGTTATCATATTTGGGAACTTGCATGGTTTTACATATTTAAGTTCAATGGTCCACAACATGATGAAGGTAACTAGAGTAAACCTCGTCCAAAATGGTGGAAAATATTGTTCAATATCGATAAACTGTCGATAAGAGCTATCTGGATAAAAATATTTCATCATACAAACCAAATGAGTTCCAACTGAAAAAAAACAACTCAAAACCCTCCAAAATCTATTAGCGTTGTAAAAGCATACATACCTCTTCTGTTGCTTCCTGGGGTGAAGATGGGGGAGTTGGTGTTGTGACAACAGGGCCTGGTTGGACAGCTGCAGCAACTGTCTCAACTCCAGTCTCTGCTTCTTTTACACTCTGTTCCTCAGAAGTTATTGTACCATTCACTTGTGCAACCTCTTCAGGTTTTATTGGTCCATTCTCAGTGGTCTTTGTCACGAGAGCATCATGGAAAGGATCTACTTCACGCCATCTATAAATAATGATTTCATTATATAATTATTCACACACTTTCCATTTCCTGTTTTCATGGGTAATAGGAACATATGTGCTTTAATATTTTCTTACTAAGACACATGTTTGATAAATACAATACAAGACATTTGATCTCATGTTTTCACAAGAGTCGGGATGATATTTCTCTCAGCACCTATGATGAACTCTCCTCTAAGATTAACTTTGCTCTAGGCTATGTACTTCCACTTATGAAAAGAAAAGATCAAAAAACTGGAAGTTGAATTTCAACTTACTTTGGTGTTATGATTTCCTTATACTGTAGCTTTTCAACTCTTGATGATGCTGCCATGCCATATGGAATTACAATATTATTGATGTCAAAAGCATTTTCCATTCGCCTCTTTTTAATTAACGCTTCCTTCATTTCCTTGAGAGTCCCACTGGGGCAGCTCTGAGCCATGCCAGGTGGTGGGGTTTCTCTTGGCCCAGGAGATGGGGTTCCCACTGTGCGTCTCAAGCGATCATTCAAAGACATTCGACGCTCTTTTTTAGTAAGAGCAGCTGAAACGCAACATATATGAAACCTTAAATAAGAAACTTTATAAATGAGGCTACCAGAAATTTTCTTTATGCATTTGTAAGCTATCAGTTCGGCGAGTGAGTTGTCCTCATTTTTCAGTTGAAACAGTAAGTGGATCATCATCTAGCTTATATATCACAACCATTATCATTATAATCTTTTCTGAAGGAAATTTTAATTCCTAAATTAGGAAATGCTAACTTCTATATTTCCCAATAACTCTACAAGCAATCATAAGCACTTTTCCAGACTTACCCATAGCCAGCCTGGCAGCCTTGCGCCTATTCTTCGACTCAGATCGACATATTCTACTATCTGAAGCAGACAGTCTTGGAGTTCCAGGAAGGGAACCACCACTCTTTGACAGTGCTCTTTCACTATATTTGATCCGCAATTCTAAAACAAGAGTATGTTGTTTTTACAAGTAGCCATATATTTATATGGATCAATGTATTCATATGACCCCAGGGTCCAAAGGGTGCACCAACCATAGTACAAAATGGATTGTGGCTCCAAGCTATCAGTTCGGCGAGTGATTTGTCCTCATTTTTCAGTTGAAACAGTAGGTTTATCATCATCTAGCTTGTGCATCCTATATAAACATTATAATAGGACTGCTAACATCAAAATAATTATTTATTAAATATCATATAGTTAAGATGACAGCAAAATATTGTTTAGTTTCAAGAATACTATCGGAAATTGAATAAGAGTTCAGGATTCGGGTAAGTTCTAAAATAAATGAAAAATGGATTCATTGTACAAAATTGTTCACTATATGACAGAATGTAAACTAGTTCTCACAAAATTGTTCACTATATGACAGAATATAAACTAGTTCTCACAAAATTGTTCACTATATGACAGAATGTAAACTAGTTCTCACAAAATTGTTTACTATATGACAGAATGTAAACTAGTTCTCACTTGTAGAGGCATTGAGAATGGCAGCAGTGGTTGGACTTTTGTTGTTGTACTTGCGCATATACTTCTTGTGATCATCCGCACCAGAATACTTCCTAGAATCACACATGGAATCATCATAAGCCAGCTTCAATATTAGTTTGCATTTTATGTTTTTCGATTATAATTTTGCTGCAAAAAGTGACATGGGGGACAACTGGACAATCCTCTGAGGGGATAGGGATAATACAAGATTACCATAAGTCCACAGAGTATTTCTTACATGTCTTAATGCTACATCTAACACACAAGCCCAGAGGATAAGAATTCTGCTGAATGCAACATTGCTGTGTTCATTCAGATTAGAGAAACAGAACAACTAATAGAATATTCCAGATTACTTGAACCTATATGCAGTATGTAGGGAAAGTAATTATATCATCAGGGCATCTCTATCTTTAGTGCAGGCAATTTCTATGTAACCTTGAATATCCAAGACTATATGTTGTTATTCTGGTATTTACTTATAAATAGAGTTATTATCATTGAGCAAGGGATTTACTCTGATCCCACTGAAACAGTCACTGAATATAAAAATAAAAATAAAACCTAATTTACAGTGCATTATTGGCCATTGACATTTACCAGGAAAATATTAACCTTTTACTAAAGTTTGACATGGGGAAGTGGCATAATAAAAGGAATGCAATTTATAATGAAAAAATACTAGATAAAATATTTATCAATCTATGAAGATGTGGATTTTATATTAAAGGAGGTCAGATTTTCTACTTGGTACTTTAATAGAGTTTAGTTAATGTAATTTTATGGAGTACAGTATAGTGTAACTGTTAAGACATTCAACTCAGCTAGCATTATGTATCTAGCAAGGGCAGATAAAACGATGATACTGAGATATCAATGTAACTAGCAATTTCGAGCTGTTAAAGTAGAATATTTACTGTGTACTACATTGCTTATTTAATGAGATAAAAGCTAACTCTATTTACAATGTGAACTCTTTTCTCACCATGTAACAAGGCATGACATTGCCAAGGTCACTGTGACATTCAACTTGAAAAGATAACTGTTCGATGTTTTAACAAGCATTACACCGATACCCTAGCTGTTTTATTCAGTGGATACATTTTTTATTTATAAGAATTGAACTTGCAAGAACGTGTCATGCCAAAAGGTTCTAGTTGTGTGTTATAAAAGTCATAGCATAGCAAGAGAAGAGATTGTTAGTTGGCGCTATGATTCACAAGCACATGGCTGCAATGTATTGATTATTTCCCAGTGAGTCTAGTAGCATCAGCAGATACTGTTGCATTAACATACTGCATCAATGATTATTTTATTACAACATACTGAGTCTCATATGTATCCAACAGAGAATTATATGTAATTCATTTTATATAACAGGATGGTAATTTCCATCTGTACATATTATGCTAGTATAATTACCACCTCTCGACTAACATGTACAATAACAAATAAATAAATGATATAATGCACATATAGCAATATTCTTTTTACGTAAGGACTAAAATTAATAATTATCACTTCATCATTCATATAAAATATTATAAGTTATTGAATGATTTGAAGTGCAATACAGGATATATTCTACTCGAGAAATTCTGTATTGGAATGAGAAAAAGTCGAGTGCCAATACAGAATATCGAGACAGAATATATCCTGTATTGTACTTCAAATCATTCAATAACATTTTTATTGTGTGATCCTCTGTATTGCTACTGAGATTGCCCCCTCCGTACCAATATTTTCTGTATCGCGATGGAGATGATCACTGGGGACAATCTCAGTAGCAATACAGATTGGCACAGCACAAGAACTGACCAATCAGAAGGCTTCATTTTACGGATCATACTATAATTGAGAGTATTGTGGCTTATTATTATAAAGTGATCTTCCTGGCATTGATGCACCCAGTTCAGATTTTGGAAATAAGCTTGTATCCACAAATCCTATTTGAACTCAGTAGAATGATGGAAATTGTGAAAATGAAAATCTCACTAGCACCCATTGAGGATAACTAGACAATAAAAAATGTATAGTGGGAATACTTCAATATATTGTGATGAGAGGAAGGACTGTTTTTGGAAGTGCATGTTTTTTTTAATAAACTTGAAAGAAAAAAGTTTTCCTCTGATAACAGAAAATAAAGAATTTTGTCCAGTTGTTTGACTTAAAGCTGGACTGCGCTCCGAAACGCAATCCTTGGGTTGTTTCGGGGGTGAACTTTATCATTTTGAGCCTAATGAAAGATTATAGAATGATGAACAAATGGGGCAAATCTTGTGTAGAAATACTTACGATAAATGTGTCATTTCAAAGATTATTCATTGAATTGCTTCGATCGGCGCCGACGATATGATTTTGGAAAAGTTTCTAAATGAAGAACGTGACGTCACTTCCGAATCATAGCATTCAAAATAAGTAGCGTTTAATTACTTCCAACATTCATTAGAAGACGGTGGTCTAGGGGTACAATTCTCGCTTAGCACGCGGGAGGCCCGGGTTCGAATCCCGTATTCTCCTTTTTTTTTTTTAACTAAATGATTGTTCTTTGATATAACGCAGAAAAAAACAATTTTTATTTACATAAACTTTATATTAGAGCTTAAAAGTGTAAAAACAATATATGTCAACATATTGCGTTTTGGAGCGATGTCCAGCTTTAAACAATATTCTGATTGGAGGATTTGGTTATCTTGTGCTCCACCACACCTTATATTGCTACCTTGATTAATGACTACATATGTAGGAATATAAACAGCTTTAAAATAGGACTCCCAGCCTGGATAAGATTGCATATGATTGAAAGCAATTACTTATCTCAAATTAAGATCATCATGTGCAATTGATGTAATACTATAGTACCTGGACCTAATTACAGTATAATACTAGATTTTGTTTGGTCAAAACAAGTGACTGATTGTTGATGATAATAATGATAGCACAATGTAGTACTGGATTCCTTTAAAAATGATGTGATAATGATAAAATTAACAAGATGACAACAATAAAGCACCTTTGTAAAAGTATGATAAAAAATTGTAAACATGAATCCAAACAAGAATCTAAAATGTGCATGTGGTTTTGTAACTGAAAACAAACCTTTCAATTTGTTCCCTAGCCTTGCCCAAGTAAAAGAGACCAATTTGGGCAAGGCTACATCTTTCCCATCTTCTAGAAATTTCCAAATAAAACAAGCACTATCCAGCTGAACAAAAATAATCCTCTAATGACTCAAAATGCTTGAAGCAGAGAAGTTTGGAGAGTGAAGAATTGTTTATAAAAATGCTGATATATTAGGATAACAGCACTAATCACTCTTTGATGGAAGTAATTTTGACTACAACATTTTGAATCGTTTGTTACAAGGCCAGGCTAAAACAATTGTCTGGTTCTAATCCCTGCCTTTTTCAAATTGATGGTCGGTCAATTTCTTTTTTGGCAGGGCATGGTTTTATTTTTGTGACAGCCTAGACTTGATGTGAAAGATGCAGGTAGGAAATATGGGGACACGAATCATTTGAACACATCATGAAATACATCATTGGATGAATGTGACACGTCATACTTTCATTATATAAAACCCACATGACTTGTACTCCACCAGGAAGTAATATCAGAATGGAAAAAATGTTTTTACCTTTTCTCAGTACGAGGTGATGGTTTGTTCTGCCACTCCCCAGTCTTCAACAAGGACTCAAAGTGCACTGGTAAAGGAACATCTGAAACATGTCACAATTCATTAATGTTTGCCACCTCAAAGCAAATGAAACATCCTGAAATACAACATCTGGAAGTTAACAAGTTCAGCATAGCAGCTGTTATTTTACCAAAAAGTTGAAAAAAACAAATTTAGGTCACCCATAGATTTGTGGTCATAAGAAATGTTTACAATAACTTTTTATTAGGTCTTTTAACAATCGGGCACACCAGAAAAGGTGGAATATGAGATGACTTGAGTTTTCAGATTTCTATTAATTACTTGGGCCTGGATTTATGCGTCAGTACACCATGTGTAGGATTATATTTCTGAAAACCATACATACATGAAAAGTTCACATTGCTTCTAATATGGCTTAGGGTATTGAACACAATTGATTGAAAAGCAAAGCAGCTCTCCCTTAAAACCTCTTCTAACCAAGACTAATGTAATTCATGGAACCTAACAATAACCCATGAACTGAAAGGGCTCCATGCGAATTTTAGGCCATGGCTTCAGGTAGTCAACTCCTAGAATTTAACGATTATTTCTAACTAAGAGGAAATGAGCCAGTGTTTAACAGTCGGGTTTAAGCGCCAGAAACAACCATGGGGAACATGTCCCATTATCATACATGTAATCAGGGTAACATGAAATTGTAAGTGAGTGGCAGAATAGCCATAACTCTTCAACCCAGAACACTTAGTTACAGACCAATGTACTCAACTATTTGATAAAATGTCTGGCATATTGTAAATGCCTGTTTCAGTATAACCTATTTCTGTGCACACAACAGAATTGGAAATCAATGGCTCATTCGTGTAATTACGATCCAGGATAAATGTCGGTTTATTCCTGGAGAACAATAAATGGATTAAAACAAGTAAAAAAATTATTATTTCATAAAATCTTGTCACATTTTGAATGGATGATAACAAAAGATTGATGTCAGTATCAAATCATATTATTCGCCAGTCAGGTCGCAGAACCTGAGCTGTCAATACCATTTTTATTTTAACCATATATTTGGAACAAATGTGTAGAACTGTAGATGATATCATAATCATACCTCAATTAATTCCTGAATGTAACAAGAAAAAGATTGTTTAGCTAATTTCAATTCTGACTGCAGTGCAAGAACATTTACTTAAATGTATTAGAGCAAATCTTGCATGTTATTTCAACCATTTTCATTCCTTCATTTAGCCATCTTGATCTACAAGGTGTAATACACATTGAAATTCTAAAATGCAAATTAGGCAAAATTCAATTTAACACCTAGCTTTGCAGCAGCAGAATATGGACTCCCTAATCTTTCCTCTAGTATTAAAATAAAAAGTCTACCTGGTCTGTTGAGAAACCAAGATGACCTGGGCTGCTTTGCAGTCAAAAATTAATCAAAGCATCTATGATATCTTTGTCAGTAACTGAGTTTCACATTATGCCAAAAACTATTGTATCAAAGTTTGATACGAGGGGAAGCTAATGACAATAAAACTGCTGAAAACTGCATTTAGTAATCACTCTTACGAAACACCCCAATAAAGATGGCTGTACTAATTTCATTTGTATGGGTTAATTATATAACTTGCCATGTTTTCTTGGACATAAAGATTTAGAGATGTTTAGTTTCATATTCCTTTAAGGCATCCATACATTAATATTCTACAGAGCAAAACTACCTAGCTAGACTTCTGTAAAAAGGGTGTGGCTGCTGTTCAGATATAATAAGTATGTATGATGTATGCAGCATAATTACTTTTATCAAGTGTATCAGTCTGCAACTAGATATGTTTATCACAATCACAGGCTGTCCTTTCAGCAATGCTGTTAACTAATGAATAGCAACCATCAAATACATGTATTAAATTATCAAACCACAGAAACTTAGTATTCACCATGAACTACACAAAGTAATCAACCATTTAATAGTTGAGAGGGGCCAAAAAAGAATCATCAAATGCTGTTTTGTCCTAGGCTTTGAATTTATGATTGGAAAGGGGAAGGTAAGGAATAAGGACACAGTAGCATTTCAAAACAATGAATTTTGTGTGTCTATTCTGATTCTAGATAACCCAAATTAAAATTCTTGCAGTATTCTCAACAGATTTGCAAGATTCTCATATTCACACTTCAGACCAAACAAAATATGCCAATTTTCAAGTAGGTGCAAATGGATTTTCAGGTGGGCATAAGCTTATTGTCAATATCTCAGGTGGGTCCCCACTTGCTTAATAGTGGGAGATCACTGCCTTTTATATAAAATTAACATCCACCAGGAAACCATGGCAATATCATGAGATTAAATCAGCAAATTGTAATTCATAATATTGATAATTCAATAATGATATTAATTTACCTTGTGAGAATGAGAGTACTGGATGGAACGCTGGATCAAGGAGGCCCACTCTCTCATTTAATGGCATGTTGTCAGAGTCCATAGCTTGTTTATTGTTGTACCTTCCCCCACACATTGCACAAGGGGTAGATGGTGGGTAGCACTGACACTTTATAGTAGATGCCCGCGCTGCTTTACGATTTAACTGATGCAACCCCGCAGTTCGTAGCAATTTCCGTTTTCTATAGCTGCGCACTGGTCGACACCGTGCTGATTGGCAAGTGTTATCAATACAAGGGGATGCATCTCCTACTGTTATTAATGGGGGGTTTACTGCTGGGGTCTTGCTATCTGTAGTGTCTATGCTAGGTGTTGGATTAGACTGTGAGGATCCAGGGTCTATTACTCCATTGATAGGTTTGGCAGGTGGAGTCTGATTACGACCCCTATTAGAACATTGTACAGGGGAATAGACATTACCTAATGACTGAGTCAGCTTCGTAGACTGCTTATCAACATTGCTGAGCAGCGTTGATATATTACACGGAGACAATTCATTCTGTCTTTCAAGATTGGCAATTTTAGCTTCTAAAGGAGATAATTTTTTGTTTGATTTGGCTTTGCCTTGAAGTAAATCATCAGGTGGTGTATATTCTCCAAGAACAACTGAGCCCTTAGTTGCTCGTATTTGCCTATAAATGTCACTTTGCTGCCGTATTCTATATTCTAGGTCAGATACTTGAGCCTGGAGCCAGGTCCACCGTGAGGCAATGGCTGCCCGATCAACTGCCCACTTCCACTCTGCCCGCCTTTGTCTGTACATGAAATAAACAAAAATATATGAGGTTGGAGCAGATATAATATGGTGCATACATGGAAGAAACAAAAACATATTGATAGCAAGTATAGAAAGAGATCAACGATCTAAAAATCCATATCAAAACACAATATCAAGATCAATAAATACATGTTTTGAACAGACATTAGATGAAATGAGAACATCATGCACATATGCATGATAACTACTTTTACACTTTTTGGATTTTGGAATATTCAAAGTACTTAAACACATTGAGGACAAAGAAAATAATTTACATCTTTTTATATATTAAGAGTACATGTACGCTAATTTTGAAAATTCTTCATGTTGGGGGACTCATTTTGGTGTCTCCAAACTTCGATATCTCTTGAAGGTATGTAGTTTCTATCAAAAAGGTCAGATAATGAGAGACTAATAAATCAGAATTGAGGCAACTTTTCATTAATTTACATGGGCAAATATACTTAATTAGCTATGTTTTCGTGGCCTCAAGTATTATGGCATAGTATGACATTAAACAAAAAACATCTCATGATCTACTTCGACTAGAATGATTCCCTTGAAAACTATTAATGCATGCCATTGATTCTGGGCAATTGAATTAGGTTACTTATTGCAAATTAACATTACTGGCAACTCTACAATTGCATGACAAATTATAATGCAGTATGATTAAAATATGACTGCCAGCCTAAAGGGGTGTATACACTGGCGGGGGGGGGGGGGGGTGAAAAGGCCGAAATAGTTGAAATGAAAGATAATGTGAGAACAGCTTAGGCGAATTGATTGAAATGCTAAAAACGGCGAAACAGTGAAATGTTAAATTAATTTCAAAGGCAAATTGATTGAAATGCTCGAAATGATGCAAGTAAGCATTGAAACTTGAACTGATTGAAACAATTGAAACAACTGAAACGATAGAAAATTTATTTATACTGTATACAGGGCTTAAAATTCATTATGAATATGCAGTGGCTAATTCTACATTGACTGGAGGGGGGCAATTCAAGAATGTACCCTCCACATGTTTAAATATTAGAATCAGTCAGCTAAGGACTTCATGTATCACCATACTCTGTATATCAAATATCGAGTCTAATCAATAAACCTATTGATACTGCACATTTCAGATATAGGTTTTCTCAACTGAGGTGATAATATGGCCAAAGTCCACGATGAACATATTGGTAATCAACATACACAAGTATAGGTCAGATTTAACACTAAACATGGCAAGCTGTGAAAACAAATACTAAACCTCCCATAAATTTACAATCTATGTTTTAATTTGAGATTAAATATATAATAAATAAATTTTAAATTAGAGTCATGAATAAATAGGTTTTCATGATAACTATTGAGCAAATTATAGATAAACAAAATATGTAACATTTGAAGCACTCATTAGTAACAACATAAAAGTAACCTTGGAGTTTATTGATAACAAGACAGAATCATATGGAGAGAGGGAGTGGATAACAACATTGACGTAAGAAGCTTTAATATGACTGTAAAGAACAGTTTATCAATTACTCTTTGAAATGAATGACTTCTACAAATGTAAGGGTAACTTGGGTATGCTGCCTGTTAAAATGAAACACTGTACATATTGTACCTAAGAGTATAAAATTAACGATAAAAACTGCTTAACAGAAATACTTTATTAGATTTATGTATTTTTAAACTAATTTAAACGCTCCTTAATTTTGCATGAAAATAAGTATGGTGATAGAAGTTTTCGATTCAATGATCAGAAAACTAGAAGTTGTTTGTATATCTGGTCTCTGTATAGAGTATAGAGTATAACAGTTCATCATGATCTTTCATAAGACTTCAATTCACTAGAGTAGTTATCAATGAAATTTCTTTCATTCCAGACCTACATTCACAATAGACATTTATAAGTTATATAGAGATTCTCTTGAATGTTTACCGATCTCAAAGATGTTTATATGTTGAATGTTAGAACCCAGATGCTAAAACCATATGGTATTTATTTGTTGAGAAAACCTCACATAATCTAGTAACAATTATAATGTGCTTAGATATTGAAAGAACAGCCAATGACTAAAATCACATTTTTACCTCATACAAGATGGAAAACATATTCAAAGTTAGTATGATACAGGTATAAAACCAAAATTATTGATAAGATAGATTAAACGCAGAATCGGGTCTATAGGGATTGACAAAATTACAAGCAATATGTACAATTGACTACCCTTTGCATCCGTTCGACATCACTTCTTAAAAGAGAGCTTCCCCTTTACTCTTTCAGTTTACAATAAATCTCTCACAGAGCCAGTCAGAGGTCTTCATCGAAAACGCATTTAGTGTGTGTTCCTTCCAATTCACCGATTGGTTGAGAAAAGGTCAGCGTGGTAAGTTTGAAATGATTTATGACCTGGGCTGTCACAGGCACCAGTCGTCGTGGGGGGCTGCTAAACTGTAATATAGTCTATACTAGGCTGAGGGTAGTTTATAACTAGACTCTGCGTATGGGTAACAATTGACCTATTAATATATTCCTTACAATCTCAATATAATATCTCCCAAAAGATCCATGATATGTTATAAATTGGTGAAGTTATTAGAAAAATGGGGGGATGTTTAAATTCTCCCTAATAAAAATGGTAACAATATTTGAATGAATGATGTATTGTAAAAATCTTAAGTTTTCTAAAATAAAGTATACAATTAAATGGAAATGCATATATATTGGATTAGAATGTGGAAGTGGTACAAACAGTCAAATATTATTTGATCTTATAAATGTAAATGTACTTCCACAAATAAACTGGCAATGCTCCAGTTAAACTCATTCAGAAAAATCTATATAATCAAGCCAAACTCAAACCACTAATGACATCACTTTAACCAATTCTTAGTAATAAATCTGGGTAATACTCCAGACCGGCTGGCTATTTGTTTCCAACAAATTTTAACCATATATAGTAAATCTAACCAAACATGGAATAATATAATTAAGTATAGTTATATTTTATATTTTGATTTTATATATTTGTAAATACTACATTCTGGCCAATTTAAAGTAATATACAAGGCATTAACATGACAAAATGTCACCACCTAAAACAATTTGGTCAATTTAAAGCAAGTTGAAAATACCAATTCGCCAATTTGAAGCAAGTTGAAAAAATACCTCTTTGACTTTTTTTTGACATTGAGAAGGTCATTGAAGGTCAAATGTAAAGTCAGATTTGAACTTCTGAGAACATGTAGATGATTTTGAAAAAAAAATTAAGTCAATTTGAAGCAAGTTGAAAAAAGACCTTTTTGACCTTGAAAAGGTCATTGAAGGTCAAATGTCAAATCTAAAGTCAGATTTGAACTTCTGAGAACATGAAGATGATTTTGAAAAAGAAATTAGTAAATTTGAAGCAAGTTGAAAAAAGACCTTTTTGACCTTGAGAAGGTCATTGAAGGTCAAAGGTCAAATCTAAAGTCAGATTTGAACTTCTGAGAACTTGTAAGGTCAAATTTGAACTTCTGAAAAGATGAAGATGATTTTGAAAAAAAAAATTTGGTCAATTTGAAGCAAGTTGAAAACAGACCTTTTTGACCTTGAAAAGGTCATTAAAGGTCAAATGTCAAATCTAAAGTCAGATTTGAATTTCTGAGAACATGTAGATGATTTTGAAAAAAAAATTAGTCAATTTGAAGCAAGTTGAAAAAAGACCTTTTTGACCTTTTTTGACCTTGAGAAGGTCATTGAAGGTCAAATGTCAAATCTTAAGTCAAATCTAAAGTCATATTTGAATTTCTGAGAACATATAGATGATTTTGAAAAAAAAATTTAGTCAATTTGAAGCAAGATGAAAAAATACCTTTTTGACCTTTTTTGACATTGAGAAGGTCATTGAAGGTCAAATGTCAAATCTCAAGTCAGATTTGAATTTCTGAGAACATGTAGATGATTTTGAAAAAATAATTTAGTCAATTTGAAGCAAGTTGAAAACAGACCTTTTTGACCTTTTTTGACCTTGAGAAGGTCATTGAAGGTCAAATGTCAAATCTTAAGTCAAATCTTAAGTCAGATTTGAATTTCTGAGAACACGTAGATGATTTTGAAAAAAAAATTTAGTCAATTTGAAGCAAGTTGAAAACAGACCTTTTTGACCTTTTTTGACCTTGAGAAGGTCATTGAAGGTCAAATGTCAAATCTAAAGTCAGATTTGAAGGTCAAATGTCAAATCTAAAGTCAGATTTGAATTTCTGAGAACATGTAGATGATTTTGAAAAAAAATTTAGTCAATGTGAAGCAAGTTGAAAAAAGACCTTTTTGACCTTGAGAAGGTCATTGAAGGTCAAATGTCAAATCTAAAGTCAGATTTGAACTTCTGAGAACATGTAGATGATTTAGAAAAAAATTGAAGTCAGTCTAAACAGTATTTGTTAAGTTATAGGAAGTTGTAGAAATTGTTACAGACGCCGGACGCCAACCTCCAACCGCCGGACGCCGTCACAAAAAAACGGAGACCATAACAATATGTCACCACTTTTGGTGGTGACATAAAAATCAATAAATTCCAAATGTACCATAATTTCAAATAAATATAAAACTAATAAAAATATGTTGATTGATAAGTATATTTTTAAAGATATTTTCATAGCAATTTGAACATATTATCCTATGAAACAATGTGACAGGTGCTAACAGGTTTTGAACAGTTACACATAAAGGAGTTACATGGCACAATGACCTTTGTCATACATGCTGCAATCAACCCCTTAACAAATAATACAGAAATTGTAAATTATTTCACATAACATGTACCTGGTATATGTCTATATAAACAATGGCTCCAACAAACAAGTTGTTCACGACTGAATAGCTGACATGATATTTCGAAAAATGAATTTATATGCAACCTTAGTAAACATTATCTTATTAACATATGCAAGATAATGAGCTCAGTAGTCATAAATAAATAAATATGACAATGAATCAGAAACTTTAACGATGATTCCTTTTAATAATTATCATTCCCAAAATAAAGCTACAAATTTGTTGTAATATGCTTCATTCAAATTCATTACAGATATCAATGATTGATTGATAGAAAGCCAATGGTTAAATAAGACTGACCCATCGAAAAAGAATAAAAGAACAAAGATAGAGTAAATATATTCATTTCACAGTGTTCATTCCTTCCACCAAATTATCATTCAAAGTCATACTTCTCAACAGCAACAGTTTTAGCACTGGTGTTTGTCCAACTAAATGATATGTTAATTATCCCATCAGAGACATTAAGAACAAATCATGATATCACTGAGATAAGCATTATAATCTCAGATAAGGATAAGATATTGATCACCCCTGCAGAGGAAAAACTAGGATGCTGAAATAGGTGAATTATCCAGTGAGGAGGGGAAGGAGTTAGTTTTCAATTCCATTATCTTTAATCTAACAAGTAGTGTAACACATTTGATTTATATGAATATTCAAGGTTTAAATTCAACAGACCCTTGCCAGAAACACTCCAAAATCACAGATAATCCTTATTTTAAAACCATTTGTTTCTATGGCAATATGGCAGTGTATTTAATCCAAAAAGTTTCTGGCAAGTAAACTGTCTTCAATGCAAGCAAGATTACTTACAATGGTATAGTAGGGCGTTTCTCGAAATCGAAGAATTCATCTTCATCACAGCTTTCTCCCCCAGAGCTCTCATCTGTTGCATCAGAGTCTAACTCTGATTCAAGATGCCGTAGCCTTTCTGTAAGATTTGAGGAGACTCGACTTGCTTCAGCGCATGTCTCTTCATCAAGTTTCACCACTTCTTTATTTTCATTCCCGGTATGAGTGTTTGTCAGCCTTTGCCGCAATGTTACTTGTTGAGATTGCAACCTTCTAACTAAATTAACAAGTGCTGCCGTTGATAAATTTTTAATGTCTTCATTTATAAGGAGTTCTGAGTGCAGATCTGCATTGTTACTTGGGGGAACTTTGATAGCTTTGGCCATACATTCTAAATTTTTATGTTGATTATCTACAAATCCAGATAGTTGTGTACGAACATGGGTAATAGTTTGATGGGACTGCAATCTTCGAATACGCTTGGCTAGGCGTTCTGCTCTTTTATCTAAGTGTTGTTGTTGTTTTTTCATCTGTACATTTGTGTCCACTGGCTCTGGATCTTTTACTTTAGTGTCTGGTAATGTTCTACTTGAAGAGGAGGTATCAGTTGGTAGCAAGGAATCTGAGCTTTCAGACTGGGATATTGAGCTACTAGCTAACGGTCTACTTGAACAAGGTTGAGCAGATGAGGTTGCAGTTTGTTGTTCACTGGCTTGACCTGGTACACCATTGTTTGTGCAATTTGTTTTATTCAACTGACTTGTGTCTGTTGGTATCAAACCCATTTGCTGACCTTTGAGTTTGTTCACCAATTTAACAGTTTCAGGTACCAATGTAGTTGAATCTCCATTACGACCATTAGTTGTTAGGTTGTTCATTTTGCTTTGGATAGCAATTAACTGTGATTTTGGCCTCTCCTCCGCAGATTCGAAATCCTGGATGATGAACTTCGATTCTGTGTTAGGAGGAAACAGTTCAGACAGTGATGCGAGTCTTGTCTGGAGGCCTGGAGTTAGTAATTTGGGTGGGAACTTAATGGCTGATAATGACTCTGAATTAATGTGTGTAAGTCTGTTTTGGAGAATGCGAGATTTGACACCAATCAGCGCAATTTTATTGTTCAGACGATGTGATGCAATGGTGGATGGAGAGTGGCAATCCCCTTCAGTAGGACTTTCCACTATAGAAGATGATGGCTGCAGTTTCAAGTGCGAAGTAGCTGTTTCCGTCAGTGCGGGAGCCATCACGGCTATGCAACATAGCCTCAGAGATAGAGGACTAAACATGCATTTCTATCCAACTGCCTCTGATTGTGTCCTTGCTGAGATCGCAATCTACACAATCAGAATCTGAAAATACATAAATTGTGTCACTAAACATTAAAATTAGATCTATATATACAATTTTGAAAGCACATAGAGATAATTCATCAAAATAAACACAAATGTTTCACTTTACACTAAACTAAAAGAATTTTGACAGTCAGAATTCACTGTCAAACAACTGTTTTGTCATCTGTATTGTTTTGCAAGGGATGTGTCATTTGCTGAATATTTGTTTACATCATATCTCGTGATGATCCAGTAAATCGTTAAGTTCTTCTGCTCAGACAGTTTGACAACAGTAGAAAGTGATGTGATGGACATTGCCACGACAAAGCAAGATCAAAAAGCAAGCAAAAAATAAAGGGCAAAATCACAATAATCATAGTTACATATTGTGAAGGGGGAAATGTGGGGTTTTCAAAGCACGTGACTTTCTTGCGAAATGATGACTTCATTGCTCGGTTTTCGGGTTGATGCTGTCGAGTATCATGATTTCTCTGAATATATGACAAACATTGAAACAAACTGCATAGATCATAGCAATAATATGCACAAGTTAAACAATAAAAACAATTGAAATAGTCCTAAATTGAATCATACCACGTGACTCGGCCACGTCCCTTGTTAAAACAACCTGTCTGGTCCGATTCCAACGCCAAAATATAAGATATTTAATCCCAGATTTCGTCCCTTTCCTGATAACGTACAGCGTCAGGATCTCGGGAGAGTATAGTCCATTATATGCTGTTTCGATTGGTTATATCATTCATTCAATATGATTTGCATTTTCTAGTCAATCTTGCATCAAATTTTACTTCTAACTTCTCGTAGCCAATCCTTTATTACGTTCATCCACAAAGCAAGTATGTCGGGATATTGGCCAATTCACTCAATTCTTTATACCCCCTCTCCAAGCTATTTCGTGATTGGCTGATCACACGATAAATTTGCTTTTCAATTTATACATCTTACTCCCTTCGACTTTTAAAATACTGTTCATTATCTTTGCAAATTACCTGGAGTTGCTGATGAGATTAGCACGATATATCATGCAAATATTAAGGAGTATAAGAATCAAAAGTACATAAATGAAATGAACATATTAAATTTCTATATGAAGATATAAAATTGGGAATAATTTGTAAAGATGCAGGAGTAATTGTCACTGACGAAAAAGCAAATATTAGTGATGTAGGACCCGGGGAATTTAATTACTGGGGTCCAGGTTTTCTTTGAGCCTTGGAGTATACTTGGACTAAGGACATCATTTTGTATAAATAAAACGTCTGCCGGGATAGTTCTTACTATACGTTTATTCTACTTGATATATCACAGACACAGGAACATAGAATGTCCGACATGAAAATCAAACCCCTTAAAGGCCTTAAAGAGTGTATTTTCCAAAATTAACAGCACAGAAATATTTTTGAAAATTTGATTGCTTTATTAAATCATGTGTTACTACCAAAAAGTGAATACATTATCATGCTAATGACGGCAGAACTCAAAATCATATCAGGCCCGTAGCCATGATTTGCCAAGGGGGGGGGGTCACTCTTTGATTCCAGGGGGTTCACTTTTGACAATTTTGGTCCAAAATCTATCGACCCCCCGCCCCCTGGCTACGGGCCTGCATATTTCTGCATTGATTACACTTTTTTCTCTGGTGCAAAGAGAGTGGGGGGGGGGGGCTGGAATTTCTTACTGGAGACAACATTAGACTACCAGGCAATTATTTCTGTAGACACCAAAAATACTTTTTATTCTAATTTTTATTTAATTAGTATCGACTGTTTGGCAAACACACGGTACTAATTTAAAAGATTTCCAGCCTACGTTAAGGTTCATATCTGTTAAAAGTAATTATGATTGTTTTATAATTACCTCTATTCTATCTAAATAAAATACGATGTCTTGAATTTTCATCCTGAAATTCCGGAGTAATAAAGTCATTTCTAGCTATGCTTTTGTGCATATAATTATGTCATGTTATGACAAGATAATTTTGTAAAACCATACGAAATAATGGACTTGCTTTTTATATTGATGGATATTTTATCATATGTTTGTGATTAGACTATAAAACGTTATTTTGGTACGCGTAATAATTATTGCAACGTAATGCAGATATAAAATTCGAAATTGAATCATCAAAGGGTAATAAAACGATGATTGTTTTTAGTCAAAGGGTATATCTATGAGCTCTGCATGCATTTGGTAATTCTGCACTGGTAAGTCCGAGTCATCAGAGGACGCCAACAAAAATAATGATGGAATGGTTCATGGCATTTGTCATCATGGTAATAACTGCACCTTTTTTGCAGTTGAGTAACTCTCTCATAGTAAATTCAGTGAAGTTGAAATCTACACAGGCTGACGCTATCTCAATGCTAAATGATACTTGGAACATATCTCTCGAACACTCTTCGGCCGAGAAGAAAGATGCAAGACCTCCTTGGATAATGGCATATGCAAGACGACCTTGGACTAAAAAAAACGCACGCCCCCCTTGGATTAAAAAAAACGCAAGGCCCCCTTGGATTAAGAAAACGCAAGGCCCGTTGGAAAAGACGCATGCAAAGCACCTTAGAAGACGCATGATCTCTTTCAATATTTAAACATTTAAACCCATCGACCATACCCTCGTTAAAGAAAGGCACATGTAGCCATTTGAAAATATTAACAATACGCAATGACCTCTGATATAAGGAAGGATAGGTGATAACCTATACTATTGCTGTATTAATAAGGAAAACGCGTCCCTGGGCAAAGAAATACACCATCCCAAAGATATACAATTACAGATGAAAACATCTACTGCCTGCTGACAAGCGCTTGCGTTAGTTCTAAAGACGAGAATTTTCACACACTAATGCAAAGGGTACACAATAGCTAAATGGATGGAAAAAGACTAATGCAATGCATATTTTTTAAGTATACAGTAGTCTAGTCCCCCGGGTCTTGTCCTATGTATTTGAACAACTGAAAGCGATCTTTTAGGGGTAAAGGTAACAAAATTATCATTGTCAATATCGAATCCCTGATCATACTTGATATCTGATGATGAACAACTGTACAAATGTAAAAGCCGCTGCACATTGTCATATTCTTTCTCAGTTTAAATCATCAAATACCGATGGTCTATTGGGATAGAGACAGGCATTCAAAGTCCATAGAGGGCACTCTCTCGTACAAAAAGATGTTCAGCATGGTAAACTAAAATATGTCCTTCATATATGTGGAGATTGTGGTTAAAATGGCAGCAAAGACTAGAGAGTATAAAATGTTTGGAGTAATCTTTCCATTGGTGACAGACTCATATACCTTACAACATCAGACTTTGAACCTCGCTGTCGTTGCACGAATGGAAACTCCTCGAGGGTGATTTTCAAGAGCTAATATATTTTGGCATCATTGAGTTCGTGTTACGAAAGCGATGTGCAAATACTGAATCTGCTTCAAGGATTTTTATGTGGATATAAAAAGAAATGGTGTCAAAGTTGAAAAACATTTTGAAATCTTCATTAGAATAACACTGGACATGCATTCAAGAGTTAAAAACGCGTCAGACCGGAGTTTCTAACAAATAGGCCCACGGATTTTGCATAGAGTGTTTATTTGAATTTTTAATATACGCCCATGGGCCTTTATTGAGAGGGAAAAACTTTTTTTCAAAGATGGATGGGCGTTTATTAAAGGCCCACTTTGCCTAATTTAAAATAAAAAAGAACTGTTACTCACACACTCAATTCTCGAAATCGTTGTTCCCTCTTCAAAAGAGGAGACGCGAAAATCTTTCCTTATAAGGTCAAAATATTTCCCATGATGCAGTTCGCGGAGGAACAAATTTATACTTCCTTGTTTTCCCTCATAGGTTTAACATGGGGATTTTCACACCATTTTTTCAAACGATATATTCGTTCATAGTTCCCGTACGAGAGTACAGAAATTTTTTTTAGAAACGATTGATCTCTTATTAATCTTAATATAATAGCTATTTTTTCATTGTATTGATTCATACCGTGGTGAAAACGACGATTGAAAAGTGAGAAAATATTCCGGAAGAGAAGGTCACGTGATCAGTTGACTAGTCGCCATATTGGAAAAAACAATTCAATTCGACTTTCAATACTTTCATGCCAATCTTACCGCACTACAAACTGCAACATCGATGCAACGACTGAATAAAAGTATTCATCTTCAAATTACATTAAAGAGTTACGTTGAAAACCCACAAACAACTGAGCAGTAGACCAAAGAAGACGCGTCGCTATTATCTAGGTCAATCTGTTCAGTGGTCCGAAAGCAAATCTATAGTACTCGTTTACGAATTTTGTTGTTCATTGTACAATCTTTTTTTGATTAAACTCGGTATACTGACTATTAAAGCAATGACAAAGAAGAATACTTCCGATGGTGTCATTGTTTTATTTAGCGTGCGGGTGTAAAAACAAAATTGCGTAATTACTTTGATTTAGAACTTTCGGGTCACGCAAATAGCTACGCGAAATGCATAGTGGGAAAATATTGACCAATCAAATTTTGTCCTTTTTGAGTGCTTTTTCAGAACATATTTGCGAACGTTCTGATTCAAAGAGCGAACCGCGAAAGGGAGAATTGGATATGATACAAAGTTTGATTTGCATTAATATTAAACCAAGAAAAAAATAACTCACGTAGAAAACACCATTTGAAGTTCAGAGATCCTAAGTAGTGCATGCACATATTTGAAACAGTGCACGATTTAAATAACTTCTGATTGAAAAGATGGCGACATTTCAGTTTAATGAATACTAATGGATTGTGTGATAAAAACTTTGCTATCTTCCAATGACATCGGTAAAATCTTGATAATTTATTGGAAGCTTTGATTTGGGCCGTTTGAGCTTTTTCTGATGTCAAATGAAAGATAAAATACTTATTAATACATTGGAAATACTATGAAGAATGTTGAAATTACGCAAAGTGGGCCTTTAACACGCGTGTTTAAGAGGGAAAATAGGTTTCCCAAGTCATTTGGCGTTTATTTCGAGGGATATTATCGATTGTAAAAATGATGCATACATCTGCTTTTGAAACCGAAATTCAATCTTCAAAGGATGAAGTGGGTAATTGGCGAAAATGAAAACTCTTACGACTGGGAGAACATCCATTTCGATACGTGGACAGCCTGTCTTTTCTAGTTGACCGGGCTAGTTGATCCTCTGTGATTGAGCTTGTTCTGAACTGACGTAGAATACAAATGTCATTACGATTTGATAAGAGACAGAGATCGCATTGAGCATTTTATTACAGTGGTCTTTTTTCAAATAGAATGTTTTGTAATGATGTCCACCATCCATTTTTCAGGCGACGGGCGTTGAAAATTGCCAAGCTTTTAGAAAATAAATCAACAATTTCTTTTTGAAAATCGTACTAAAATTTGTATTAAAATAGCAACATTTGTAAAAATACATAATATGATAATATATGTAAAACATATATGTAAATCAAAATCGTAGTCCAACCCTATACCAACTCATATATATATTCTACTCATTTATAGGCGAATATACGATCTATTCATAATTTCAGACTTATTATAAGCTAAAACGAAGCTAAAAGAAAATAATGTGTCAAACGTCACAAGCAAACTAAAACTACAGGCGTATCGAAAGCTCATTACATTACGGTATATGGCTGGCAAAAGCACCGAGAGATTCGAACACGCACCGTTTTCAAAACGTTTATATATCATATCGAAGCATGAATTTCACTGGCTATTTTTGCAAACGCCTGAACTTACCTTTTACGCGTATCTTTGACGTGCTTCTTTTAAATATAATTATGCATACGCGTAATTGTGGATATAACACTCATAATTCCTCTCACGTAATTACGCGTGTAATTACACTCGTATGGATATTACGCCCGTAATTTCTCACACGGATCATTGGGTGCTTTGGCCAGCTAAACACTATACCCGCAGTTATATAGACGCGGATATGTCATGAACAATATACTGGCTAGTAAAGCATGAAGTCAGCATCGTTATAAGTTATAAAAAAAAATATTACAAGCATTATAGAGAGATTTCGCTCATAAGTGAAAGTATACTTCTAACTTTTGTTCATGCGTGTGTATATTGCTATACGTTATAAGCTTTAGTGATTAGAGATATTTCGCAACGCATTTATTCATGTTATAAGCGTGCTTATAAATCCCGTATGTTTATGACATTGCTTATAAAACGTTCTTTATAAGTGAGTGAATAATTATCTCGTTATAGTAGTTATTGGATGAGAATCATAAAGGTAATTTGTATGAAGTCATATAACTATCCAATCAACCTTATATAACAAGGAATTTGGAGGCGAGAATAATTCATTCTCGGTGTTTAAAACACGTATAACTTTATGATTTTGGATCAAAAATTAAGTTATAGCATTTTTTTTAAATGGCGTTTATTGGCTCACCTTGTAGATGTCTTGGAGGGAATGAACTCTTTTGTGACTTCTGATCACTCTTTACTTTTATTGAGATATCATTGAAATGTTTTTTTGCGTTGCGCTGAACGAAACATTTGAAACTTTCGGTTTACATGTGTCGCATAGTCCTTAAGCGGGATATGAATAGCTATATTGACGGAACCGTCCTTCAACCAGTACTGAACTGCTTTTTTCATTTTACATGTATACCTACATATCTCTAAGACGTTTTAGAAAAACAGGTGTAAACTGAATCATATTTCGTAAGACATCTTGAAAATGGTGGTGTAAACTCAACATAATTTTTCTAAAACCAAGACGTTTTAACCAAGACGTCTTGGAATGTCGCGTGTAGTGTAAATAGGGATATTATGACTTTATGTCAGTTATCACAGTGTTTCCAGACCAATAATAATATCTAAACTAGATAAGGATTTACGCACTTATACACAACATTTTATAATCAACGGCTATTTACAGACGTATCTAAAGAGCTACGCGACAAATTACAACGTAGTACACCAACAAATTATAAGTTATAAACATAAGGGATTTATAACTTAAATGAGTTACGAATTATCTCTAATATGTCATAAACGGTCAATGTCACAGAATTATCACAGATGTGTAGTCATGTCACTCTTAACACTTGGTGTCTTTCCATCATACACGCGTTGTTGGCCTCTAAATTCACCCTGGTGGTTTCCAATAGAATTAACTTGTTTCAGGTCGGCAAAATTTCGTCTTGCGGTGAAATATTCTCGGAAGGCCTTTTCAAGCTGACGGGTGGGTAACTCGATGAGAAGTGTGAAGCCTAGAGACACGGCGTACGTGAGGCAGAAGTGGCCCAGGAAAAAGTAAACCTGAAAATATTTCCAGTTTCATTTTAATTCTTGTATATTCATGGCTAATTCATGGTTTAAGCTTGCAATGTTTTTCACAACCTAAACGTGAACAGAAAATATTTAAGCTATCCATTTGTATGGGCGATCGGTCATACGTATAGGTTGGCGTTTCGTTTTTATATGCAAGCTCAAGCTCCCTATTGTTATATCTTTCATAATAGACAGTGTATGTAACACGTACACAGTGTAACTGTAATAGTAGTGTACTCATACCCGAAATGTTCTTTAGGATAAAAGAATAATTTTTTACCATGTTAGCATCACTGACGTATATTAGACTCCTTCTCTGGTAGTTGTATGAGAACATGACCAATGGGTATGTGAGGTGTGCAGCGAATGATAGCCTACTCAGTGGCACCCATGCTTTCCACGAAAGTATGGAATTAATTATACCTGAACGAAGAAAGTCAAATTGAACGTAAGCGAAACGGCAACGTAAGAAGAATTATATTGAAAAGTGGAAATACAATAGAACCTCAAACACAAATGAATATGGTTTCTTCGAGAGATAGTTAATTGCAAGGCAATGTATGAGTGATGATAAAATCATAAAATTATAGCTACTGTCACATTGGATTCTGCTTCAATCTTTCATTTATAAATTTTTAATTTCATATAATTTCCATGATTCCTTTACCTCCGTATCCCATAGAACACGCAACGATAATCCAGCCAACTCCAAGCGACCACGCAAGTATGGCCACTGTCTCATAGAACACCCTGATGGTGGAGGACCATTCCTCCCCAGTGTGCTCGTTGAACTGACTGTATGTACCAAACGTGACCGATGTGATGAACACTAATGAAACACACCACCCTGCTACTGCCGCAATCTACAATGACAGCGTTTACAGAAAAGACGGAGAAAAGATAATGCACTTAACACGTGTAGTACATGAATGAATAAGCCCGGATGTATGATTCAAGTTTTGAACTCTGAATACATGCATTCTTCATAATTTCAAAGCGTGTTCGATTTTAATCAACAAGGAGATTTGTCATTACTTTGTCACCCCTAAATTTGATCACAATATTCTGACTTTGGAGTCGATAGATGATGTATCCGCACGCAATACCAACGATGTGGGGACCCACTCTACACCAAGGTGTGATTATCACCTCGTGAAAGAAGTCATCAGCGTAAGCAAAATCATCAGTGTAATTTCTGAAATCATGTAATTATAATTTTTAAAATATTGTGGAAAGGATACATATCTACAAGGTGGGCCAAAAAAGGTAACCCAAACAAATGTTCATAACTCATTCTGCATGGGTTTAGTGTTATATTTGGCAAAATTTCAAACGGTTGTAATGCCACTTTTTGCATGAATCCTTTGGCAGTAATACTCTGAACAATGAGCAACTAAAATCAAATATATGATGAAAGTACAAGTGAAATCAAAACAGTATCGTTCTCGCCATGTAAATTAAGTAATTATGTTATCGAACTTCTAAAAACGTTCACTTGCGAGATGTTCCAGTTACAGAGGTGTTCATCCAAAGTACACAAGTTATTAAGTCTGAGCCGCAATGATTTGACTGACCGACCTTGTTTCCAGTTGTCCATTAATTACACCAAGTGCCGTGAGATTACTGCCAAGACACAGGAACAACAATACTGCACCGATCGCTGGAAAACTGAAGTACAACAAGAACGTAGGCTTGTTTTTTACAAAGCCATGTATGTAAACAAACACACAAACAATATATTTAAAATAAATTTCTGTCAGTAAATATCGGTAAGTATGTTCAGTTGTAAATTGGTAGGCACTTCCAACGGTTGTATTTTTCGAATATCTATTGTACCATCAATGTATAGGAGGAATGCGACAGAAGAGTGTTAGATATGTGCTATTAAAGAGCAATGTGGTTGATACTATCATGTCAGTGGAAACACTGTGTTTTTGTTGTAAATGTTTTGTTGGAAAACGTAATCATTGTAGTCCTTACGATTACCCTCACTACATATGAAACTGTTCAAATAACGCTGAAAAAGATGACTCACTAGTAGAGCGGAAGAAGAAGCAAAGGTGAGATGACATAGAACTGCATACTACACGTCAGGAAGAAAGTGAAGATCATGCACTGAAGTTTAAATAGCATGTGAAAAACGTAAGCATATGAAAACACATTAATAATGTCCAATGAGTCCAGTACTCATAGATATCATGCAATAAGCTTAGACGCCGTGGTTATGCAAGTCTACAAGGACCAGGCATCACTTGCGAGTCTACTTGGTTGAGTCTACAAGTTGTGTGTGTACATATGAGCGTTCTAAGCGGCATCGGTGTCTTGAAGGCACTGTTTGAGTCTACTATATCAAAATCAATTAGCATCAATTCCTAATTTATGTAGGACGATACCCATTTACATATAACAAAGTATAAATGGTTAATGGTATAAAACACAAAACGACAGCCATTTTATGTAACTTACTCCGTCTCTCGGCTTGTAGATGTTGTTGATGTAAAGAACATTTGCCCAACCATTGTCCCTACACAGATTTGCATTAGTGGGATCAGGATTAGGCCACAATGGCCCATTTCCAATGTAATCAAACAAGTTCGAGAAACAGAATATAAACAGAACGTAGAGGGGAGTCAGCCTGAATCAAAAGATAATCAATTTATCTCATTATTTTATAATAAAATCAAAGAAGCTTGGAGACAAATGCAACGGGAAAATGGAAATACCATACCACTCGTGGCTTACCTCCACCACCTATGGAAAACATAGTAAACTCCTTGAGTGATAATTCTGGAGATGTTCCAAGAGCCGTTGTTGTTGTCCAGGAACTTCATGAAGTATATGGTCACAATGACTCCACTGAAATCGAAAGATCAAACAATTGGTTCGCATTTACACCTTGAACCTATGTTCCACTTTGGACCTCTATCCCATCAATGGTTTGACGCATTGACAAAACAGTCATATTTTGAACTATGATTTAAAATTCACACATAGCTAGTGTTTTCCAAATGTAGCCAACCAGAACACAGTATTTCGTATATTAACTACACTGCATTAGATACAACCAACAACCGCATCCAAGGTCACTTTTCTTTTTTGTTTTAGAATCTAGTAAAACTAATGAAACCGATAAACTAATCTATAAACTAATTTATAAATAGTATCATAGGTGAGCTAAGTGCTTATGTAGGTCAAATGTTGTATGGTTGTCAAGGTCACAATCCATGATGCTGACTGACATAAACAGAACTTACAACTTGAACTTGAAATGTTTCATCGAATATAGTATACTATATTATTTTTATAATTTTGAAGTGATGTAATGTGTGAAGAGAATTTAAGCCCATGACTCGATGCATTGTGGCTGATTCATTCCACTCAGGCGTTGTTTCTACGGCCGCTGCGCGGTCATCCAAATATTTGAAAACAACACCTTCAAGATGAATAATTCTGCACACAATGTATTGAGTTCAGGGCTTAAATCTTTTAATATGTAATCAGGGGATTGTACCAGTTAGCAATTGCAGTACTCACGTCAAGAGGAAGAAAGTGTCTGCGCAGAATCCAGCATTGAGTATTGGTTGAAAGGAAAATCGTTGTACTCTGAACAGAGCAGCCAGAAGGTTTTCTAATATTAAAGTTAAACTATGTTCCATGCAATTACAGAAAACAAAAAATCAATGAGATATTTTTTCATTTTAGTCATTAAATGAGTGGAACTTAAATTACTCTAATAATATTCACGCCTGGTAAATTGGAAAAATGAACAGACGGGAGTAGCCGATTTCTGCAAGAGAATTCAACAATCTGCAAGATTTATTTTTTTCACGAGAAAGTTCACGGAATAGGTGTACGATATGACTTTTTATGACTTTTTTCTTAAATCTTGCAGATTTGTTGAATTTTCTAGCAGAAATCGGCTAACCCCCCTCCGTTCATTTCCGATTAAAAGGCGCGATATTTGACTCGAGCATAGCTTCCCTATTCTAGGAAGTCATATTGATAGTCTTTACTAGCCTACGCTAAAAAGTAAATTTCGAGCGATGTAGTAAACGTGAAATCTCAGTTATTTCATGAGAGATTGTTCATAAAACGCTCTGTCAATTAATTGGCTTTCACTGACACTGAGCCCAAAGTGTCAAACAAATGAACTCACGTGTTGTATATGTCTCGGCATAGAGAACACCAAGGATGTAAGAAAGGCCAAGGATGAGCCAAGCCATGCTGAGTACACGGATACCGTTGATACAAGCAGGGACACCGTTCTCAACCACATCCATGTTGAGCACCTTATTTATGTTGCGGCGTATTGAGAATGAGATGAGTATATTGTGCAGCAAATCTGGAGCATTTAATATCCATATCGTACTCGAGGACAAAAATTATACTTTATCATTTTTGGTTTCGTCATTTGTAGTCGTTCCGAATTCCGATACAATTCTGTCAGACGGATTTACGGGCCATCGTAGTCTAATGATTAAGATTTGCTCTTGCCAAAAAGAATTGTTATTTGCCCATACCTTTCCGAGAAATATCAGGTCCTGAGGTAGGATTATAGTCGGTCCCATAGCCATTCGTGGTCACGGAGCCATTAGCGGTGGCAGATCCATTTGTAGTCGCATAGCCTAACATGGTTGCAGATCCATTCGTCTCATTTTCCGAATAGTAACCCTTGTTGTAGTGTCCTTTATTAGGTTCTTCGATAGCAGATGAGGAGTTGTTCGGAGAAGGTTCACTCAGCAAGCTTACGATCTGGTCGTATATTGTACCAATCAATACAAATACGGTTAAAAATAGGATGGCAATTCTGAAATAGAAATCTGGCGCATTAAATAGATCAAAACTGGGACAAAGTTTCAAAATATGTTAACTCAAACATTCAAAAAGCGAACCCGTGATGAATATTTTTCAAATACTATATCTAGTAAATGACCAGTCTTCAAGGAGTTAACAGGTTGCATTTATTTGGGATATCTACGATGCAAACAAATTCGATATTCGCAATCGATGCAAGGAGGATTGGCTCCCAGAGTGCACCACCGATATTCTGTCCCATATATGGGTATGTCGTAATACAAAATTCGAATTCAAACAGCCGCCATTTTGTTCACTTCAACATTTAAATCGTGAATTTTGGTCTTATTTCCAAACGAAAAATTCCAAAACTCACAAGAAATGATCGAGATATTGGTTCGAATCTTTTGAACTGTTTATTTTGAATTTATAGTCGGTTTTAATTTCAGAAAATAACGACATTTCGACGTTTTCATTGTTGGAAAATATCGAGTTTCGATCCTGGGAGCCAATCCTCCTTGCAATCGATGCGAACTTTGGCTATCACCATAACAACAGCCATAACAATGGCATTGACGCTAACCCATTGTACTTGGTCTTGTTTAATAGGTTAATATTTTCTACATCATCTGTGGAAATTGAAATATGAAAAATTAGAACAGTTGGTTACTTACTTTCTGATCGGGCCTCGTACGACTATCTTATCATTGTTTATCACACTTTTTAATGTTACTCTATAACACTTACAACACTCCAACAGCCGATGGTCTGGGGTTTTCAAATATATTCATATCACGAGGACATGTTGTGTTGAACTGTAATATGTCACCAAGTACTGAAAAGTGAATGAGATCCAGGTTTAAGTAATGCAAGCAAGGCAAAAATATTAAACATAAAATAAACATTCTAAATCACTGAAGTAGAACTGTTAATTTATCATAGTCATTGATCTTGGGAAAGTGGTCAGCGTTACCATTGTCGAAGAAATCATCAGATTCATAAAGTTCCTCTCTAAGTATAGCATTGATTTCAGATTCGTTGCAGGTAGAAGGCATACATTCCCCAATCCAGAATATTGGCTGAAATGAATAGTCAAAGATCATCTGAATACGTTTTCAAAATTGGTAGTTGAACCATTTACGAACTGGAAAACAGCAACTCCATGGAGTAGCAAATTCAACTAAACAAAATATGTTTTGATGATAGCGGTCTTGAAAATTTCTTCCTGAAAAGAACTCCTCTGTCCCTAGGTATCAGCATGTAAAATTTGAACTAAATCCGTCCACTGGTATTTCGGTTATCTGAGCTTGTATTCGCGAATGCAAATAGCGGCTATCGACTACCGGATTAACCTATTGATTTGCATAAATTAATCCTTCAGTTTATTGGAAACTCATTTAAATATTAATAGTACCTGCCACTATTCCATTCATATTTAAATGAATTGGTCATAAAATACTAGGTTTATCCGGTAGCCGACAGGTGTTAGTTTCATTCGCGAATACAAGGTAAGATAATGTTTTTTTACGAAAAATGGCGGCCGTTTTGAAGTTCAGCTCCTATCTTGAAAATTTCTTCTTGAGCCGAGCCCCTTCGTCCCAGGCATCAGAATGTAAAATGTGAACCAAATCTGTCATCTGGTAAATGAATCATCAAAGATTACGATTTTTACGAAAATGACGAAACTCTGTCTGTCTCGAAAATGTCTTCTTGAGCGGACCTCCGTTGGCTCTAGGCCTCAGCACATAAAATTTGAAGCAAATCTGTCAACTGGTATTTGAGTTATCAAAGATCAAAGTCTGTCCTTTTTAAACAGATGGCAGCCATTTTGAAATTCAGCTGCCAACTTGAAAATTCCCTCTCGAGAAGAGCTCCTGTGTCTCTCATATCAGGGATCAGCATATAAAGTTCGAACCAAATCCGGTCACTGGTATTTGAGTAACACGAACGAACGGAAATGTTGATTTCCATGTGAGATATTGTTTTGTTCTAATGTATGGAAAGTATCGGATCTTAACGCTTATTTGTATTCTTATGGAAAAGAAATTAGGGATCGAACCTGTTCAAAGTACTGTCGCTAAACAATCACTTTACTTAAAGGCCCACTTTGCGTATTTTCAACATTTTGTGGCAAAATAAAGTCTTACGTTTGAATTTCATAGTATTTCCAATGGATTGATGATAATTACTTTATCTTTCATTTGACACCAAAATCAGCTCAAACGGGCCACATCGAAGGTTGCAATATGTTATCAAAAATATTTTTGATCCGTTAAACTTTAAATATTAAGTTTTCATCAATGTCAATGAAAGATGGCGAAGTTGTTAGTATTACATGATACATTCATTTTTATAGAAGTATCGCCATCTTTTAAATCAAGAGTAATTTAAAACATGCACTTTGTCAAAAATGTGCATGCACAACTAATGATCTCTGAACTTTTAATGCCGTTTTACATGAGTTATTTTAATTTTAACTTGGTTTAATATTACTGCAAATACTACTCAAACTTTGTATCATATTTCATTAAGAGTGTGAGTAACATGTTTCAATGATTAATTTTTCCTTTTTTCTTCTAAATTAAGGATAGCGAGGCTTTAAGTTACTACTTGAACCCTTTTGATCCATGTATATTAGTTTACCAGAAGATAACCGAGTAGGCCATCCCGGTTCAAATTATTTTTGGTTCGCAACAGCCATGGTTGGCCTAAATCATAAAAATAACTACACAAACGTATGCCCTACTCTGACCAACTTGCATTATAACTAGTTATGATTTTGTAATTAATATCCGTACATTTGTTTTAATAGTTTCTATGAGTGCAAATTTTAAAAAACATTTCCCCTCTCTGGTGCAGTACATGCATACATAGTTTCTATGAGTGCAACTTTAAAAAAACATTTCCCCTCTCTGGTGGAGTACATGCATACCTTGTTATTTGTATATTAGCAATTAAAGCAATGCTAATATGGAGAATAGAATGATATAAGAATATTCGAACTTCAAACATTTGGCCGAATGAAAGTACAAACTGATAAGAAATTCGACAGACATAAATATTTTTGTAGATTGACCTAGTGTCGTGAAAAGAGCAAAGATTTGATCCTTGGACACCCATTGAAAGGAGCAGGTTATCGCAAACAATTTCAAACGATTCTAACTTGAATTGTAAATTATTTTCTGAATATCAAAAGTAGCCCAAGGGTATTATTAGCAAGGTTCAAAAATATGAAAACGATCAAATTAATGCCATGACTACTAAGGAAGTCAAGATAGCATGTCAAAAGATCCCATACCGGAGCAACGCAATGAGAACTACATAGTGTTTGTACCAAAAAATGGGAAGCAATTTGACGAGTTATTTCTCAGTAATAGATAAGCCAAATTCTTTGAAAACTTTACTTGGGGCACTTTAGGGTATTTTCTACCAGTGCTACGAATATGTAGAAGATTGGTCACATATTATGTGTGTATTTTTAAATTTAATTTTAAGACAGTATGTCAAAATTACCAATATCAATGTAAAAGTCACTTATTAATTCATTTCCAAGCAAAATACTTTTCCGTATTTAAAAAACAATATCACTTCCAATCTAGGTTAAGTCTGCGCATTTGGCATACAAATACAAATAACATGACTAATAGGCAAACTGCAAATCTGACGACAGACAACTCTCGCCATAGTACCTGTATATCAATGGGGATTCCTAAGTCTTCTAACGATATATCAATTGTGGCCTCACACGTACAATATCGTCCACGAAAGTGCGCTTTGGAGTCGGGGATCGTCTCAATATATTCGGTCATGTTGACTTTGACACTTAAGCACTCGTCATAATTGCCAATCATATGAAGATTGCCCTCGAACATTCCCGGGGGAACTTTTCCACGAGCATCGTCCACTGCAAAGCATGTTTTCATTGATCGTAAACTATACTAACTAGAAAATGGCAACTCCACGGAGTAGCAAATACCAACGAACATTATATAAATCATCAATTTGTACAGTCACAATGTAATATTTACCATTTACTCTTACCTTCAATAAATATTTTAAATCATTGTAGTATCATGTAACCATACTATCAAGATAACTCTAAGTAATGGCGAATTTCTGCTCTAGTCAGCCATTTTGAATTTTCAGAGGCGCAAATCAGAAAAATAATGCCATAATTGTGATCTACTCTGAAATACCTTCAATTTGAGTATAATATAGCCATACTTTCAAGAGATCAGAAAATAATTGCGAAATCCCGCATTAGGCCGCCATTTTGAATTTTTTGAGGCCCAAATCAGAAAAACGCTACAATATTTACAATCTACTCTAAATTGCCTTTCTTTTCAGTATAATAAAGTTATACTTCAAAAACATCACAAAATTAATGCAAATTACTGTTTTCCTAATCCCCTATTTACGGCCCCTGTGGGTCAGGGTGAAAAACCCGGGATATATGTGAAATGGATAGATGTTGTTAATATACTACCAAAATCTCAAATAATAATATTTGAAAATAAAGCATTTTAACACTTGAAATATCATCAAGATAGATACCAGTGGAAGAAATATCATGGAGTGGAAAAAACATAAAAATTTCGTTTCCGTGGCATTTTGACGTCATAACAATTCCGAAAAACACCGGCATTCAAAGAGTTAATAAATGAAAAAATGAAAAACATAAGATTTTTGGCGTAAAACTTTTCACCAATATACATCTTTCCACTAAATATGAAGAAAATCTGTCGACTTGTAATCGAGTTATCTTCCGGACGGACGGACGGAAGGACGGAGGGCTTCACTATATCCCTACAGAACTTCGTTCGTTGGAATAATTAGGCTATGACACGAATTTCCGAATTCTTGGTACTTTTATAATTCTTAGAAAACTTGTTCATGACCAAATCGGGTTTTGAAGAAAGCCCATAAAATGGCAATGGTGTACAAAATAATTGATAAAAGTCCTGTTGGTTTGGATATTCAATATTAATGAGGCCATATTATCACGTTTATTTCATGAGTGATCACAAGTGCGATTTATCTATCTACTGCCTTTTGATTGACTTAATTCAAACATCTCTACGCATTGGCCGACTAGTAAGAAAATTCCGGTCATGATGACTAACACCCCAGTCACATTTGTCGTACGGAGGGCAGCGTCGACCGCAGATCAATTAAATCAGTGTAGAAAATGTACTGGCTGCAGAAATGATAGACCGCACGGCGGCCGTGGGAAATGTGACTGGGGTGTTATTACACAGGTACAAGACTGCACGTGCATGTAGACTCGACGGTCAAACATTCACAAGCCGAAAAGTGTGTGCCAAAACTCCAGAAAATCACAAAAACCTATGTTGGGGTAGCTTACACCCCAGTCACATTTGTCGTACGAAGGCCGTGCGTCGACCGCAGATCAATTAAATCAGTGAATTTCTGCGGCGAGCGTAGAAAAACTACGCTCGCCAAGTGCGGACTCTCCATATGGCGTATTCAATTTTTACAGGCCACAGGGTAGCCGTAGAAATTATAACTCGGAGTTATAATATTTGTTCATTTCTGCGGTCCCCGTAGAAATCAACATAGCCAGACCGCAGAAAGGTCCAACGGTGGCCGTACGTCGGGTTTGCCGTTGACTTGCGTCTGCTGTAGGGTTTGATGGGTAGTGTACCTTTGGAAACAGTTTTTATGTCAGTTTTCGGTCATATATTTGATGTAAACACAACACAATACGTATACAGTTTGATGTAAGGTAACTGATACCACAGCAACTTATGTTTCACTTGCACTTTTTATTCGATAGTATATCAGTCCTAACACTACAAACCACATTTATAAATTATACCGATGTAGATAAAATAAAAAGATGAATTAAAGTTAAATCAACAGAAATTCAAAAACTCGACGCGCGGCTGCCGTAGGAAATGTGACTGCAAAAGTATCCGACCGCAGAAATTCCACGACGAGCGTAGAAATGTTACTGACCGCAGAAATGATAGACCGCACGGCAGTCGTAGGAAATGTGACTGGGGTGTTACTAAATGTACGATGAAGTGACCCATCATCATTATAGACTAGAATGGTCCATCAACATAGTCATTTTTACTTGTCTGCACTCAAAAAGGTGACATGAATGGGCTAAACGGCTTGCCACAAGATGCAACCATCAAAAAGATGAGTTTGATAAAAAAAATTTTTTTCAAATAATCGCAATGAGTATACAGTATAGGAGGAAAATTTGATATTGATAAGTATGATGGTCCATTTGCGTGTGGCCATTTTTACAAAAAACAATAATGGTGAAGAATTATATATTTCTGACCTGAAAATGCCATCTTAATTCAAAAGTCATTATTGTTAATGATAATATTCCTATTTTACCTATTCAATGTTTTCAAAATATTTTAATTACCATTATATTCATTTTGGCAAAGTATATAATTATAGGGCTCACACAAGGATCAACTATATTTGCAATCTTTTCACATTTAGTGATAAAGTAATAAAGTCCCCATATAAAGTTTAAACCACTTTGGCTTATATTGTAGTCTTAATTTACCCAATGTTATCAAAGTGTGATATGTGAATTTCTTTTTTAATTTCAAAAAGTGGTTTTTGAAGGACTTTTTGGACTTTTAGAGGTCACGCATATCTTTTAATAAGCCACAATCATAACAATTCCGTGCACTCAGCATCCACGAGGCAAAACCCTTGTGGTAGCGATAAAAAGAAAGAGATACAGGGTTTTATAATTTAAAAGCAAAAAGGAGTAAAATATTACCGTTCATCATCTCTTTTACCACTGTGCATAAAAGAAAGGAGCAGATTACAAAATAATGTGACTTTCTTGGATTGTACGTACTTTTGCATACATGTAAGTGTTCGATATTATAGGAATATCCTATGGTTTTAAAAAAATATCATTTATATCCATGAGTGGATATTGATATCTTCATGAGTGAGCGCAGCGAATGAGTGAAGATATTTGTATCCACGAGTGGATATAATTGATATTTTTGAAAAACCATAGGATTGTCCGTTTATCCCATGGGAAATTATCATCAGCGAAAAAAGTTGAAAAATACAATTTGAGAAAAAATTGAAAAAAATGTGAAAAAATGTTAAAATTTTTTTTTTGAAATTTTGAAATTTTTTAAAAATATTTTTGAAAATAATTAATAAAAAACGTAAAAAGAAATTTTTTTGAAAAAATTCGAAACCATCGAATATCACTTTTCAAACCATCGAATATCACTTTTTAAGACGTGATATTCGATAGTTTAAAAGTGATATTCGATGGTTTGAGAATTTTTTTTGCTAAAATATGATATCTTGATCCACATTCATATCTTCATGTGATATTCGATCTATATCCTTGCAACCATGGGATAAGTACAAATACAGGATAGCCCATAGGTCGTAAAGATCAAAAATAGATAACTTACTAACGAATGCCCACTCGTGCAATCTAAACAGTTCAAGCCCTCTTTGTTGGTGTGTCCAATGATCCCAGCACAACTCAGACACGTCATCGGGCCGTATAACTGAATTTTCATCTGGGCGTGGGGCTGAATTTCCATCTGGGGATGGGGCTGAATTTTCATCGGGGCCTGGGGCTGAATTTCCATCTTTGCGTGGGGCTGAATTTTTATCTGGTCGTGAGACTGATTGGACTCTTCTTCGGTGTTGATTTCTGTTGACCATTTTGAACCTTCTTTGAATCGGTTTTTCTCTCGTTGCATCCATAGCAACCACAGCTCTAGAGAGGAGCCGGAGTTCCGTGATATCCTGGTAGTGTAGTTTTCGATTTCGTCGAGGTCGACTATTGCTGCCGCTGACATTGCGCAAAATATGCTGATGTTGATCCAATATGCGTATGCCGCCATTCCCAATCTCATGGTTAGATTTCCGATCTTCTTGGATAGCATTGGAAAGCAGCGATCGAGATGCATCCCTTAGGTCCGTCCATACTTTGATATTGTTTATAAGCCTTTCAGGATTGTTGTTCCCGATAGCTGCACCATGCATCATGTTTCTCTTCACAGACTTTATAAAAGGCGTGACAGGTCCCCTGTATGCCACTGCACAGGGAACGCAGATGAACAACACTATGTTCACCAAGACAGTCATTTTCGCAAAATGACTAAAATCTTGAGAAATTGTATTTTATAACCTCTATCGTGACAGATATGAACTTATGACACGTAAAATGTTTTATAAAGGTTAAGCTACACATCTTTATGAGAACTTGAAGGTCTAATATCGACCACCAGGGATTACTGCCTCATTTAATTTTTTCAGGGACCAAATTTTAATTAAATATACCAATACGCGATAACGTTGAGTTTTAGCCTTAATATTCAATCGGTCAGTAAATACCATTAGAAGAGAAGAACTAATCCCCAGAGGACCATTAGCACACAAGTTCTTTTTAAAACGTGTAGCTTAACCTCCCTAATCTCATTGATGAGTTATAAAGACACGGGTAAAGACAACACGTTCTACTTAAACCGCTACTTACTCATCAAGTATTCATAAACTCTCTATTATTACAAAGTGGGTCAAATGATAACAGTAAATGGTTTAATCTTTTTTGGATTTTGATTTTTTTTTGTTTTGGAATATACATGTACATGTAAAATCGCTTATATCAATGTACTCATTGTCCAAAGTTTAACACTAAGATAGATACCTGTTTATTAATGTCAATATTTTATCTAATTATGGGTTAATAAATACTTTGTCTCAATTCCAATCAACATGAAATTAAACATCGAAAACATATTTAGTGATTTTTAAAGAATGATTATTTTAACAAGGCATACAGTGCAGCCTTAACATGCAAAATGTCACCACCTGCCAATTGTTATAAATGCCTTACGCCAGACGCCGCAGTCACAAAGAATGGAGACCATAACAAATATGTCACCAATTTTGGTAGATGATGTCTATGACTCTTGAATATATTTTGTCACTACCGTTCTCTCTACTCAAAAGTAAGCAATGGTTACAATTCCTAATAATTTCATTTAGACAGTATCAAACACAATCATAATGATAAGGGTCATGGGTACACAGGACACCATTTGATATGGTAAGTTTAAAGGTGCATGTGATTGGTCAAGTGGTTGCCATAGTGAAACAGCATGACTAATGTGAAAACTGGGCGGGGGCATTTCAAATAATTCTTGTAATTTAAAAACCTTTTCAAGAGTTATTTTTGTGTATGTTCCTAATGACAAAGGTAAATTCAAATGTAATTGGTATTGTTATGGTAACATAAATGGCATTTTTATATCATTATAATTATAAGATTTTAAATTATCTTAACTACATGTCAATATCTCATGGTCATTTGGTGATTTAAAGGAGAAGTATGTCCAAACATTTTCTCTATTCTATTGGTGAAAGGGATGTTCCTGGGAATAATCCAGGTATGAGATGTTTTTGTATTCAAATTAATTCGAAACAATACTACAGAAATATAGATTCCAAATGTTTATTATTAATTCATCACAGAGTCGCTTTATGTTTACTTTATTAACTTTTTTACGATATTTTTATTTATTGTTTATATATTATACATGTAACTGCCTTATATGTAAGGTTGGTTTCGACATCTATGTCAGAACTGAAGGCATCAACAGTGTGATTCGGTCTGAATGCAGACAAGGAGCAATGGGATCAAGGAATCATTATTTGGAATTTATGTGGCATCAATGTCAAAAAGCTGTCCAATGTTGCAGCTTTGTTTGTCACAGTAAAAGAACAAACTTAATTCTGAATACGATAAGGTCCTGTGATGAACAACTGTCATCTAGTTCTATATCACCTTAGTACATGTAGTTATCTATTTTGGGTGACAAAGCTTTTAATGGTTGGGGAAATGACCAAAGTCATATTTCAGATCTCTGTGTTAAAGGCCCAATATTAAGTTTAAACCACCTTTGGCCAAAACATTTCTTTTTAAAATAAAACAAAAGTTACCTCCTGACATCCCAAACTTAATTTTAAATAAGCTATGAACATTTAAGCTGTACATAAAAATGACATTTGAAATAATAACTTTTTCTCCATCTTTCCAACAATGTTAAGACAAATATGTTTTTTGATACTTGTAATTGACCTTTTTCCATATAAATGGAAAATAGATGGCACCATGGGTATTGGTAATAATGGTATGAATTTCGATTATTTTTGAAAAACAAAAGGCTAAAAGTCATGAAAAAATGGTCATAAAATTCAATCTTCAATGCTTTTAGAGAGCAATATATATTTATATCAAAGAATTAACATTTTAGGGAACAAATACTAGCCTATATATTTCAAGTTATACTGTAACTAACATATACATACATGTAATATATACATGCATACATGCAGTTTAGTGTGTGCCTCTGTTTTAAAAGTGAATCCAATAAATAAATAAATAACATATAAAAATACATATGTAGGCTTGATTCAGAGGTTATCCCTGTATACAGCAACTTTCTCCAGTACAAATCAGTTTATGTCACAAATTTCCTTTGATCAGAATAGCCTTCAATTGTTCCATTATTATGCTGCATTATGCACTCCACACGAGCAATACAAGGTAGCGAGTCAAAAAGCCTAGTCTTGTGGCGCATCAAATTAAGCAAACGTAGGGTTTTCTGGAAAGATATGAAATGAATTAGAAGTATGTTTTTAGCTAATTTTTTTGTATTCATTAAACACGATTCATGTATATCCCCTAGAACTTTGTTAGTTTGAGTAAAAAGTAGTTCCACATCTGATTCTACCTTAAAACATTCCACTTTATTATATGAAATTATTGTTGACTATCTTACCACATCAAACTCCTTCTCATATCTCAGTCTATAGAAGACTAGGGTGTTTGTCATTCTAGGCATATCAATAGCAGTCTTAATGTCTTGCCCAAGCCATAAAATACGAGTTATAACCTGAAATATAACACATTTGGTCCATGAGCTATTTAGTTTCCTAATTAAAAAATCAACTTACTATTAACATGGTTGATCTAAATCTGTTTAATCTAATCAAAATGTGGCACTAATCTGTTCTTGGTTTTCTTTCTATATTATTGACAAGATTTCTTGCTATGCATGCCCATACACCTCAGTGCAAGATGAGATCATAATATAGCACTTAAAATGCAATAAAACTAAATGCACTAATTTACCACATCCACATTGTTCAAAATATGTATCATTAGTTTTTATCATCAGTAATGTAAATATTACCTGTAACAATGCACTGATAATGTGGAAACCCCCAGCACCTCCGACTACATAGCGGACCTCTCCTTTGTCATCTACAAGTATGGTTGGTGATTGGGACGAGATGGGCTTCTTCCTAGGTCCTATCAAATTTGCTTCATGGAACTAAAAATTGTAATCAAAATTATTTTAAAATTAAAATCTCCGATTCAACAGATGCATGCAAATCCTAGAAATAACAAAATGTCTTTCAAATGATTTAGACCTTTTTATTTGCCAACACCTCAAAATATAATTCTACTGAATAGCACAATACAACAGACACTTTCCACTAAAATACACTTGTTTGTTTGCTTGTTTATTTGTTTGCAATAATATATCTTGTTACATACCTTGTGTTTTAGTAGTTGTCTGGTAAGTGGTATATCATATGTGAAATCTGTTATCATATTATTAAATATAACACCAGTGGATCTAGATCTGTGATAAGATCCTAACCTGCAAAATTGATTTCAAAATAGCATTACATAATTTAAAGCTGACCTGTGAGTCATAGTTGGTAATCCAAATTAACAGTTCTTTAATGATAAAGTACATACAAATAGAATTGAACAAACTAACTGAAAACAAAGCCAACTGACGATGTAGATAATAATACAATTAATTAAAAATAATAATATGATATACAATATATATTATTAAAGATAATATATTAACATAGCAAGCCAACTGACAATTTAGACAATAATATCATTCATTAAAAATAACAGTATAATATTATATATAGTATATATATTATTTAAGATAATATATTAACATACGGTGCATTGATAGAAGAGGTGACAGACACAGCATCTCCATTTCCAGCAAATATTGAGAAGTGAAGAGTTCCACCATCCTCTTTGGCAAATTTCTCAGCATAGGAGTATTTATTATCATGGGATGTCTCTACTATCTTCTTCCTTATCTCATCAATATATTTCTCATCTTTCATTTTGTCTAGGATCTAAAATAATAAAAAGAATGTTTGTTAATGACCTACAACTGTACATTTAACCTTTCCATTTTCTCTAAGAGTTGGAAGACAGAGAGACTTGTTGCAAGACAGACTAGCATAATCTGTGAATATTCAACTTTAGCAAACAGTATGCTGTACTTAGCACATGAATAAAGACCAAATACAGTAGAATATAATTATAATTTAACTCACACTTAGATCAGGTATATCACCAAGTTGTAATCTATGAGCAACCCCAAATTTCATAGCCTCAGCCATCTTGTGGTATACTTTTGCTTCACTGATATTGTCCATTTTACCTCCTGGTGGCACTTGAATATCAAAACCTATACAACAAGCAATGCATGATTAGCTTAAAATTATATTGGATGATGGGGTTTACTTTCTTGTCACTTAAGTTATCTTTTTCTGTGTTATGTTTTTCTTTCTGTGTTTCTTAAATACTGAGTTTTAAGGCCATTAATGTGTTCAGATATATTACTAAATGTCAACACATCTCTATAGGTCTTCATATAAGCTCTTTTTATTCCTTTGTGAATTTCTTAACCCATGTGTATATTAAAAACTATAGAAATCCAAGTAAATCTCAACAAAGCAACTATTTAATGAAATAAATGAAAGAGTGTTACCTTCCATAAGTTTTAACATGAATCCCACCACAGGACCAGATGCAGGGCTTGTCGGGGCAAACATTGTCAGATTTTTCAATCTAGTGGTAAAGGGTTCCCTGACCTTCACCTGGTGATTCCTAAAGTCCTCTCTAGTGAAATACTTATCAGAAACATTTGTAGCAGTTACATCTTTCGATAACGAATTTAGTTCTTCGATGATTTTGTCAGTGAGACAGCCATCGTAAAATGCTTTAGGACCCTGTTTAGAAATTATTTCCAATGTATCTGCTAGCTTTGGCATTTTGAATAAGTCTCCCTCTTGCTTTCGTGTTCCATCTGGGTTGCAGAATATTTCACTAAAATCAAAAAGCAACTAAATGAATAGTTTTAGCTATATTGTTCTCATATGATGCCTGTCATGCATATGATGCCTTTCAATTTAAATTTGTCAATTTCCATGTAAACAGAAACAATGCCAGAATGCATAAACGTAGCTATACTTTATGAAATTATACTTTCTCGACTTTTTCCAAATCCTGGCAAATGTTTTGGTAAAAGGTAAGTTTCTTAAAAGTAGGTCAAATTACAAATATTACATGAATACAAGGAGGTATGACCAATGAAATATAAAGTTAAAGCCCTCTGGAAACACAGTAAAACCTGGGAAGCTCAAACTCACACTACTTTTCACCATCAATTGCAACACACATTATCTTATTTGGAAACAGTTAAGGAAGTATGAGCCAGGACTAATATGGTGTATATTACCAGCATGGACCCCCATATAAAATGGAGATGAACATACGGGAAGAACAAGGAACTTGAATATATGAATCAAAATTCTTACCAAAGAGATTCATCATCAACAGGGTCCCTTCTAGTGGCACTCCAAGAGTTCAGTGCAGATGCAGTGTACATTGTCATAGGAAAACCATAACGTGCAAGTTTTATTGTTGGTTGAAAGAGGTCAGCCCATGGCAGTTTCCCATGTCTTTGGTGGGCAGTCCAGTAGCCAGATAATTCACCGGGTACTGCTATGGACAGCAAACCTAAAAATAATCACCAAAATAATGGTCTTTTGTATCAGGTAGGGAGTGGACCCACAATTTTTAATTTTATCAATTATAAAGGCAATTATGAGGGTAATGACTAAGTAGGGAATGAAATTCCCGACTATGCAATGTTAAGGAATTATATTCTAATTTTAATCTCTTCATAAAGAATTGCATATGCTATTATTGCAAATAATATTTTTATGAAATTAAAGTAAGGGACAATGATATTTGAAACACACATTTCCATCATCCATGGTAACTGAATAATAATATAATAAAAAGATAATATTGATATTTTCAAGACAGGTGGCTGTGGAAATATGGAATTTGATTATATCGTTTTTCTCACTGAGCATGGATTTAAAAGCACGCATAAGAATGCTAATGGGCTTTTGAGAGAACATCTCTTGAAATATGCCCCTATTTCAAATAAAAACCCATTGTTGAAGCAGTGACAAAATCTAGTACTTATAGGCCTACTAACAAATATTTCTTATGGACTCTTACCCCATTTAGTTTGATAATCATGCAATGTGTGATTAACAAATTTTTCATTGTTAAAAATGTTGATATCTGCAGCCGCTGGTGACATGTCTCTGGCATCTATGTGTTCCGCCTTTCTGCTTTTGCGGTCGTATACCACCATGTGGAAGCCTATTTTAGTTTTAAAATAACCATAATTATTAGGGTTGAATTATCAGGGTTGAATGACTTTTTTCACATCAGCCCTTTGTTTAAACTAAATTAATATACATTCCATGCCATTGATTTCAAACTTAGACAGTATTAAGAGAAATGCGTTTACCTCCTCCTATGCCCATGGCATGAGGCATTTTCACACCATGACACAGCATAGTTGCAATAGCAGCATCAACTGCAGAACCCCCTTTAACATTTAGGATGTCACTGAAGAGGAAAATACACAATCTTCATAACTCATCGCTTTGTGATATTTTACCAAATTTAATTGCATAATATGTATTTTGTCATAATTGTTAAAAAAAGATGAAAACAATTACAGTATCATAATAAACCATTCCTAGTTCAGAGTTTGTTCATGCTTTATGTAATTCTGAGTGTTCACTGAGTGGTCCACAACTCATAAAAACAGTGCAGGCTTCATCCAAGTCCCAAAGAGGAGTTTCTGGCTCTGTCTTTGAGTGTAAAATATGAATCACCAACGTATGGCAGTAACCAAAATACAGTACAATTACCAATATTAACTGAATATATCCCTTGCTTTATGTATTATGTATGGTCTATATGTGCTAAACATAATTCTTTATCCCATAGTAGAGGTCAAATCTGTAGAATAACACGTATATATATTTATGATATTTTGCAAATGCTTGGAAAAAAGCGATGTGGAATACGGAGAATATTCCACAGATATCACTTTTTTCCATGGATTTGAAAACTCCCGCCAATGTGATGTGCATTGTTACTGTCAATTACATGAAAGAAAATTGAGCCACTTCATTTGAAGATAATTCAGATTAAGCCATTTTTCCATTGAGCTCCATCATAAAAATGGAATTTTCCAACTGTTTTAAAAGTCTTCACAATGATTGTGTTAAAAATATAAAACATAAGGAAATAAAAATAATTGTTCAGTATCTTTTTAATACTAGCAAATTAAACTATACCATACTATACTATAAACTTATATGAACTGGAGATATGACCCAGCATAAGATTTCCATTGTTACACAAATGAATTTTAAGATTTAAGTACATACTAGGAATATTTCATAAATGAGACCTAGGATATTGATGTTTATATTGCAATAATTATAACTTAAAAATAACTTACTTTCCAATAGATCTGCACTCTGCATCAGCTCCCATAACAATTCCTTTTCTTTCATTGTCCTCAAACTGATCACATTTTATGACTCTAAAACTAAAATATATTAATATCAAAATAGTTCTATTTTTCCCTAGTAAAGTATATAGATGTAGGAACATTGCTGCTGTCATAAGGACAATTGTTAAAATGATCTGATTTAAAAAACCTTATATCATAAATAAAAGTAATATAATTAGTGCACTCACCAGGGTACCACTATAATAAATGTATAAGTTGAAGTTGGATCTTCAGAAGCAGGTGATTGGGTTAGTAAGAAACCATATGCAGGGAAAGGATGTCCTGTATTAATTATGGAGGGCACTTAATTTAATCTATTTACTCAACTGTAGTGAAAATTATTTCCTGCTAATGTGCTAAATGTTCAATTCAAAGCGATACTTATGGCTAAAAAAAGTAGGGCTAGCATTTATCATTATCATAATTTAAATATTATTGTATCATTGGTATCAATACAACAAAAGTGTATGGTATGCATGGGTATTACTTATTAATAGATATGGCTGTCCATCAAATTCACAATTTCTTTGAATAAAAGTCCTTCGGGATCCACCTTTTTGAAATTAAACTTTGCATAGGGCCTTTAAAGTAATTAGTACCAGTGATTAATTACCATGTACACTGCCAGGTTGCTAACTCTTGTTGTCACCAAAATGCCAAACATATAAAATGCCTCCCCCCCTAATTGTCATTTAACCTAATGAATATATGTATATCATATTTTTATTACTATTCTTTAAGATGAGCTTTACAGTGAACCTACTCCATCTAGAAACCAAATTTTCCTAAAATTCAGATTCAAAATGGTTAAACCAAATTTTTGTTATAATTATTAATGTATATTTCCTGATAAAATTTTAATTAAAAGCACCTAATCAAGAAATTCAATATTATTATACTGGCATCTGGTCTAACGAGAAAAACAGCAACTCCATGGAGTAGCAAATCCCACCGACTAAAACACATTTCATCAAATCACTTGTCATTTTGACACCATATTATAAGCTCTGCTTCGAGGACAGGTTTTATGACCATAAGGCATCACATCTAATATTTGGAACAAATCTGATATAAGTGGAATTTGCATAATTTAAAAAAAGAAAAATTACAGCCATTTTCATTCAGCAGCCATTTTGAAAATTGCTTCTGAAGTAGTATCCAAACCAAACCAATGCCAATGAGAACAAGAAATACTATTTTGTAATAAGACATTGACCTATAAGATTTAGACCAAATTACTGATATTTAATTTTGCAGAATTAGAATGTTTTCATGAAAATGGCAGCCATATCAAAGTCAGGGGCATCTTAAAAAATCCTTATTCAGCAGAAATCATATCCTGTAATATTTAAACTTAATCTCATCACCAGAATTTGAGATATCACTCACATAGACAAACTTGATGACAGACGGATGGTTGTACAGCTTCGCTATATCTCTACCTTTCTTGGTTTGGTGGGATAATAACCTGCAGAAATATTCATGTATGCCTCATTATTAACATAAATGTTCTGTATACTATATATTTATACATAGTGACTAGTCATTATACTTTTTCATTACACTAGTTGTTTTCAATGCACCATGAATCTGTTGACAGTCATATTATACTTTTTCATGATACCAATACTGGACACACATGCTTCCATGCGAAATGGCGAAGTTACAGCGGCAGATCATGAATGTGCAGAAATCGGAAGGTAAAATATTTATTTACACTAATCAATGAGATATATCTTGATGATGAGATATATCTTTCTCAATTCATATATCTTTGTGTATTTCAAAGAACTCTGCTTCCCACACTAAGTGACTAAGCCTTACATTAAGCTCTAAACAAGACAATAAATATACAATTTTGATGAGCACAAAAACAGGCATCATGGAGTTAAATGTTCAATATTTCATAAATGTTACATATAAGTGCTTCTAAAAACATACATTTTGATAGCTGCTAATTTGGTTGAATGTATTCTGATTGAGTTGTTATTTTCTGCCTTATACGTCAAGTCTTGAATTCATTTCAACAGAACATTGCAGATAATTTCAGTTTTTGGGGGTTAAAAAGGCATTTGTTATTCAAGCCTGTCCAATTTTGATGTAACAATCTTATTCAATACACTCCTTGGGAGTCCTTTTCATGTATAATGTTTAAAATATTGTATTACGCAATGTTAAATTATATAAATTGAATTAAGCAGCATGTACTAGACATCAATAACTGTATTTCAGGGACATCATTAATGTGAAAGATGGTTCTGCTGTTGATGCTGCCATTGCAACTATGCTATGTCTTGGGGTGAAAATGCCTCATGCCATGGGCATAGGAGGGGGTAAACTACTTTTTGTAAAATTTAAAGAGTAAACATTATAATTTATAATAATACTTGGTCTCATTTTATCCTTCTGAGTTAATGTCCATTGATTGTCACATGCTGGTGCTACTATCCTGACTAAGCCAGTTAAAGGCCCACTTTGCGAATTTTCAACATTTTTGGGCAAAATGAAGACTTACATTTAAATGTCATAGTATGTCAGATGTATTGATAAGAACCTTATCTTTCATTTGGCACAAACAACAGCTCAAACGGACATCAAAGATTTATATATCAAGTTTTTATCAATGTCATTGAAAGATGGCAAAGTTATTTGTATTACAAGATACATTCATTTTTATAGAAGTGTTGTCATCTTTGTAATCAACAGTAATTTAAAACATGCACTTTGTTTAACATGTGCATGCATGTCTAATGATCTCTGAACTTCAAATGCAAGTTATTTTTTCAACGATTTTCTTTTTCTTCTAAATTAAGAATTGTGGGCCTTTAAGTATCTTAATAGACCTTTCAATGTTGTCTAATGGTTGTGTTAAATGATGCAACTGAGAAATTTATTTTTTAAGGTTTCCAAATGGTTGTATATGACCATGGCACCAAAAAGGCAGAACACATCAATGCAAGGGAAATATCCCCAAAGTCAACGAATATAGATTATTTCAAAAGTAAGGAATTCAAATCAGCATATAAACCTCATCAACAAAGATATAAGAAATGGGGTAAGTGTAAGATTTAACACCATTTTTGATCCTTAAGACGACTACATCTCCACATTTTTACTTTGACAAGTTAATCAAGTACCATTCATTATACAATTTTTGTTATCATAATCTCAATTTTGGAGGAAATTCAGATTTTGAATTATTTGTGATTTATTATGCTCACATATATGACATTCTATGCATAAATTAATATTAATAAATGTATGAATGGGAGTATAGAGTTGCCATGATTTTTTGGAATATACATGTACTTTGCTATTTTGCCTGTGATGATTGATAAAAGATTTGATCAAAACTCACATTAAATTGAATTGTAGTCTGAATATAACCATATAATATTAAACAAGGATTTTTGTTACAGGTCCACTCTCTATAGCAGTACCCGGTGAATTATCTGGCTACTGGACTGCCCACCAAAGACATGGGAAACTGCCATGGGCTGACCTTTTTCAACCAACAATAAAATTAGCCCGATTTGGTGCTCCAATGTCTAAGTACACATATGCAGCGTTGAATCATTGGGACAATTTGGAAGATTTCTTGTACCCTATAATGCATGATCAACCACTGTGGTAAGTTACCAGTATATTCACAATTAAGCCAATACTTATAATAATACTATAAATAATGCTTACATATAAAGTTAATTGTTTAAACAAAGCACAGTGTGAATGAGATCACACATGCACAACAAAATAGACACCTGTTATTAATGGACCCAATTAAGCAATAAAATGAAAAACACATGTCCACCAAAAAATGTTGCCATCTAATCAACTTAAAACAATGTAGCGACTGTACATTCTGATAACATCACAGATGACTAGAATTAAAAAAAAACAATGAGGTCTACAACTAGTAGCTGACACTAAAAGGGATATGCTGACATGATCTTATTTCACATTTTCTATCTTTTCCTTCACAAACTTCTTTGCTATTGATTCATTAATTCACATTTAAGGAAACCAATTGAATAGATTCCACATTGTCACAATCAAATATTTTTCTGAACGGAACCTGCTTTATAAATTAATGTTAATTATTCCAGTTAAGTTTAACCTTTAGGCATTTTTTCTTGACCAATCAGTAACTTAAGGATTTAACCTCTTGATCAGTACTAAATGAATTTTTTATCACCTCGCTAAATATTTAATTTGTCATAAAATCAACTAATCAAGATAGTCTTTAAACTTAGGATTGGTATCTAGGGGTAGAAGTACCAAAATTGTCACCTGCGACTGACAAACTGTACCCTCTTTAAATGCAAGTAATGTTTTGTATATTTCAGCCAAGGTTTACTAAGTGAGTCCTTATGTGATAATGGATCAATAAAAAAGATAGGAGAAATAGTAAAAATGCCAAAACTAGCTAAGACATTGGAAATTATAGCTAAGGAAGGGATACAAGCATTTTATAATGGCTCCTTAACAGATGAACTTCTAAGCGAACTCAACTCTCAAGAATTTCCAGAGGGAAGCTCAAAATATTTTCCAGATCCATTTTTTAAGCGAGAGGACTTCACAAATTACAAAGTAGTTGTAGGAGAACCTTTTACAACAAAAGTGAATCATCTGACAATGCATTCTCCATCAATCCCAGGTGGTGGACCAATTTTAGGTTTCATGTTGGAACTTTTACAAGGTAAAACTGGTTTGAATATACTACTTTCTATAACATGATTTGACTCATCTGTGAGTGCTATGCGTGAGTACTTCCATAAAATAACCAACCCCATCTTATCTATACTATGAACCCCAAGCTATGGGCCTATAGACATTGGCATGAAAAGCACAAAACATTGCAAACAGATCGGAAAAACCTAGGACACTATATTCATCAAACAAATGATAATATACTATAAATCTAATGAATCAAAAAACAGATAGCAGTATGAATAAACCAAACAAAGCATTTCATTATTGATTTTTTCATAAATTCAAAACAACTTTACCTTGTATTCTTTTATTAAAGGATTCAAGTACAATGTTTCTAAAGGAGCTTCTATGGACAACTTAAGTGAAGTAAAGTTTATGCACAAAGTGGCTGAAGTGATGAAGTTTGGGGCTGCGCATCGAATCAAGATGGGAGATGGTGATATGAAACTGGTATTATACATTTACATTTTATTGGGTATTGTGATTTCTAGTATTTTTGACATATCTCCAGAAATTTCAAAATGATGAGACGTGAATGTCATACCATATTATACTTGCTGACTGGCCAAAATACATGTAGGTTGTATCACTTTGACTAATAACTATGGCTTAGTCTCCCCAATAGACACATAATTAGCAGCTAGCTTATCAAGTTCAACCTCCTCTGAAAAATATATGGAAGTCAGCCTCCTTTTCTAACGTACATGTAGTGAATGATGTGCCATATGTGTATTTTCAACACATTTCCTTCATTATGCAATACTGTATTTGCATTTTGCACAAACTGCATTGATATGAAAACAAATGATTCAGTTGATGATGTATTAATTAAAGGAAAAATTCATATCCTTAGATTCTACAACAGATGAGAAATGGCATTTACCTCGAGGGTATAAGAAAAAAAATAACTGAGACAGCACATCCACATGAGGCTTACTATGCAAAGAAAATAGCCAAGTTAGATAGTGGTACTTTGCATATATCTGTGCTGGCCCCAAATGGTGACGCTGTGGCTGTAACATCTTCCATTAATACACCGTGAGTCGTTATTTGGCTTAACATTTTGAGAAATCACATAGAATGTTGATGTGAAGTTTTTATTTTAGTCACAATACAAGTAAACACATTCTGTGAATAGTTGAACATGATCTTTGTAGATTAATGAAAAAAGCATCAATCAATTACTTCTGGGACACATTAACATATTGTATATCAAGGACTCCCTCCCATGGTATATATTCCATATCATGTATGAAGATAAGGCTAAATAATCTTAATATAATAAATGTTCTTACTTTATAGATTTGGATCATACCATTTTTCTAAATCAACAGGCATCATATTTAACAACCAGATGAATGACTTCACATACCCTTTATATAATAGGGCTGTCGAGTATGAGGTATCATGCTTCTCTTTCTAACTCACTAGTATATTTACTTTAAGTACAAAAAATATATTTTGGTGTAACGTTTAAGTTGCAGTTTTAATATATCCTATTGATTTTTTTATTGGATATGTCTATGTCTTTTACCATACCACATATACCAGAACTAATTAATCGACCTGGTAGATAGTCAATACTTTGTATGACTCCTTTTTCAGTTGAATGAAGAATCTTAGTAGTTTCTGCTGCAAATTATCATAATTATTTTACCTTTGGGTTAATAGATATTTAATACATATTTTTGAGCTTCACTTTCTTATACACAGTAACTGTATCCAAAAAGAATCAATGATTTTACAGAACCACGAAGCAAACTTGATGTCACCCTTCAAGAGACCACAATCCTCACAGTCACCATCCATATTTGTAGATGAGAGTGGGGAGGTCCGCTATGTTATAGGTGGTGCTGGAGGAAGACAGATTACTCCTGCAATACTACAGGTAAACAAGATGTCTTCACATTAATAGATATATTGTAAATTACTCCTTCACTACTGCACTAACTGGTAACACCTCTTTATATATGTCCAAAATCAATCCAATACTACTAAAGGTAAGCTGATTTCATTCTTTAAGAGTTTGGAGATGAGACAATTCTACAAGTTTCACTTTGAATAATATTTATGGGTCAGATAGTTATATACTTTATAATGTAGATTTTTATGAACAAAATATATAGCTGAATTAACCTCTTTTATCTGCAAACATACTGCAATAAGATTCACTTCATGGCTGCATGACTTCTAAGAAACTAAACATCAGGAAAAATAGATTTCCATGATGAAATAATAACATTAGGGGAACACCAATATTGATGAGAATATGTAAAAGAATTATACATGGATACAGTATGTTTAGAGTAAGAAACAAGCACACAGTGAACAGTATCACTAGAAATAGAACAATATCACACCCAGAAAAAATTGCGCTCTTTTACAAAACATGCCCGGACTAATCAGTAACACCTCTGACCATGGTACCTCATTGAGACAATAGTACCTCATTGAACAACAATGTTGTAAGGTCAATAAAACAATCATATATGAAGTTCACCTTTATCATATTCCAGGTTATAATGAGGGTATTGTGGCTTGGTGAGGACATCTATACAGCTATAGACAAACCTAGAATCACACAACATATATTCCCAAAATTTACCTTGGGATATGAGGACACATTTAATAAAGTAAGTGTTAAACAATGTTTAAAAAGTTTGAAACCTTCAGGTACAGTAAATAAGCTTCTAATTCAAACTTCTAACCACTTTAAAAGCCAGAAATTTTTCTCAATGAATTTTATACTTATATTTGTATTTTATCAATTTAAAATAAGTTGTGATACAAAATAAAAGTAACAATTACTCCTATAATTACTTTCAGGAAATTGTAAGACTGCTGAATCTATTTCGCCATAAGTCAGAATTATTTAAAGCTCAGCCGTGTATAGGAAGGGTTGAGATTATCACACAACACACCAATGGAACAATTGAGGGATACTCTGACAGAAGAAAATTTGTCACATGAAAATATCATCAGTCCATCTGCATAAATTGTAAGACTGCTACATCTGGTCCGCTATGGATCAGAATTATTTACGGCTCATCCATGTCTAGGAACGGTTGAGATCATCACACAACATGCCAATGGAACAATCTAAGGATAATCTGACAGTAAACATGAAAATACCATTGGTCACATGTCTCATGAAAATATCATTGGTCCTTCTAAACACATACGATATGTATACGTTATCCTATGATTTTGAGTGATATCATTTTTATCCATGACTTGATAACAATATCTGGACGAGTGAGTGGATTGAGAATTCATAGGATGATCTATTTAAGCCATAGTTCACCAATAAAACTAAACAAGCACTTCAAACAACATAAAGTTCTTTTTGTAGTTTTATATTTTCAAAAAACCTGTGAATATTTTTATGTTAATTGAATCTTGTTTTCTTTGCCGTGTACACATTTGCATGTTTTTATTTACATTTTCACAACAGTATCTCTCATTATCAGGCCTTTAATTGCCTAAATCTAGCCTCAAATCAAACGATCTGGACTGGCCATCCATTTTTCTTGACTCAGTTATGATCATGTGACATTGTGACAATACACCTCACATTGGTGGTAGTTTTCAAATCCATAGAAAAAAGTGATATATGTGGAATATTCGCCATATTCCACATGGATTGTTTTCCATGCATTTGCAAAATATCATGTATTTACATGTTATCAAGCAGATTTGACCTCAACTATGGGATAATTATAGGATATCCTATGATATTGAGGAATATCATTTTTATCTACGATGTAATATTGATATCTGCATGAGAGAGCAAAGCGAACGAGTGCATATATCAATATCACCGAGTACACTAAAATAATATTCTGAAAAAATTATAGAATGTTCTTATTATCCTACACTTACAAGGAGTGTAGTAAATGTATAATATCATTGCAAAATGAATTTCATGCCAAATAGAGTCAATTTGGGGGGAAATCAACGAGCGGAGTATATCGTCACAGTATCCTCCGCATATTGGGTTTTCCGGAGTATATCGTCACAATATCCTCCACCCAGAGTATATTGTTACGATATCCTCCGGTTATTCATTTTGCCAATAAATATCAAATTTATCTTTTAATGTTATTATACATTTAGTACACCAAGTGTAGGATAATATAGGAATATGAATTACAATTGTAACCTTGACAGTGATAATTAATAAGATAAAAAATAACAACCTTGCTAAAAATAAATATCAAATTGACCGTTTAAGGCCCATATTTAATACATTTCATTAAATGGCGTGTTTTCTAAAATCATATTATATTTCATAAATATATATGTGTAGTTGTATACAAATGCCATTGAATAGTGCATTGCAATAGTGACAAAATATAGAATAAATTTTTTTTATATTATGCAGCAGTATCATTCTGATATATTCAATCCCCTTTTTACTTTTTCATGCATTAAATCACTGAAGTTAAAGTGAATCGTGGAGTTTTCTTCAGATCTCCCACACAAAATGCAAATGTAATGGGTTATTTGGTATCCCAACAATGGCATTTTTGTGAACAGTGATTTTAGTGCCAGAACTTCTGGTCATTACACAGATGAATGAAAAGTTATATAAATATCTAAGCATAAATGCCAAAGGGAAAGGACAAAATCATAAGAAAAACAAACCCCATATATCCCAAAACTATGATCTAACGTGAAAAAACGCAATATCTAATACCCTCTTTTCTCCAACTTCAAAGAAGCAATATCACAATCCAAGACCAGAACACCAAGGGACATTTTACACATACTGAAGACATTGCAATATATGTTGAAGAAAAATTGAGAGCCTTAAATCAAAGTACTTAGAAGTAAATAGAGCATTCAGTCTCAAATGATGTGGAATAGATAAAATCAAGTCTCAAAGTCCATAGGCGTTTCAAAGGGTCAACCTCCAAAGCTGTAACAATAATCCATTTCAAAGGGTAAAAAATAAATTTAAAAAATGCTGTTTTAAAATAGATATGCCCATAAATCTCATGGCAAACGCATCTCAATTGCTTATATATTCTCACTAAAGAGTACACAAGTAAAACATCCCCAAAGAGCGTACATGTAACTCCTATGATATATACAGCCTAAGTAAAATTGATTTACGAGCAAACAAGATTTACTCCTGTTCCGACAAGATTTTGAGCTTTATGAATACATTTGATGCAGAGAAAATAATATAAGAGTTCTATGAGTTTTCATAGCAGAATGAAAAAACTAGAACAATGTTGAAAAATGGCATGAACTGATTTTCACCTGTTATCAGATATGCAAATTTTCGTATATGTGGTCTTAAGAATTTCTCAATCTTTCACTATTTTCCATTTCAATTTTGGGAGGGCATTGTGTGATCTTTAAAGTTTATTGAACAATATGGCAAAAACATGTAGCAAGAATAGAAATATCATGAAAATAAATACCAGCTGTTTATATTTACATATGTACTTTATTATTTAGAAACAAATTTTTGACATTGTTCAAGCTTATAATAAATTATATAATACAATAAATACACAATCAGTGTCATAATTTGGGCACAATCAAGTAGGACGAATAACAACGTTTAATGTCATATTCTATTGTCTATATACAATACATTTCTGTTACAATTTCAAATAAAAAGTGTAAATATATTTTGTCTGAATACAACTATTTTCCATTTTACTTGATTCATTGAACTTAAACTACTGCTAAATTTTATAGCACAAGGGTTCACATGTGACTGTGATTGGTATTTGAATTATAAGATGTCCGTCTTTGATGATTATTCACAGACCTCCTTAACTCCCTCTGAAAAGTATCATGCGGTCTCAGTCTGGAGTCAGTATCACTTGAATCAAGTCGTACTATTGGCCTTGGAATCCCAAAATCTCTCGGAGGAGCATGGTTCTCCGTAAGAGTCTCCTTTAGGTAAACTGACCGAGACAACTTCTCCTAAAACAAAGAGGTTCATGCCATGCATTTTAATGTACACAAGATGCACTTATGAAATCCATAATGCAATGTTATGCAACTATTCACAAACCCATGCAGAATACATGTACTTCATATGCAACTATACTACTGAAAATAGTGGTACTAAAAAGGCATAACATGGTAAATACAAAAAATATGCTTTGTTTGATATGGAATGGAATAACACAAAGGCCCTCCACATTGTGCTGAGTTGAATCAATGAATCAGTTGAATCATTAATAACTAGTTTCAGACTCCAGTAGAACATTGTTTCTATGTACAGTGTATATCAACACATTTAATTAGTCTTCACAAGGTGAGCATGTGTCGCTACAAACAGCTGGCTTGTGTCTGTATCTACTGGATCTCTCTAAGGTACTCAGAAAGTCATCTACCTCTTTATAACTGTCCTTAGCCTCTTTAGCACTCTGCTCTTCCATAAAATACTTAAGCTTTGTGTATAACTGTTTCCCAGACATTCTCTCTTGGAAGCTGTTCAGAACATACACCCCCTAAAACAATAATGTGTTGTAAAAAAGCTGATGAGTAAGAAAAAGGTAATATTAATAAAGTACATGGAGACTGAAAAACTGTCAATTCTATTCAGTTGGAATTAAAATGGTAGCAACGTTATGGTTTCCACGATACTCTCAAATTGTGGTATTATGGAAAAGATAGAGCCATAACTAGACGCCCCTATTATGAAAGGCTCATCACTTACCAAATAAAGTGCCATCAGAGGACCTAGTATGAAACCAGCCAGTACATCTGTCCAATGGCTCTGATATCGACCTACTCTCGAGTATCCACAAAGCAAGCTCAATATCACAAATGTCAGCGACAGGAATGGCTGCATAATTCTCACATGATGAGTAGTTATCGTTCCATGAATATAAATCTGGAGAAGCAAATTAAAATATATTAAATAGTCTAGTCTTGTTGTACAATGAGAAAGCAAAAAAGGTATTATTTGGCACATAAAACAACAAAATCATGTGAAAATAATACTCACTACAAGGTATATTGCAGAGAATGAGGTTACTGATGCATGAAGTGATGGAAATGATAACCTGAAAAATAAGACAGCATGTATTTAATATACAGTGTATATCATACATGGAATTATCTAAACAGACCAAAACAGATTTTTAAAAATACCAGATATATGTCTAGTTGCTTATTACTTGTTCAAGGCCTAAAATCAGACATTTATTTAACCTCTGACCTTGCATTCCGAATATCATCTCTGTTACTTGCTGTACATGTGGCATCCGTCTGACTAGACATAAGACGGCACATTGTTTGGTTTGGCTGGCACACTTCTAAAAAGTTGGGTCGTAATCGGCCAGTCATAATTTTGGTCACATCAGTAAATACTAAAGTCAGCAGAGCACCAAATAAAAATACACCTGAAAGAAAGAAAACTGAGCGATAGAAAATTTCATCGTACATATAATTATTATGACAGAGGGTGAGGAAATATAGTCAATCTGTCACAAATGCAGATTGAACTTAAGAACAAGTTCTGAAACAAATGAGTTCTGAAACAAAAAAATTAATTTCCACTTTCCATTCAAAATATTTATCATATAGGAAAAGGTACAGTTATTATAAACACAAAAAAACATAATCATGAGATTTCTGATTTTACTTGGATTATTACTTTGTGACATTGTAGGACTTAATGTGAATTGTATATTTGCAGCTGTGACACGATTTCATCAATTAATTATCATTTTTGCATGAGTGTGGTCTAAAAATAGATACAGCATATCAACACTTTTCATAATACCTGCTCTGCCATTTGGATCAGTATCAAATGAATAAAATCAAAAACTAGTCAAAACAACTAGACAGTACCTATAAATCTAAGAAGTCGCCTCACAAGCTGTGGCAGGGTACAGTGATTACATATGATATTAACACCTTTCTGGTGCTGGCTATTGAAGGCCCACACACTGAGTTCACCTATTATTATCTAAAATAAACAACAAAAATAAATCTTTAAAATAAATGAGGTTTTATGATTGTGTTATGAAGAATCAACTAATGGTTTCAAATTTGAAAACTGTGAAAATATCGAAAAACTAGAAAAAGGTTGGAGACTTTAACAATATCTCACCACTTCTGATGGTGACATAAAAACAGCAACTTCATGGAGTAGCAAATCCCTTACACAAAACATATTTTACTAGATCTGTCATTTTGGACATTATTGATACAAATAACCAAAAGTAGTAGTTCTTGAACAAAAAATTTTAAATTTTGAATTCAGCAGTCACTTTGAAAATTCCTTTAATTGAGCAGATTTCTATGTCCATAAGGCACCAGCATATGAAATTATCTGTAAACTGGTATTTGAGTTATCATTTTTAAATGAGCAGCCATATTGGAAATGCCTCCTTGAACAGAGATCCGTTGCCTGTGTTGAAGGCATTAATAAAAGGACGATGTGAGGTATGGAAAGTGATTTTAGTCAGTTATATCTTTCACCATGGGTACTTTCTGGCCATAAAAATATATTTTCTTTCAAGTGAAGTCCCCATGATAGTAAAACATCAATCCAACTCTCTTTAAAATAATGGATTAGGACCCGACCTTGGCACATTATATAGATATGGCTGTCTAAAACCACTTGGCATACCTCACATGGAGAGGCCATATTTAGCAAGTTGAAAAAGACCTCTTGACCTTTTGTAATCTAAAGACCTTTTTTATCTTTTTTAACTTGAGAAGGTCATTGAAGGTCAAATCTTAAATCTATAGTCAGATTTGAACTTCTGAGAACTCGTAGATGATTTTGAAAAACAAATCAATCTGATGCAAGTTGAAAAAAGACCTTTTTTAACCTTTTTGACCTTTTAAAGGTCATTGAAGGTCAACTGAAAACTTAAAGATGATTTTGAAAAAATGAAGTCAGTCTAAACAGTATTTGTTAAGTTATAGGAAGTTGTAAAAATTTGTTACAGATGCCATCTGCAAATCATAAAACTTTTTTGACCTTGAAAAGGTCATTGAAGGTCAAATCTTAAATCAGATTTAAACTCTTGAAAACTTGAAGATGATTTAGAAAAAAATTGAAGACAGTCTATACAGTATTTGTTAAGTTATTGGATAATAGCAAATCTATAAATACCATATTCAATACTGACATTCTAAGATAATTGCAATACATATGGTTAGATATAAAATATATAAATGCTTACAACTACAGGTGGTACACAGAAGCTGAGTGTCATAACGACTGAGCTTGGAATGTTAGCGTTGAAGGCAAAATCGTCATAAGAGGAGTCTGCGCTAGAGAAAGATATGCTCTCATCGCTACAGTTAAAGTTGACTTTTCGGACTGGGAACACATCGGTGAATCTGAAAATTACATGGAAAAAGAAAGCTAGGAATTAAACTGCCAGAATACAATCCTTATGGAATAACCTTTTAGTTATAGCAGCCTTTTAGGTTTTAAGGGACAAATTTCAGAAAAACTTATTTCAGGTTTATCAGGTCATATAATAGAGGTGCTCTGGATGTACTGCATATAAAATATGACTTTTTATTCATTTATTGTACTCTTCAGAATTGGAGTAAATAAAGATGCAAACAAAGATACAAACAAAGAAGTGAACTCTAAGTGGACATTTCTGCACCTTTTATGTTCAGTAACTTCTTCATTGGATCATTTAAATCAATTTTTCATTACTTTATAAAAAGACTGCTTCTACTTTCTTAAATTAAAGTGTTTTGGCATCATTATGCAACTGCCTACTATACATGTATATATATATATATAAGGAAAAGTAATTCTGATCTGTATTAAGTTCATGAATAAACTATTTTGATGTTTTTAAGGTAACTGTAACATGCAGCAAATAAGAATAATTAAAAACATACATTAGCTGATAAATCCTTAAATATACATTACACGCAGGCCTACCTTAGAAAGTATTCCAAAACTATGACGAATAGTAATATAAGGAACTCCAACACAAATGCAAACAAGAGGAATGTATTTGGCCTGTTCTTGTAAGAGCTATCTTCTGAACTAGAATCCATTCCAAGTGTTTGGTTATCCTCTGGTACAATGCTCAGTTGGTCAAAGTTGACACTCCCAGTGTGAACCCCTGGGTTACTATACACTGACATAGCTCATAGCTCTGGAACAAAAGCACATGGAGTTTTGGCTACTGGATTTGAAAGCTAAATTTTTTGATATGGTGAAACAAATGACTGATGGGTCCACCAAACTCTTTGTTGAAAACATAAAGCTTTGTTAATGGGGCAGTGTTGATGAATCATTTTCCAAACTAGAATTGACACAAATGACACACACTGACACACTGATTCTCACTTGTATTTTTGTTCCTTCCATGTCTTGATGTATTTGCCACTTTCCCTTTAAATATGTATTGGAATTTACTTCAATTTATTTAAAAGTTGGCATTTCATGCAAACAATATTAATATTTCTAATGAAATCACCTATTAAAGTTAGACACTAGAGAGACATCTTTAATTATGAAATAAAAGTTCACAAATCTTTGTATCTGTAAAAAAGAATTTGTGGTATACTTATAATTGTAAAAGGGGTTTGTTTAGGTTCACCCTGCTTAATATGGTATAGTATTTTAAAATCTATAAATCTGATAATAAAGTAAATACACCTACCATGCAGTGCAATAATTGAACATGCCAGTGCATCCATTCCATACATCTATTAAATCTATTAGTTTCTATGGCAACCTATTGCTACTGCCAACTGAAAACATAAAGAACAATAATATTAATACAATGTTTAATGCATATATAACCTGCACATACATTCGATTCTATAATTATTGGAAATACAACTAGGGAATCATAGAGGGTTGCCTTGGCTGAATTTTGGGTTTAAGGTGGGCATAACATGGCCAATAGCATCTGTTGTCTATAAAGTTCAAGTGCAAGAATGTGTTAAAGGCCCAACAAGATTTCTCAATAAATATATATATAAATACAGTGAAATCTGTAAAGTGGAACACCTCTAGAAGTGGCATACAACTTAATCAAGGAGGATTGGCTTCCAGGATCGAAACTCGGATCGAAATATTTTCCAACAATGAAAACGTCGAAATGTCGTTATTTTCTGAAACCATAAAAGATTATAAATTCAAAATAAAGATTTCAAATGATTTGAACTTATATCTTGATCATTTCTTGTGAGTTTTGGAATTTGCCGCTAAGAAATAAGACCAAAAATCACGATAAAATGTTGAACAAAATGGCAGCTGTTTGAATTCGAATTTTGTATCATAGCATGCCTATATACATGGCACAAAATATCAATGTTGCACTCTGGGAGCCAACCCTCCTTGCAACTTAATACTTTTCAGAGTCCTAAGTGATAATTGAACCACTTCCACTAAGACAGGTTTTACTGTATATGTTGAACATTAATATTATGATTGTGCTGATCAGGAAAGTTTGGCACAGTGTTAACAACAGCCAAGCCCAAAAAAGATTAAAAACACATTCATTCCTAATGAAATAATGGGCCATATGAAACAAATGGTAAAGAGAATAATGTTGTAAACAAACCATTATTTTCAAATCTTAAGATTATCTTTTTTAAATGCTTATTTTCATAATCTATTCATAATGTTAAGTTCAGAAAATTAATGGAGTCATTATACATGTACTTTTTAAAATGTTATGTACAGTAGTTTATAGAATATGAGTATTCTCCCTCATGTTCAAATTATGAAATTAAGACTTAATTACAGAAAATTGATCTAACTGACCCAATTACATGTCTATAATGTCCCACCCTTATTAATTACAACAGGTCTAATATAGAGGTCTAATGATAGGCAATATTTCACATTATGTGGTACGTATATATAATGCATGAGCCAAAGATAAGGTTCATCATATATACATGACATTTATGTAATTACAATTCTCATGCATTCTCAATGCTAGTAAACTGTATCAAATCGATAATATGTGCAAAACATTTTGATAGAAACCTTTTATTGATACATCCTATGGTGCAAGCATTTTAACCCTGACTGAACGCTTGACAATCAATCATTTTTACATAAATACAAGAATACACATTGCATAGATGCAAGTTTCCTGTTTTTTTTATACCAAAGATAGAAAACAGAGTAAAACACTATTATTTTGTTATCTTTTGAGGAATTCATAAATGAGTACATGTACATTTGCAATAAATGATTTTACCTAACATGCTTCAAAAAATCACAATAACATGATATATAATTTGAAATAGCTGACAAAGAGCCAAAAAGACACATATCTTCAAAATTTTAAGGAAATGATTTCCAATAAAGTGCAGTTGCATTATTCCTTATTTGCAGCAATTTTATTTCAGCAGTATTATATTTTGAGCAAACTATGTAGTATGTTTGCATATTTTGAGTAGTCAACGACTGTAGCATTACACATAAGGGTGCCATATACACCATACTTGAAGCTACAAAATGCAATCTAATCTTATATTAGTCTTCTTAAATATATCTCAAGTTCCCTTAGTAACAGAAAGCAAATAGCAAGATTAATTATTGCCTTTATCTGGAAATAACAGTGCTTTATTTCTCTTAAGATTAATGAAATGTTTGCTAAAGCCACGATGAATCAGAACTGTCGCAAGTTTCAGGTTGATAATTAAATGCAGTATTACTGCATATTTCTTAGCTAATTCCATGATATTATTCGATATATGTATATTTTTAACTAAATGTATGAAATAAACTGTCAGTAAAACCTGTCTAGTCTGAACTGTTACTGGTCAAAAGTGTTTGGATAGGTATTCACATTTTGAGTTTTTTAACATGGAAGTCTATGGAAGATAGATTAAGAAATGGGACAGACAAGCATCCACATTGAGGTGTTCAAATTAGAGAGGTGTTCGTATATACAGGTTTTTCAGTTATGCTGTTTTCAACACAAAAGTAATTTCGTAAATATCTAGTTGTATATATCATTCCTTTATATCTTGTTTGTTTACATAGATACAAAATAAAATAGAGCGTGTGAGTAAAAATGATGATGATTTTATCCTATAGAAATGGATATTATATTTTACGGCAAGTTTGGAGGGTGATACTGTATGGTGCATGCTAAGGGGATTTGATTATACTTTCCATAGACAACAAATTCTCAAATAGTAACAAATGGTGAAAACAAGTTAAAATCCAATCCTAAGTGATCACAAATTGTTTATATTTGGTAAAACATGAACAATGTTGGGAAAGTTGTCTTTTTGAAATTCCAAGTATTGGAACTTATTTCACCTGTCAGTGGCAGATACTTTAATTCTAATTGAATTTTAGCATGTCAATGCTGTTTGCAATATCTCCAAATGAATGATTTCACCAATAGACGACATTTGATTAAATTCTAAGCTGTTTAACTACCAATACAAACTTTATATCCTTACTTAATTAATTAATTCCCCTCAAGTGTCGTAGCATAATCATTTACAGTAAAATATCAACATTCATGACATTGCCTGCCATGCCCAGAGAGAATGCTAAAATTGGGACTATCACTTCATAACAAAAACAATGGCAGTCAGGGATCAGAGGACAATGGCAAAGTGGAATGTTTTCATGATTAAGAGACTTATTGGACAGGGGTGAAATAAGAATCAGTTGATGTGGATCTTTTAAATTATTTAATGCTTACTGGCAGATGGTGCATGAGTATAGTTTAGGGACATAGACAGTTGCTTTGTACTATTTTAGCTCTGGCTTTAGGTAGAGCCTTTTATAGCAAATATCATAGAAAATCAAGATATACAAAAGATTCCATGAGTTCCAAAAACGAACACATTTAACCCATTTCCCAAATTCCCATACACAGTGACTATCTTTTACAACAACACCTTCCAAGAACCAAAACATTTTCTGGAGAGAAATAATTTATATCCTGAGATGAAAAACTTTCAGGGGAAATTTCTGTAGTATTTTGGGTAGGGGTAAAATCCCCTGGTATAATTTTTAAAAGAATCTTCTAGTGAAAGATACTTTTAGACCTTATAGAGAGATTATTTATAAATGGTTGACTTCTGAGAGGAATTTTCTATTTTTTCCCTGAACTAGAACACTTATTATAAACAAAATGAGGTTTGGTATCGGTCCGATACATAAAACCGTGGGCTCTCTTGAAAGCCCATGATAAAACAATACAGTATCATATAAAGTCAATTATTTGACAGTCATATAACAGATATTTCACTGCCAGCTTTGGAACAATATTGTACGCTGAGAGTAAATAAATACAATGTAGACTTACCTGGAACATTGACTGTTTATGTCATTTCTACATTTGGCTCTACATCAAATCATCCATCTCATCTCTACAAACATAGATTTAATGTGTTATAATATTTTAATCCAGCAAACTCATTTTTGTGTGATATATATTCTTATATGTGTATGAAATCACTTAGTGCTATTCTGTTGTTTCAATAATTTAAAAGTAATCATTTCGCATAATGATGGTACATAGCCAACAGAACCCATAACCGGGACATTACTCCTCTACAAAATCCAATAACAATTTGCAATATGTCTGTGTACAGCCAGATCCTCTTGACTGAGTAAACCAAAGTAAAATGAAAGCTTTGAACATCTTTTTCATCCCATTCAAATATAAGTACAACTCTTTCTGACAAAGATCTATTCCATTTGAATGTCCTTTATGACATATTTATCATAATTATCGCAATGTATTGGAAATAATTCTCGTTTAAGAAGGTAATGGTTTATACCTGCTCTCCTCATGTGAATTGCTCCATACAGACAAATACGTATTGTATATAAATCAATAGTGTTACACGGAAAATGCAATGGTCGGAATGGATTTTTGTTTCATCAATATAAACAGTCTACAGTTTTCTATATTTTAAATAAATGTTTTTTATAGCCTATTCTAAATTCCTTAGGAGAATTTTTTCTATTCAAATGTGAATGCAATTATGTCATTTTGAACCTATGGGAAATGAGGTTAGTATGACCATTAATATAGAAAACAGGGAATTTCCAGTTCAGAACAGCAATTATATAAGCACAAATTATGATTTTCATTAACCTTCAATTCATTCTTTATTGATTAGATGTCAAAGAAAGGCTGACATGATTTGCAGCAAAACTTAATTTCTGCAAGACAAACTTTTCTCATGACATCATACAGCTTATCTCGTCAAAGCAAAAAACTGATGGATATGACATGGTAATGTACGAATAGAAAGGGTACAGGGTAAAGGTTTATATATTGGATAAATTGTTGAGTACTGTTGAAAGTGAATGGTGTAATAATCACATCAAATCCATCATCTACATCTGTGTTACCTCTGTGTGTCGTAAATAATTAATCTAAAGCATAAACAAAATTGATTTTTCCCCGCATTGTTATTGAAGCTTATATTAGTTTTACCTTGGTCAACAGAACTTGAAATCAAAGATTAACTCTGGAAGTTGAATCTTTGGATGTCTGGTAAAAGAATATAATAAAAATACAAGTAGTGTGTAAGAATTCACTTTTTTAAATTTTTCTATTATGAAAGGTAAAAAAGAATCTACTATATATGCTATCACTTTTTATAAATTAATGAATCTTGAAAAACAATGTCTCACCTTTGCTTATCTTAAGTCTATTGGTGCTTCTTTTGCCCCATCCACTTCCACAGGAGTTCTCCAGTCACTGCTCAGTTAATCAAACCTAGGCTTAAATTCAAGACAATTGAAGATAATTAACCCTCATTGCCCCGTTTCTCAAAAGCATGACAAATTACATGAAATTCAATTGAGTATTATGCTATTCCCTTAAATGACATGGTATGAGACGATTAAAATTCAGGAATCAAATGATTGTTTCAATAAAAACTTCAATCTTCTTAAATCAAGTACAATGTATTTTTAGCCCATAAATTATAAATGAAGTTTCTTCTGATAAAGAGGCTAATATCTGTGAAATGATAGTTTGACATTTTCGTTGATCATGCACTCGAGTCATTATCTCAACTTGTTATCTGATTAATCAGCAGCACTATTGATAGGAAAAACATGACAGGAATTCAAAATTACTTCTTATTTTTAATGACAAGCATCATAAATTAAAGCATGAGTTTTTTATGCCAATATTACCTGATAAGTGTTTGCTCCTTAATACTATTCCAGGGATATTTCCTTCTATATTCTAGTATTCCAAGTAGTTATTCACACGGAGATATTGGCCCTTGGATTCATTAATTAATCCTGATGTTTTGTAATCAGGTTTTTTTTATTCTCCATGAACATATTCAGAAATGTCCACATATAATAGCTCAAGAGGCCTTTTAGGGTCTAAACCTATCTAGTGGAGATATTTCTGACGATATAAATCCATCATATATTTTTCCATTTTCTGAATGTGTCTTTCTGCATGTTATAATATTTCAAGTGTAAAGCTTTTAATTTGAAACCTGATGATGGGTTATGAGTTATAACGTAGCAACTGGGACAATCAAAGCGTAATATAAACAGTGAACATCTGTTGCCGTGGTGCTAGTAATAATGACTCTGACTTAGGGACTGTGTCAAAGATAAATCTGTTATTTTTAGCAAAATTATTTATGTTAGAGAAGGGAAGGGAGAAAAACAATGTTCCACTAATGAAAATCATTTAACATGTCATCAGCAATAACTGAACTTTGATTATGATCAATTATTTGGGAAAAGTTTGGAGATGGGTCTGACCTAAGGTTACATGTTTTGACATAGTCCCTAACAATCATAGTTATAAAAGTTAAAAGTTTAAAACAATTATTTTTCAATGTTCTGTAATATGGATATAACATATTAACATGCATCTTTTATGCATCTGGTAGAATATATCATGGAACATGTCATGCGCTACCAGTATATGTTACTGCCATTAATTCATGATTTATAACCTTATATTATGATAGCAATTTTATGAAACATCAAAGCACCTGAACTGGAAAAATGAGGAAATTGTTTTCAGCTTTAATTTTCCCAGACTTATAGTAACTAATTCACTGCTAGCTATGACTCGAAATCAGCAACTCAAATATCTAATATTACTTTACACTAAATTGTTGAGAATTCTTGATTTTTTAAGCACACATAAGATAAATGATAAAATAATTGTGGTCTCAAAATTATTTTCTATTCAAGTACAATACAATACATGTACAGTAAAACCATACTTTGAAAATATCTTAAATAACTAGAAACTCAAACATTTTGTATTTTCTAAAGCTTGAATCTGAAAAACAATATAATATCTGGAATCTTATCTATGACACCTTTCACTTGAGTACAAGTCATACTTCTGAGAGATCTCAAAATTAACAAAAATTTGGCCACCTTGCAAGACCTCTGGGGATGACCACAAAAACATGGATGATTTCTGAAATAAATAGTACAATGTTTACTGACTAAAGTGCCATTATTTGAATGATATTTGCAATGCATGTCATTTCTGAGATATTTTCTTGATCATATTTCACTGGGGGGTATCGTGATGCAACAACACCGTGTTGTTGCATCAAGATGGCCAGACTTCCGGTGATAGATTTTCGTACGATATTTTGTTTTCCCAATTTAAACCCATTCTAGGACGAGTTGCTCAATAATCATACACGTGCAGTTAGCCCATGATCTATATTTAAAAAAACTCTCATTAGTATGCATGTAGCATCATCAAGAAGCGAGAAATTCGCCGTTTTAATTCCTCACTATTGATGCAACAACACCACTCTGTTTATCATCGATGATGCAACAACACCAATGTGCTGATGCAAAAACGCCAATATAATGTATCATTGAATATCAAGCGAAACTGTTTCACGTTCTGTTTATCTCGTAGGTGTTGGTCGGGACATGAATAAAACGCGTGAGTGCGTGGTTCATGAATGAAACGTATTTTGTTTGGTTCCTTAATGTATTTGTCTTTATGTTATCAAAGTTAAAAGGATATACAAGGTAAACTAAATACATAGGCTAAGTATTGAATCCCCGGGAGCCAACCTCATTGATATTGTATCTGAAAAATAAAGATTATTCATTTTCTAAATTAAATCCCCTTGATTTACCGTATCGTATGGGAATTGTTTACAAAGAACTAATATAACTAGACTTTGAAAATTGAACAAGTTCAATTTCAGACTCCAGATTTGGATTTTTTAAGCCGAGTCATCCAGAAAAAGATGGATGGATGGATGAAATAGGAAGGAGGGATAGGACAGAATAGGATGGAACGATAGGAGAGAATAGAGAAGAAAGATAGGATAGAATAGCAAGGAAGGATAAGATAGGAAGGATAGGAAGGAAAGGATATGAAGGAATGGAAGGAAAGGATAGGAAGGATAGATAGATAGGAAGGAAATGATATGAAGGATAGATAGGAAGGAACGGATAGGGATAAAAGGGATAGGATAGGAAGGATAGGATAGAATAAGAAGGAACGATAGGATAGAATAGTAGGATAGGATAGGATAGGAAGGATGGATGGAAGGATGGATGGATTTTTCGACATTTTCTTGGCTACCCTTGACTTTCTATCAGGATACCATCAGATCGATTTTTCTCGAATTTTCAAAACGCCATAATTTCCGAACCGGAAGTCGGATCGAAATTTGGTTTGCAGATTCTGATTCCTGAGAAAATTCTATTCTTCATTCATAACTCAAACGTTAAATTTGGTGAATTTTTTATTTTGACCTACTTTTTGGACACCATATCTCAAAAGTGGGTTAAAATACTTTCTGACGGCAGAGGGCTAACACTATTAGTACACTCTTGGCTACATGTATACACAATTTCGAAGAATATAATTGAAGTGTAGTGTCAGAATCACAAAAATAAGGAAAACTTTTGAATTTGACCTAGATTTTGACCTAGACATTTTTGTGTCCAAATTTTGAAGCTAGATTGCTTTTGAGCTGAGGTACCCTTCATTTAAAGGCTTTCATTAAATTAAGCTGTACTCGGTCGTATATATGTCGTATTTTACACTTCAAAAAAATATTTTTTCCCTTTGACTTAACATGGGGCACCAAAGGAGCACGTGGGTTATCGCAAACAATTTCAGAAGGTTATATCTTGGATTATGACTATTTTCTAACAATGAAGACAAGTTTATCTTTTAGATCAATTCATTATCTCAAAGAAAATTATGCACAGTAATAATAAATTCAAACAAACTGAGAGATATTTAACTAGCAATTAACTCATCAACACACTTTTTGACCCCATTTTGAAGATGTTGACCCCATTTTCGCCAAAAATGCAATCATTTTTTACAATGTTTAATGCATTACTATTCTTTATTTTGATTATCAAATAGTTCTTGAAAGAAAAACTGAATTGCATTAAGATAAGTGTTCCCCATGTTATTTCTCCATTGAAAAATCTCATGCTATCCATTGGTTTCAATTCATTTTGGTCATCCAAATTGAATATCTTTAAAGTCCCTGGAGCAATCAAATTTTCCCTTTAGGAAATCGAACATGTCTAAAAGCACATTCTAATTATGCATTCAACAATATAATAATAGGTTGCATTTTTGGTGAAAATTAGGTCAACATTTTTGAAAAAGTATGTTGATTGGTCCATTGCCCCTTCAATATCACTTAGGTCTGATTAACTAAATTATCATTATATATACCTTTCTTGAAGATAATGAATGGATCTAAAAGATACACCCATGTTCATGATCAGAAAATATTCATAATTCAAGTTAGAATCGTTTGAAATTGATTGCGATAACCTACGTGCTCCTTTTAGAGCGATTTTGAGTTTTCAAAACGCCATAACTTCCGATGAGTGTAGGTTTAATGATATTGCAGTTATACAATGCTATTATATATAGGTTATTTACTGAGAGGGATTCAATATTGGTTTTATTCCGGGACACATTATGATATTTCCCGAGGGCCCAGGGGGAATCTGGGATTACTGTATCCCTATTAATTTACCTTTTCGGGACCTAAATCCTATTACCTACCTTTTTACTCAATCGGGGAGAACGAATCCAAAGAGAACAATACTTCTACATGTGCGCCGTGCAAGATTTCCAATAGCTCGTCGTGTTTACCGAGAACGAAAGATGTTTCCCCACCATTTTGAATGATACTAACTGGTATCAGGGTCATCAAACTATGGAACAGGGGTTTATGATAATAGATTGGGTTACTATAGCTTGCAATGTTAAAGGTGATTGAACTATGTTATAAAACAACTTCCAGTACATCATGATATTTAAAAGTATAAATTTTTGAAAATACATATAAAGAATCTTCGCCCGCAGGACGTGTATTTTGAATGCCTGAGAAGAACGCAAATGGGTGCTGGCCCGGTGTTGCAATAGTAGCATTTAAAAATCTGTTCCTCTCGAGATTTATGGTCTTCTGAAATTATACTATTAATTGGTGTTGTTGCATCATTGCTCAAATCTAGAGGAGTGTTGTTGCATCTTCGGTTTGGTGTTGTTGCATCAATAGTGAGGAACTAAAACCGTGAACTTCTTGCTTCTTGATGATGCTACATGTATACTAATGACAGTTTCTTTAAATATAGATCGTGCGCTAACTTCACGTGTATGGTTATTGAGAAACTCGTCCTAGAAATGGGTTTAAATTGGGGAAACAACATATCGTACGAAAATCTATCACCGGAAGTCTGGCCATCTTGATGCAACAACACGGTGTTGTTGCATCACGATACCCCCCAGTGATATTTCATATGCAATGGTAAAAGTTTCATTTTGTGGATATTTACTTGGCAAGAAGTCTGACATTCAAAGTCATCAGGATGTTTTCAAAACTGATAATACTACTTGGAATTCTGCCATTAACTGATACATGTACCCAGCTGTGTAGCTCTATTAAGGATGCATGTTTGATGAACAAAATGGTCAGAGACAACTAAACCTAACATTATGTATACACCATGCTTAAAGCTGTCTCAGAGTACCTTTTAAATGTGGTACATTGGTGACATTATCTCGTACTACAAACCAGTGTTCACTTTGTTGGTGAGCATCTTGCCCGAATGTTATTTTAATGTCATTTGGCATGAATAGAGGGCGTTTAAAGTCTGCACTTATATAGTATGGTGGCTTCACAGTTATATCTAAAACCAAGAAGTTATAACATCTTTTTTATGACATTAGGAACTCAAACGCAAGTTCGATAGGTACATAGAAGAAATGGGGAGGGGGTCATAATTGAACAATTCAAAATAATTTTTGGCTGAATTTCAAAATGCAATCACAAGATTTATTGGCAACATTTAACAATTTAGTGGACTATAAAAATAATATTATTGAAATGCAATTAGAGGTTATTAGGTGTTGACAACATCTGCTTTCTATTTTATAGTTTTCACCTTACATAAATGAATCTAACCAATAAACAGTAATATCAAATGTTGCCAGTGGTGTCCTCTATATACATTTTAGAACTTAAAAATAAGAAGTTACAGTAATGACAGGCACAAAATGACATACCAAAGACAGAATTCTTGGTCTCTGAATTTTCACTTTCAACAGTAAGAGAAAGTGGTCTTGAACAGTGAACACTGGATGCATTGTTTGCCAATAAACTCATCAAAGAAGTGACTTAAGTAACTTAAAACAATTATCTTATAAATGAGTAAACCTGATCAGTGACTGTTCAGCAGTATTTTAAGTAACCTAGGTTTGCTTTAAGCCACTGTACCCCTCCTTTCCAACACCCCCCCCCCACACACAAGAGAAGTAGATAGGGTGTCCAGAGGATTAAAGGAACACTAAACTATAATGATGAAAAACTGGTTGTAAAAAGATGAAGAAGTTTTTCAGATTTGTTCAAGAAAGTAGTGAAACTGAAATGTTTAGTAATTTCTATCATTCTGGGCCATTTTAGTCCGAGACATAAATTAGGCATTAACATGCAAAATGTCACCCCTGTCATTTGTTACAGACATCGACTGCAAAACACAACCACTGAACACTATCCACAAAAAGTTGGTAACTATAACAATATGTAACCACTCCTGGTGGTGACAAAAAAATCAAAAATTTAGATTTTCAATCCCGTACTTCCTCTGCCACTGGCTTTAGTATAACTATGACATATAAAATGTTCTGTTTAAAGACTCACCTGATGAACCAAGAACTGCCATGGTTCTTGCCAGAGTCCACATTCCATGTGCGATAGGCTGTTTGTACCCTAATGGTCTGGCAGTCCAGGTCCACAGGTGGTGGGGATTCCAATCTGATGACACATGAGCGTAGTCCACACCGGTTTTACTGGGAACATGAACCTCAACACAGCTGCCCTCTTTATGATAGTAAAGTACAGATATACGCATTTATTGTTTATTTTTATATAATTCTTTTCTTCAAGGGAAATCTACTTTCTGAAGGCTAAACCCTATTTGAAACTAAACCATTGTACATACTGATTGATTTACTTTCTAAAATTAGTTATTACAAAACAGAAAATTCCATCACCTTCTTCTGCAGTCTGGTTCCTAATCCTATGTCCTCCACTTTGACTAGAATGTTTATTCCTAGTTAGGAACACCACATCTCCTTCCCATACACACACTTCTGACTTATCCAGCACCTTTAGTTTGAGTGTGGTCTCAATGCCCCTATCTGTATGAGTGTACTGTGTGAGAGCTACTTGCAGGTCAAATGGCTGGGTGAGGAGGACATCTAATGACCGATGCACTGTGATGGTTTGCTTCATGTGGATTAACCCTAAAATGTTAACATAGTACTTCTCATGAACTTTGGAAGAATAATGAATTTATAAATTACTTCTTAAAACATAAAATAAAAATACATACACGTTAAGGAATTTACATTTTGAAGAGCAAAATAAAATGAATGTCTGGGATTCAAAAATGGTATATTTATCATTATTATTAGATAAAAAGATACTGAATAATTGAATCTTTCGGAAGATGCTCACTATATCCAGAGACATAAAAAACATGCATCCTTTTTATGCCTCTGCTATATCTGATATATATCTTTCCTTTGATCCATTCATTTATGTTTTCAATGTGAAATACTGTGAAATGACGTGTACCCCAATGAAGGTCTTTAAGGCTATAATAGATTCTTCAGTTAAACTTAACTGACCTTTTTCACATAAATACATGTATTTTGATTCACGATTCTTCAACTTACTACTAAAATAATATACAGTATCTGAATCTAACTTGTTAAGAAGTCTTAAAAAATATATCAAAGAACTGTATAACTCACCTAATGGACTGAATAGGAAGTTTTTTGAAGAGACTAACTCAAATATTGGTCCAAGAAAAAGTGTCTCCAAATAGCAAGCTGGAATTCTCTGTTTTGATTCTTGTAGTGTGCCACAAATTCTCATGTATTGCATCAAATTGTTTTCATCAATTCTGCAAAACAAAACAGAAAAATACTTTCAAATAATCAATTTGATTTGGATATATTTAAGGACAATGTACAAACATATTAAGAACAAGACAAAAAGAAGAATCTACTTACTACTGTCTCTGCCTGGTGTCACTGATATTTGGAACATACTCTGAGACCATATAATGTTGTTTTACACTCTTATATTAAGTTTATCAACATACATATGGGGAAATATAATTTCTATTTTTAAATTTAAAAATTAATTAAAATAGTATTCAAGCAGTAACCCTTGAATAATGGAGAAGAGTTACTGAACATGTAGAAAATTACACTTTCTCGCTCTGCTATTCTCATACGATTATTTACATGATTGCAAATGGGTATCAGAAAACATTCAAAGGTGGTTCTCAATGTCAATGGGTTTGGCTGAAAGTTTTTGTGCTTGCTTTCCTTTACAAGAGGACCAACTGGGCAAAACTCCATCTTGATCAGAAAAAAGTGGAAAAAAGAAACATCCTACTCGCTTTCCCTATTTATATTCAAGGTAGAGGATGAATGGTGTTGATTGTTTAGTTAAATGATTTGTCAATGACAATACCATTAGCTTGGAAAAGTGCTGGATGATATGGAGGAAATAAAGAAGTACATATAGCCTGTATACATAAACATAAACCTCCGGGCATAAACACTCACTACCACTAATTATGGTGTTATTTTGAGTTTTCCTTTTATTATTTTTGACATTTTTTCTCAAAATAACCTCACACCGAATAGACTAATGCTTTGATTCTTTGGGGAAATTGATCATGATTTAAAGGTTGAATAAACAGTGCAGAGACGTATCCAACGATCATGGTCCTGGTGTCAAAATATATCAAATTTTGAATATTTCATCAAGGCTAACATCTATTTTCATTAGCTACAAAGAAAACCCCCGAACGTACCTAATTTCTGCCGATATTCACAATCACTGGCATCCTAAATCCCCGGGAATCTTCTCCCGACATCGACAGAAAAAATGCTCACGTACCTTTTAATGATTTCCCGGTTATATTGTCATTGGATTCCAGCCCCGTTTTCACCTAACGTTCTATCCAACATTCTGTTTCCTTCATACCATGCGCGTGTCAAGAAGACCTTGAATATGGGCAGATTTGAGGTGTTTAAGTCTTGATTTTTCTTCGTCAGTGGATCAGATTAACTGCAAGAGTCGCCGGTAATAGACCGTCAACGGCGGTCATATCGTGTACCATGCATACGGTTATATCAGACAACCGCGGTTATACTGTAACATGCAGTCTTACCTATCTCAGCTGCAGCAAGAATTTTAAATGGCGGAGATTTAGAAATGTTTCAAAAAACAAAATGCGGGACGTCCAACCTTTCAAATCAATTGCTTATTTAGAAGTCTATTTGCAAGTCTGATTGGTGGTATTCATGGACAAGTGCATATATTTTAAGAAAATAGGTATTGCGAAGAAGACATTAGGCCAAACGTTGCACTAATAGCTCGGGAAAGGTAAAATGACTCCCGAATTTCTTCTACAGGGCATCCACAAAAAAAGTATACCCAACTTCAAAGCCAGGATACCAGAATTCTGAGAAATTTTTCAACAATTTAAAGGCTGCAGTTTAAGACCTAGTTTATTCTCCATTAAATAGTACCCAGATCATTATGTAACTGCCATGGATGACTGAGCAATCAAGACTTTTATGAAAGGTGGTAAAATCAGCACTGTGCCAAGTTAGCATTCAAGTAGGATTGGCACAATGAATGTTTTTTTTTTGTGTTCAAAACATTTTTAATGTTCAAATTCAAACTTGTTCCATGTTCTTCAACCTATTTGCATAATTTTCCATAACTTTTTATTGCTACCTCCCCCGCGGGAATTGGATCCCAAGAGTCTCTTGAACAGCAATGGAACTTCTACTTGATGATATGCAGCCTTGAAGTCAATAGTATCCCCCATTGAAGTCAATACACCCTTGCTGAAATCCTCATTTTCTCACAAGAACTCAAGTTGATTGAGTCTCAACAAGTAGATTCATGTTGGACAGTATTGCTAGAATCCATTTTCAATAGTAAGAATAGGGATTCTTGAACAGTACACTGGACTCGCTTTTAGTTGGCTCTTCTGATCAGGTGTAAGTTGAACCATGTTTGCAGGCCTATTTTAGAGTAAGTAAGCTTTTTGCCAAATCTTGTTTTCATAAGAGAGCTACTCAGCCCCCAGTCCAGTTCATTATGAAAGTCCTGTCATTTAACATAATGTAACAGAAAAAGAATACTAAGCCAATCACACATCGATTGCCACACAGGAAGATAACTTGGCACAGTGCTAAATTTACCACCTATCAGAATGGTCATGATTGCTCAGTCATACGTGACAGTTACATAATGATCTAGGTACCATTTGATGGAGGACAAATAAGGCTTTTTGCTGTAGCCTTTGGATTTCAAAAAGATTGCTCAGGATTCTAGTAATTTGGTTCTGAAGTTGGGTATACTTTTTTTGTGGACGTCCTGTATAGTCTTTATTCAACCTTTAAAGGACCAAGCCTCAAAGGTATCGGCAGTTTCCCTACCTTTAATTTATTCTCTTCTGTGCAGATGATTCTTTTTTAAATGTAATGAGTGATCGATCAGTCGAAACAATGCTTTATAATGGTAACAGTTCACACTAATATTTGATTCTTTAAATCATTTTTTGATTTTCGCGTGTATGGTGGGAAACTTAGCAGTACCAAACGAAACTATCTGTCAAATAATGACAAAGTTAATTGCTTAAGCCTAAATCTAGGAATACAAAGGCCAAAGGTGGCATAGCAGCCAAACTTGAGGTTGTAAGGCCTTTTTGTTGACCCGAAAAAATTCCATAATGTATTAAATAAGTTCAATAATGATAATCAATAAGTTGATAATCACGTGTTGACAATGTTTACCTGCAGTTCCTCGCAACCACTGGATACAATCTTTGAACTTGACTTTGAACCTCATCCTCGTTTGCAAAGTTTTCAAATCTTTCACTTTGTAAACTTTTGCATAAGCTCCTATAAAAAGCTTTAAACATCATTTTCCATAATGGAGGGGCTCCTGAATATGTGTAATAATAAAAATCAGTGTCTACGATTATATATAGTTTGTAAATTAATACCAATATGGTAAATATTGTCAGAATTTGAAACAGTTTTGAAATTTCCGCGACTACAAACTCCATGTTTGATCTCGGCTCTCGCGGGATTTTAATTGGTTGATCTATCTTTCAAATTTACTCCCTTTATTCTATTATATTTACAAAGAAACTCTACAGTATCACATTTGAAACTATGTCAAAGTGACATTTATGCAAATATGTTATCTTTTGAAATTTAACGCTTTTTTAAGATAGTCTGGTGTGTTTTCTCAAACGCAACAACGTGATAACATTTATCTTAAGTGAGGGAGGAAGTATTCTTAGATAAACCAACATAAATAACCTTGACCTATTGCCAGATTTTGGTGCAATAGAGCCAGAGCCAGAATTTGGATATTTTGTCTTTATTAACAATTTGCCATCACTACAAACAGTGGATATTTAAAACTCATAAAAGATGGGTATTGTTAAAGACCAAGAAGAACCAAAAAGTGAATGTATCGTGAATAAAAATGCGCTGTAAGTGTGAATAAATTATTTTGGCCATTGATTTGACTGAACTTTTGATCATAACTTTGACATTAAGTGACATTATGCATAATACACACCTAGACAACATAAACAGCTGTTGATCATGTTGATAAAGATTATATTTAATGAGATCTGTAAACCTCTGGTTTTATGTGTTCTATTTCACTGGAATCATTCCTGTTTGTTTGTTTGTATCCTTTTATGCGCTATAATGCCGCTAAATGTCTCGTGTTATCCCGTTCCCGGACTATAGTCCTGCACTGATCACATTCATTTGCCTGTACGATTACAACTTGGGAGAATTATCTACGCCCCTTACCCTTAAGATACCTACCTCAATGCATTATAGAACTCAAGATGTAACTTCTAATATATTGGAACCGCCGATTGTCTGGGTATATCGGCAGAACGGGAACATTTTCTCTTTTTCATCGAGAGAGATTCCATCACTTTTCAAAATGGCGGTTGGATTTAAAAGGGGAATCCCCCGTTTGGCTGTCCCGGATGTAGCCCGGAAGTACCAATATGGAGGAATTTGACGGTTGAAATAAGTTAAATGTTACACGCAAATATTACGATCAAAAACGAAAATGTCTTCGTTCTGCCGATAAACCCAGACAATTGTGGATTCAACTACACGAAAAGAATGCTAAATTACCAAGGAATCTATTGCAGTAGGTATCTGAAGTGTAAGATCAGTAAAAAATTCTCCCATGTTGTAATCGCACAGGCAAAAGATTGAGATGTTCACAGGACCATAGTCCGGGAACGGGATAAGTCTCGTGGTGCTTGTTTTTCACCTGTGCTTACACTTGTGCTTCTCACTTGTGTTTATATTTTCATAAAAGTCTAAAATCACTTATACTAATATATACAGTTTTATAATGTGCTCATTAGGCTAGAATCTTCTAGTTTCCCTAATGTAGCTAGAAAAGGCATTATTTAATTTCCTGTTTGACGATTTCCGACATGTTCATGTTTAGTCCACACAGAGTCCATAAATCAAGGGGAGGGTTTGTGTTATCCCCGAGAAGTATCCTATCTACTTTTGAGTAATGCTCTAGCCTTTTAGTTTCGAAGAGTTTACATGAACTTATGTAGTGGTCCACAGTTTCTGGTTTATTACAGAGTTCACAGAGGTTTGTTGTACTTTGGTTTATTTTGGCTCGATGACTATTGAGTTGGGTATGTCCACTTATGAGCTGGTTGATGATGCAGGAGATTCTGCAGTCAGGAGATACAATTTTGGTTTTAGAGCCAACCTTTGTTATTACCTGTGAAATGGCCCAAACTTTTTTAGAGTTAAAGAATACATCTTTGCCATTTGTTTGCCATTCCAAATGAACAACTCAGCTCAGTTCTTCCTATATATAAAGTAGGCCTAAATCTAAAGTATTCTCAAAAAGTAATCGGGTCGGGAGTCGGCATATTTTCTTGTATTTTAACATTTAACTCTCTAAAACTGCAGAAAAATATGCCCTGTAAACTATATTTACCACAATAAATGTCTCCAAGGCTTCATACCAGCGTATGCATGACCTGGGATGCGTGATACATTTCGCATGAATTTGAGATCAAATTTTGTTAACTGAAGTAGGGGCAATCTCTGCCTATTATGATTGTATTTTTATATTAGTGATTTTGAGTGAATAATTCATGTGCGCGAAATATCAAATAATCTGATTGGTTTAAACTACTATCCCAAATTAAGTGGCACCTAATTAACTCAAGGTTGTATTTAATGAGTTTTCTAGAAATGTGCAGTATTTGTTCCCTGAGACTTTGATCACTCAAAAATGTTCCAGAAATTTTAGTTACAGAAATTACAAATAAAGTGCTGTATCTCAGAATTTGTATTTATTTGCCCCATAGATTCCACTCAGCATTTTCAGTACAGTAAAACCTGTCTAAGTAGAACACCTTTGGTACTTCTAAGAAGTGTCCCACTTGGGAGATGTTCCACTTATAGATTCGAGGTTCATTTAACATTAATTAAAGTTAGTCTATGGACTGAAAATTGTTTGACTTTGGAGGTGTTCCAATCACTGATGTTCATTTAACATTATTTTGATTGGTCATGGCACTCTGAAAAGTGTTCAACTTTTAGAGGTGTTCCACTGTCAGACTGTACATGTACTTTCATATATTATATATTTGTTTATTTTAGACTGATTGAGGATGCAATGAACATGCCAGTTCTTGCGACTAAAAGTCCAAAGCGTAAGAACAAGAACCCAGCAAACAGGTTGATTCCTGGTACTACTGACTTTGTGAGGTCAGGTTCCAGGCAGACCAGGGGAAGCAGACAGACCCGTAGGTCCGATAACTGTGAGTATTATGACACAATTTGTTGATTCAATTTCTATTTTATACTGTACTCTTTACTATTCATTTAAATATGAGTGGTGATATTTTATATACATATATAGTTATATTCACTTTTCATCATTTAAAGTTTTCAAACCATATAATATTCACAAATGGGAACTGGGAGGAATATGGGAGGGATATGTAGACTGTTAGCCTTGCCCAAGTCGGTATTTTTTTTACTTATCTGATCTTGAATTCTTATCACCTTGTACAATCTAATGAATCCCAGCTGATATTATGATAAGTTATTCAGCGGCAGGGGTGTCACGAAACCATATTGATTGACAAGACCGTGTGGACACAACGTGTGATTTCAGGCTGATTGACCAATCAAAACATTTTCAGGTTTACCCGCATTAACAAAGCAAACTACCTATCTACGACTTGAAATTTTCAATGATCTGATCCCGGGATCTGATCGATTATTTCTTCAGAGTTACACTATCTTATGCAATTAAATGTAATGCATCATTAATATAAATTAAATCATGCAATTCAATAAGATTTGTTCGTGAAAAGTGTGCTTGTTTTGACCGTGCATGATAATGAGCTAACACTGCAGGGCTGTCGTTGATTGGTCAAAATTACCGACATGAACAAACTGTTGATAAAGCAAGTGACTTTCTCTTGGGTACAAGGCGGTCATAATAGAAATCAAAATAAGTTAGAGACCGACTTGGGCAAGGCTAATAGAGTGTTAGATGTCTTAGATTTTTTAAATTTTTTATTATTCAGTATGCATGCTCAATCTTCGAATCAGCAGAATGCTTTCAATTAGTGCCATCTGTTGCTATTCCAGTGAAACATCTCCTTGAACTTGGTGAGAAAGACGAACCCTGTGATGTCAGTGGATTTGCAGAACTCATTCAACCAACCATATCAACATTCACCAAACTTTTCCTGGAGGAAGAGAAAATGAAAGTGAGACTCAAACCTCTGTGCAAGTCTTGAATTAAATGTATTGCTCATTAAAGGGTCTTGTTTTCAATGTACCATTTACCTTATGGATATGTGTAGATTAATATCACAATCAAAATAAATTACTTTCCAGATTATCTTTCATGTCTAAACAAGACCCTTTAATCTTTGCAATCATATTGATGGACAGATATCAAGTCAAGTAGATTTGCATTTGTTTTCAATACAGTATTTGTATAATTGACTTGCAAGGAGTTTGATGTTACATGAACACATTTCAGAGTTTTCTTCTCTGAAAGATTCTCTTCTCTGGGTAAACACAGAGTTCTCTTCTCTGAACAATTTATTAGACATTATCATAATTCATGTATTTGCTATCATATAATTTGAAAATGAACCTAGTCAACTGGACTAAATATTTTGATTAATTAATTGGCACATTCAATTAATTAAAATGTTTACTCTTGTTTGGTCTATTTTCAATATTTAGTTATATCCATATTTTGGCATATCGTGAAAGACTAATTACCAATAAGTGCATTCATCATAAATATTTTGATATATGACTTAGTAGGGATTGGCAAGCCATACCTCTGCATTGGTGTCAATTTGTTACTTGTCTGTTGTCATGAAAGTTCTTCAAAATGTTTCAGTTATGGAATGACTTTATCAACCAGTCTGAAGATGAGCAAGACAGAGTGTTGAACAGAGCAAAGGAGGTGTTGATTACCACAGAACATAGCCATTCAGATGGTGAAGACATGGATGGTGATTGGGTGGACCTGGCTGACAGCAGGAATGGTGAGTGATGGTCTGAACCCCCTGTTACACATTTAAGTGCCATAACCGTAACTAACTTTAAAATACTTTTTGTTTTTCCTCATATCCTGTGGGAGAATGAAAGAGACTGAAATCGACTGAAGAAAAAGTTTCTAGCTAATAGACTTCTTTTTGCATATACCTGCAAATGTTACCCTTGTTCAGTTTATGAGCTGTTTTGTATTTACTGCTATCATTCCACTTCATGTATTTGACTGTATATTTCAGTTCACCCTGCCTTCAGTGCCAAAGAGTGCTTCCAAAGAGTGGATAGCAATCTCAGATCAATGCTACGTCGTAGGCATGTTCCCCTGGTAAGTTCATTGCAGCGTATTTCATTGTATTTTGGTTACCTCCATATTTTGGCAGGCAATACCCATGGGTGTTGTGCTATATTTTGAGTTGCTACGCCCAGTTGGGGATGTCTGACTCTGATTGCATCTTGGGGGGATCGGGGGTATGCTCCTGGGGAAATTTTTTTCAAAGAGATTACTTGATGCTACGCCCATGCTACCTCATGGATATATTCCACACTTGACATGTTTTACACTCGAAGACAGAGCCAGGTATCCCTTCTTGGAGGAGCTTTTTGTGTGCACTAATACAAAGACATACAAGTACATAACGAAACCTTTTATATGAGTTGTGGAGCATAGTAACACAAACAATTCTGTCTGAACCAGGAATTGAACCTTGGGTCAAGCGATAGCGATAACCTCTGCTACTGAACCATATGGGGTGTAGACTGTAGTTTCAGAGTTTTGAATTGTGGATTTGTTTTGATGCATATGCTTTGTTGTCAATAAATGTAATAAAGAACTTTTTAATGATTTTTTTTATGTTCTTCAACTATAATTTGATGCAAAATCCAAGATGCGTCACCCTCAACCACTGTGAATCAAAACTTAGAATGGATCACTGTACCATCTTTTCATGATCCAAACAGTTTTATGATGTGAAAAAAATATTCTGATTGCTTTTTGTAGGGCATGGTAGCACAGCTAGAGGAACAGATTCTCTCCTTCTTTGAGGAGTGGCCATCATCGGTGTATGTGTCATCCCTGCAAAGCAGCTTTGAACGTCTCCTGTTACATGCCATATGTCAGTACCTGGACCTCTCCTCTCAGAGTGAGTAGTACATTTTTAGGACAGTACACTGTTTATTCTAACACATAAATCAAAAAAGAATTAATAAGGTTTGAAACTGATTATTTTACCACAGATTTAATAGTGAATTTGTAACCATCTAAAAAATTGCTGTTTCTTTAATTGTATGTAGTGAAGGTTCATGTCATAAGATGATCCCAGTGGCTCAATTTCAAGAACAGTCTTTGCATGCTCTCTAGGTTGTATTTTCAATATACAATTATATAGCATTCTGATTCTTCCTAATAATACTATGTTCAATTCATCTTCTTCCCTTCAGGTTTTGAGAGTAATGGAGTTCGCCAAACGCAGGTTGAGAATCGCAAACCAGCCTTTTGTCCCCCTGATGTTCTTCTAACTCAGTACCTCCAGAATGCCCACCCTAGCACTAGCAGCTGATGGTCTGCCAGCAAACCTGGTTTATGACAAGCTAGGTCTACGCACACTACATACTATATACATTTCAAGTTTGGACACTCAGTAAAGCATTTTGAACACCTCTGATTCTACTGAAAGCATATCGACTGAATATTTAACCTATGAGAACTAGCATTAATATTACAGGATAATGAACAGTGGCCTATGTTAGGCATTATACTATTAACCTATATTACTCTAGCCCAAAGTATATACTACCATTTCAATAGTTTGATTTTTCTTTGTTAAAAGAAGGCTTCATACTCTTTGAGTGAAATGAGGCCATAACAACAGGTACTTTTGCCTATTCAGACACTAAGCGTTAGTAAATACCAGCTGATTATGATCACTGACCTATAGTGGACATTTTCCTATATCGAAGAATGCTAGACTATATTGAACACAGCCCTATAGTGAACTCGGCATAATTAGTAGACATTTCTCTGGGATCAAGGATGTCCTGAGCTTCTCATGACACTTGTTACATATTCTATTATTGTATGAAAGCAGTCAGGTTCTGACAGATTGAATACTCAAAACATGTGTTCTCATCATGATACCTCATATTAGGTCATTTATAAGTCGTTTTCATATCCATATTAGGTATGACTATACTTCTTATGCAATACTTGAACCATCCATGAAACCATTTCAGTCTCTCATATTGATGACAATGTTGAATGTTTTTCACAGCGTTAAACAATCAATATCACGGTTTACCAGTTTAAATTACTCGAAGGCATTGCTTGTGTTTGGTTTTATGGGTGTGTTTGAAGAATAATGGATATTGCTATCATAAAGAAACAAACATGTATTGTCATTTCACTAATAAGGATCCAGTCACTGATGTTAAATAAGGGAGTAACATACAATAATAGTTTGATAGTTGTATATTCATCCCATTAGAGTGATGAGATTGAGATTTCCAAGTATATGTTTCATGTGTGAAAGAATCTTCAATCATATATAAAAGTGTCATATCATGAAATATTTACTCCTCCCCATGACATATCACAATGGTGGTTCAGAATAGAAGTGTATTGTGCAAATATGTTATACTTCTGGCTATGTATATGGTATTTAGAAGTGGTAGACTTGGACAGGTTTTTAAATTTATTTAATTCTAACAATGGGTTACTGGAGTTTTGAGACCTCATTTATTAATACATTTTAACATTAATATATTCAGTAAATATATTTTGTTAGTTCATAGATATTATATTAGGCATTTGAATTTTTTAGTAGATTTGTTTTGTTACTTCTGGTGCATTGAAGAAATGTTAATTACAAACATGATTTTAAGGTAGGTGTAGAACAAGGAACATGACAAAATAAAAATATATGTAAATAAAAAATGTGATCACAATCTGCCTACCTTAATCTGGGTCATGCCTGGTTATTCTATGCATGCATTTCTTGAGGTGCTGATATTCAAATAAGTTATGAGTACCATGCAATTACATCCATATTTTGAATGTATTGCTTCTATTTCTGTCACCTTGGAAAATTTCACACTCATATTTGTAATAAAATTATAATTTTCTTTTTGTGTCTTGGCATAATTTCACTTAATTTTGACTAGTCATTTTATAATTACCTTTTTGAGGTTTAAATTCAATTCATAAACAGGATCAGATGTTGTGGTAATTAACCTAAATATTGTATTGCTGGTTGTGATATGAATAGCATTCATTTTATATGTGATGTATTGTGATGCCATATCAGTATGATGTTGTCCAACTAAATAGCCATTTTTAGCTTTTAGAAATTGTAAAATTGTATGAACTTTTCAAATTCACATATTTTTACTAGAATTGTATGACCAACTCTATTTTAAAGCTGAACAGGTGACAGTTGGGATGCTATTGACATGACTAGAAGAACTGCACTATTCTGATGGGTGATATCATACTACATGTAGTAGTAATAGTATATTGTATAGTACAGTTGTATTGTAATTTAATGTACCATTTAAAACAAAACATACTAAATAAAACATGTATGCCAAATGAAATCTTTAGTCTTCATTTTTATTCAGGAAACCACTCTCTTCTTTCCATTGTTTCCAGTCAAGATTGATTTGTAGTGAAAAGGTTAAAATATATTCGAACATGACTGTATTCACGCCTTCTATAAACCGTACAAAGTCAATGCTTCAGTTGGGTTATATTCGAGATCAATAACCCAGTTAATACGTGTAATGTGTGACGTCATAATGGTGGGTCGTAGTAATGGGGGACCATGATGAATATTCAAAACAATTTGGTGAGTTTTCATGTTCGAATTGTAATATAGACCTCAGAGCAGGGGTAATATTGTCGAATACACCCCTTGGAGCTAGGCACAATAGGTTTCGAACCCCTCAATCCCTTCGGTCATTCGGGGTACAGAAAACGTATGTGCCTAGCCCTGCGGGGTGTATTCGATGATATAACCCCTGCTTTTCGGTCTATATTTCTTAAATGGTGTTTCACCTCAATGCTTTTGCATGGCAACAATTCCACAAATTGGAAGGAACACAACATAATTTTTAATTTTCACATTTATCTTTATTTCATCCAATCATAAAATTGGCAATTTAGCAGAGTGCTGAATGTTACAGCAGTTAAGATGTCAATAATGAAGTTTTAACTTAATTCCTTAATGTCATGTAAAATAATCGAAAGGTCCACAGCTGGTTTGGTTTTTACTCTGCAATTATTACCAGCTATGGACCTTAAAATGCTTAATCAATTCAAATAGATAATACTTCTATAATATGTACCTTAATGAGCCTGAGATACAGAAGGATGGAGAACACATTCAAAGGGCTTCGCAATAAGCATATTGGTTTCTTAGTTGTTGCAAATTAACAACAAAAGATGTACATGCAGCCTTAAATGCTTAATGACCTGTCACTTAAAATCATCTCAAGCTATTAGAAAAATCTGCAGAAAGTCCAATTTTACATTTATTCACATAATAATGTTTCATTAAAGAACATTTGATTGATATAAAAAAAAAACATGCAGAAACTGGAAAGTCATAAAACTTTCAGCAAAATACAGATATAGAAATGTCCTTTGTATATCACTTCTACAAATTCTCTCGATATATTTTTATCTCAACTATTATATCAATAGTATAACACAATTTACTTCATCAAAGCAATAAACATTTCATGCAACAATTTGGGAAAATCTGAAATCTGAACTTTCTCACCAGATTTTATCCCAATAACCCCAATAATACACAAATAACATTGTATCTTTTGCAAATTGTCTTCAGTTAGACCCAATGTAGGTCTTAAATAATTTCAATTATAAATGAGGAATGACATAACATAACTTTGACCATCACATGACATGACAGATGCTACCATTTTCATATAATTTCATTATCATATTTCTTACATACTACTTTCACTATGAAGTGTTGGGACATCTAGTAAGGGTCTGGTGGTGTCTCATCCATACTCAATATTAAAGAAATACTGCAATAGTAATATATGGTATTCCAATTCTGTTTCCTCAAAATATAAAGCTTGATGCCTAAAATGTCTTGGAAATAACAGAATGGTCCATAACCATCCAAAGATTCAAGAAAAATCCTGGAAATATATTGTATTTATCATGACTCGAGCACTATGTAGCAATAATCCAATGTCCAGCTACAAGAGTTTACCTAGTCTCACGTTGTGTGGGCATCAAGCACAATATTTCGAGGTAAAAATTACAAAAGATTATTATATCAGTTTTCTCCTAAAGCGTCAAACTGGTTGCCAAGTTCTAGATTAGGACCTCGATTAGTTTCTGCAAGCCTCTGTGTACCTCCTCCTTTAACCTCTTCAAATTGTTTACCTGACCTCACCTCCCTGCAAAGAAATGATATAATATGAAAGTACTTCACATCTTAATATGTCTTCACGTACATGCATTAACATGCAAAATGTCACATCTTGCCACAAAAAGTTGGAGACCACAAGAATATGTCATCACTTGTGGTGGCGACATAAAAATGATGTAAGACAGACAGAGGCCTGGATGTAACATCATAATACAATTCAGATTCCCTTATGTGCACAATCACCTACATCAAGTGACCTACTATGTTGCAATGGACTTGTTGACATTACCACCGAATATAACTGGTCATTTCGGCAAAAATGGTGACCCTACCCTACTTTAATCGAGATAATCATAATTTTTCACAACTAGTTCTGTGCGTGATACAACAACGCCCAGTCTCTAAGAAATTGATTTTACTTTCTACAGATAACAATATTATATTTGGGGATAGAGTGGTTCTAAAGCCTTAGCGAGGCAACCTCCTTTGTTTACATTCGCCAAAACATAAAACATTTGAGAAGTCATCTTAGAGAATGGTCATATTCGAATCAAATATACTGTATTCAATCAGTGTTCAGCATAAGGGGAAAATATCAGGTGGTCCAACGGACCACTAGTTTGCAAAAAGTCGGTGGTCCATACTAAGTGTAGGGAGTCAAGTGGACACCCTGTTTTCAAAAGTTTGTGGTCCATATTATAACAAGATGGTCCACTTACTATGGATATAGCAATCATGGTGCACCAAATTATTTTTTTAATCATATTTTTAAAGATTTTTAAAAACTACCCCCTCCTTGGCTACCCCTCTCATACAGACTCAGAAAGAGGAATGCCTCCCCCCGCCCCCAGTTGCTATACTACCTATTCCCCCACCAAATATCCTTTCCTAGTATCCTACACCCCTAGTAAATGTCTACCCCCTCATATATCATTAAATATTTATCAGATTTCGCGGATATATTGCATTGTTTTCTGAAATTAAGTTTGACGTTTTTTTTTCAATTAGTGTCCGGATGAGATATGCGTGTAAACTATTTCTAGTCAAATGTGCAGTATACAGCAGTAGATATCAATATATTTATCGGAAAGCTGCCAAAATGTTGAAAATTAAATTTGAATATGTTAGTTACGAACCGAACTCTGCGTTCGAGATTGTAATGCAACCAAATTACCCAGTATTCTTAGTATGATCATGCCGAGGTTTTGATTGGTTAATAGGGTTCAATGTAGAGATCGGGCCTACATTGATGCTGGGTAAAGTCCTTTTTTGCAGAAGTTTTAATTTTGTTCATGAAATTTTTGTTTGAAAGTTGAAAAGATCGAAATATCTACCAATTTCAAAGTAATTTTACTTGTTTTGTCTAGTGTTGCGGGTGTTCAAGAGTCACTTCTATATATATAAGGGCAGTATCGCGTGGGAGTCAAACGGACTCCCATTTATGATAATGTAGGGTGTCCGGAACGAAATCAGGGTGTCCCCGGGGCCTACGGACTCCCGCTTCTGCCGAACCCTGTATTCAATAGTATTTGAGTTACCTCTACAGGCTGATGGAGGGGTTCCCTTTATAACAATTTTAGACAATTAATACAATTAACTTGAATATGGTAAGAAAATATATAGGTGAATGTAAAACTCCCTTACTGTTCATATTGTTTCAGTTGCTCACTCTTGCCACCTAATGACGGGAAATCTAATTCGCTGTTTACATTAGGTGCTGCTTTTTTCCGTCGTAGGGCAGCTAGTCTGGCACTCTGGGTAGATGGTGCTGTGGTTTGAGTGGTATCACGATTACGTAAACTAGGGGGGACATATTTTCCAGGAGTACTGGCTGGTTTCTCTTCTTGCTTAGGCTCAGGTGGAGGTTGAGCAACTGGAAATAGATAGATTAACATTCTAGTTATTACAATGCTGTGACTAAGATCAAATAATTCAGACAGAAATATGAAAACGAAAAATTGGCTCACAAAGAATATGAGAATCTTGTCTTGTACCTGGTTCTTGTTGTGTAGGTTGTGGTGCCATTGACCCAGCACTCTGCCAAGGTCCATCTTCTTTAGGATCTTTCTTAATGATCTCCCCATCCTCATCTAACTCATCTTCTTCTCCATTCTCATCCTCTTCTTTCTCTTCCTTACTACAATATCAGTTCATAATCAGAATTCAACAGCAGGCCCCTAGCCAGAGGGGGGGGGGGCTCGCATGGTTCGGGCGAACCCCCTTTCTTTCAAAATAATGCAGTTTTCACCATTTTGAGCACTTCTCAAATGACTTTAGCCATAATTGGGGCAAAATTGTCAAATGTGAACCCCCCCTGGAAATTTTTGAAAACTGAACCCCCCCCCCTTGGCAAATCCTGGCTACGGGCCTGAACAGCATACTTAATTTTGATTGGTCAGAGAGTGTGGTCGATAGTTATAGACTTCTGACTTGCTTGTACAATGCATCGTCTTGCCTGACAGTCTCGATTTACTGAAAGACTCGAAGTTGGCAATTGGGATACAGTAAAACCTGTGTTTATCTAACACTCTCAGTTCTGACCAAATATTGTTCCCCATAGACAGGTGTTCCTTACAAAGAGACTCCCTTGACAGTTAAGTCAGTTAACAAGGTTCTTCTGAACTGTCCAATACAAAGAGATGTTTCGTACAGAGAGATGTTCCATCATACAGGTTTTACTGTATTTTTTATAATCATTTATTTCATACATTAAATACATACAATAATTCAAATAATAAAGTTTAACAAGGCTAAAACAACATTATTACTGTATTTTAAATCCAACCTCTGAAAAGTTGAATGATCGTTAAGTCTATCTTGTCCATATAATAGATTATACTGAACAATAGAAAACTTGTCATATGTCAATTTGATTTTATTTATTTACCTTATTTGTAAATTTTGTATCCTTAGTCCTGAGTAATCTTTTTCACCTTCCTGTTCAAAGTCTTTCCAGTCTTCATCAGCTTGAACCTAAATAGAAAATGGTTCATAAATTATGCTTACAAAATACAGTGTGGAACTCAGCCATATACGACACTGAAGGCAGTATTCTGAGGTTATAAAATCTAGATCTAAAAAATTTCCCATTTGCAGCTCCTTGGAGATATCCGGAATTGAACAAAGTAGCGAACGTTGCGATCTTTCAACTTTAGTTCGTTGTTTTTCACCACTTTATGTGTAGTGTTTTCATTTAGGAGGCGGTCTTATTTGAATGCATCATTTCAGGTCTTTATGAATCAATAGATCAATAAGCAGACTAAAAATTCAAATTAAGGAGTTTCGTTCGTTGCGTACTGGGCCTGTTAGGCACGAAATACAATTTAGCAGTTTCGTCCGTTTCGTAATTGGGCCTTCTATAATCAGTAGCAAATGCTCGCAAAACATTTTCCAAAATATTTACTCCCGTTTTCTTGAAGACATGGTTGGGTGACAAGTTATTAAGTCACATGATCCATATAGTAACTAGTCACGAGATCAGACACGTGTCACATGATCAGTCACGTGAGCTTGGAAAATGGACGATCTAAGTTTCCAAAAATTCTGCTAAGATCAATATCGATATGTTGTTGCCTTCGTGTTTGGCTGCGTTCCACAATGTAATTTAGCAGGATGGATGACATAGAACAAACTGGTAAGTAGACACTGGTAACATTTCATCATTTCGTTATTTTAACCATATGAACTGGTCACCAGAATAAGTGTTTTGATTCTAACTGTGCAATCACGGACCTAAAATCTGTGGTGCAATCAAGCCCTTCTCCCAGTTCTAGGACATTTTGAAATAAATTGCACTATCTATCCAATAATTTTCAATAAAAACAATGAAAATACTTACTTCTCCTCCGAGTTCCTGAAACGTACTTGGGACCTTCACTTCTGGTTCTTGCGATTTTTCTGTTTTTTTCCTTTTTCTTTTCTTTTTTTTCGCCGGTATCCTCTTTTTTCGCCATTAACTCATCGGTTGTGAACTTTGACTTCTTCTTTTTCTTACTCTTATCCTTCTTCGCGAAAAAATCGTCCAAACTTGCCATTATTGTGGTGACTATCAGCTAAAATAAGTAATGAATTGAAAAATATTGTACGAATTTTTTTCAGGACATGTGTACGAGAAGTTGCGAGAAAATTCGTGAATGACATGAAAATTCTTTTCTAATTTTTGCAAGTAGAAAATTTAAATAATTTACTGATTTCAAATGTCTAATGAATTCGGACATGATTTTTATGCTGTGTTTTGCCTGAATAAAAACCATTCTACATAATCAAGAATTTGTGTAAGTAATGACATGCAGCAAGATAGACATGTCATGACAGGCTAATTACACTGAACGAAACCAAGTCCCGGGAATATTGTGGCAGGTTAGCTACTAGGAGTTTATCCCGTTCCCGGATAACTAGGAGTATGTATCAAATGAATATTGTGAATGATCATTTGAAGCACTGGCGGATCCAGGGAAAAACTCAAAGTTTGGGCTCCCCTTTGTTAACTTCTGGATCCGCCAGTGCAGGGCCAGGCAGTAATTTAAATATCGGCTTTCAAGAGAAAATATACTACATTATGCTTCTGACATGAAAACCTGAAAATAACCACTCTGATCATGTTTTCGAAAAATACAGGATAAACATATGGATTCATATTATATTCAAGAAAAATAATATAGAATGTTTTAAAGCATAAAATAAGTTTAAAATAAGCTAAAGTAAAACAAAAATGACCAGTAATAATGAAAGCCCATGTTTAAAGTTGTGCCATTTTCTTTTGAGTTTAGATCAAAGTGAAAGCGATGTAGAAAGTCTCAAATGGATACCTTTAAAAAGTAAAGGGTAAAGTTGGAATTCATAACAGCCAGAAATAATCAATAAAAAGTTATAGTTGTGCCATCCTTTTTAGAGTTAAGACCCAAAAGTGATGAAGAGAGTCTCAAATGAATTCTGTTTTAACATACAAGTTGCACGTCTCTTATGGATGAGAGTTTTAAAATTCGTTCTATATCATTTATACTATTCATTGTCCGCTTCACTTCTTCTGCCAAGCCCTATGCAATGTAGTTGTCCTACTATAATATCCATTATCATTTTGACTACAAGGGATGGACATCCAACAGTAAACTCCCCTCCATAAGTTTGAAAACCTTTGTTCCCCATAGGCTTAACTGTTGAAGTCTCTCTTTGTTTGAATTTTTATTTTCATAACCTGCAAAGAAAGAACTTATAACTCAATGCCAAAGGAATATTATTTTCTAAATAAAAATAATCTTTGTTAGATGTATTCTTGAATAGGTATCCTGAAATTTGATTTGTCCTGAACCTGAACCCACCATTTCCCATTGGTTTACATTGGAATGACGATTTTCAAAAATTCATCAAATTTGTCATCAATTTTCGACCTATTGTAATTGAGGAAAAAATGGAATACTTTGAAGGTATTGGAAATAAAGTCAAGTTACATCCCCACCTTCATTGTGAGTTTTTACTTTGCAAGTTATGAAAATTAAAATACAAACATACAGGGGCTTTAACAGGTAAGCCTATGAGGAAAAAGGTTGCCAAACTTATGGAGGGGAGTATGTAGTACACTCTTATCCCTTGTAACATATCATAGATGTCCAGGCCCGTAGCCAGGGGGGGTTTGCAGGGTTTGGGCGAACCCCCCCCCACTGGCCAAAAACTCTTTCAAAATCATGCAGTTTTTCACCATTTTGAGCACTTCTCAAGTGGTTTTAGCCATATTTGGGCCAAAATTGTCAAATGTGAACCCCCCCTGGAAAATTTGGAAAAATGAACCCCCCCCCCTTGGCAAATCCTGGCTACGGGCCTGGATGTCAGTAATCTGGTTCACAAATCAAATAATACAGATTAACTAGAAAACAGCAACTCCGCTGAGTAGCAAATCCCAACATACAATATATTGTTTCTCAATCATTGAAGTATATTTAGCAATAAATTGTTCACAACAAGATATCAAATATGCTCAGGAATACTTCTGAGATATATCAATATTAATGAAAATATCCATTTCCACCTTTAATACATTGGCCCTGGGATGAATTCCTATTATAGAAAGTTCATGAATGTGAAAGGTGATTCACTTGCAAAGTTGCAATATAATATTTGCAAACTACTTTTAATACCTTCAATTACTGTTCACGTTCTGTACACAATATCACTTGAATCATAGTAGCACTTCAGTCATAAAAGGACTAAAATGATTAAATCACTTTAGTCATAGTACGAATAATCATTTTGTTATTGCACTTTAGTCACTATTCAGCACTTGAATCATGTACCATTGTTGTTGTATTACTTAAGTCACAGTAGCACTACAATCACCAAAGCACTTCATTCTTAGTAGCACTAGAATTATTTTAGCACTTTGGTCAAAGCATCACTGGTATCCTAGTTGCACTCCACTTGTGGAGGCTCCCGTAGTTTCTGACCAATCACCCTATCGACATTTCTCTTTCATTTAATAACAATAGTAAAGTTGTTCATCTTGACACCATTTTTCATCTCCTTCTTTGGGAACTCTGAAAAATCAATACAAATCTCATTACGTCATTGTTTCAACATGTGTATAATTAGACCTGCAGTCTACAGAGTAGACATTTTTTATTTCCAAAAATGTGTAAAAAACTTTTTTGTTGCAATTTTAATTTTTTTAATTTTTTTATGAATCATGAATCAGAGCATTTACATACAATATAATGTGCATCTTTCTACCATAATAGAATTGAAACTGTTAAGATAATTCAGAAATATGTTGAAAACTAAAATATCTTGAAACAACGCATTAGCTCGCAAAATTTCACCACCTGCCATTTGTTACACACATTGAACATCAACCACCAAATGCCAAACACCAACCATTGCCACAAGAAAAAGTTAGAGACAATAACAATATGTCACCACTTGTGTTGGTGACATGAAAATGTGGCATTTTTTCGGTTCAGTCCCCTTCACCCTCATCTTGAAATTAGAAAACATTAATTGAATTTCTCTTAAATTTACCAAAAAATTAACATTCTTCACTCATTAAATCATCATTCAAAACTTTCCTCTAACAAAAGTAACTTCATTCTTCCATCACTGCATCATATTCCAATATCATATGACAATGATTATGTAAACTTTTGTAATTGCAACCAGGTGGTAACATTTTATCATATGTGGCCTCATTGATTATTTTGTTATCTCACTTGTGTGTAACTGCTGCTCCTGCTGACTTCTTGAACATCATGAACGCCAATCTCTTACTATCATGTGAATCAATACATGTAAAGCCTAAAGACGCCACAATTTCCTTCAATAGGTCATGGGTCATATAGTCTAGCGCGAGTTCTTCACACAAGCAGGCCTGTCAACTGTCCCGCATTTTGCGTATTTGTCACGCATTTGCTGAAGAATTTGAAGTCACGCCAGTTATTTTTGCGTGACAGAAAATGTCACGCAAATATGCATTTTACCTGGTAATTGTCAAGCAAAAATATTTCTGCAGAAAAATGTCTAAAAAAGATCGTCTACACAGCAAAAATACGAACGCCGTAAAAAAATGTATGCATTTCGTTCGGACTTTTCACGCGAATTACGTATATGTCACGCATTCCGTTCGAAATTTTTCGTACCTACCCCCCCCCCCCGTTGACGGATGTTTGAAATGCGAGCGTAGCGAGCGCGAAAAA